GGTGCCACGAGAAGTGCGACTGGTGCCGGAGAAGAAGGCCATGCCCAAGCCAAACTTTCACTTCCGTGTGTTCTCTGCTGGCCTTGCTGAATTGAAGGACAAAAGGGACTACTCCAGCTTTGACATTGTGATCCCCATGCATGGGTTTCACGACCCCCGGAGGGAAACCTCTCATATGGGGACACACCCAAAGATCCAGCTCAACCTGACCCAGCATGACAAGTTTGCTCCAGTCCTGACACTTTGCTTTCACATGTCCAACATTGTCTAGTGGTCCTGTGCTTCACTGGTCCAACATGCCAACAGTCTCACACACAATGCACTCAGGAAGGGGCTCCGGCTGTGGATCCAGAGTGGCAAGAAGGACCTCAACATTTGCTTCGCATGCACAGCGGGTCGCCACCGCAGTGTGGCAGCTGCCATCATGTTTGGCTGGCTGATTCGTCGTGCTTTGGCTTGCAACTTAGGGGCAATATGTTTTAAGGGCTATTTTGTATGTGGGTGCTAATGCAGGGGTGGTGCAGCAGGAAAGCAACTGAAATGAGACTGCTCTCAGTTCATTTGCCTTCTCACGCACCACCCCTGCCATGTGATGACGTGCAAAGTGCATGTGCTTTAGCTGCTCCTGAGCTGCTTCTAAGCTGCGTTCCATTTCCCAGCATTTGCATTGCCTTCCCCTGAGATTTGCTAAGCTTTGACTCAACTGCGTTTCTCAATTGGTTCGCACATTTTGCCACGGGCTTCCAACTAGACCTCCACTATGTTAGCAGTGTTGTCACAACTCTTTCTCAACTGCTCCCAACTCTCTGTCCACTGTTCTCAGCATGTCCCAAGTGCGCCACAAGCTGGCTCTCAGCTATTTAGCAACAGTCTCAACTATTTCGCAACTGTGCCGCCAAATGTTTCTCAGCTGCGCCACCCACAGTTTGGAATCCCCTTGTTCTCAACTCTTTGTCAAATGTCCTCCGTTCTTTATTGGCTGTTCCCAACTATTTCTCAACTGTGTCTCAACTGTTTTTCACAGTTTCTCAACCTTTTCCCAACTGTTTGCCAAATGGCTTATCGACTGTTCTGGACTCTTTCCCAAATATCTCTCAACTACATTATCAAATGTTTACCAACTCTTTTCCAGCCGTGTCTCAACTCTCTCAACTACGTTGCCAACTGTGTCTCAGCTGTTCTTCAACCATGCCCGCAAATGTTTCCTAGATACCAACTTGTGTTGCTAATCACTGTTTCCCAGCTGCTTTTGTCATTCAAATTGTGGCCCAGTGCTACATGCTTTGAAGCAGCCATGAATGCTGAGGCCAAGGCATTAACTGCAAGGTCACTCACCTGGCCCAGCGCAAATGGTCGGGCTGCAAGGGCAAGTGCTGGGAATGCTGGGAGTGACTTTGGATCAATGGCTCATTTGTGCAGTTTGTTGCCAGTCATTTGTGTGCCTGCCCTGCCCCCCTCCCCCTCCCCTGCCAACTGAGGCACTTCGACGCCCCATCCCAGCAAGTGCAGCGGATTCTGTTGCAGATGTGGGAGAGTGGCTACACTGATGGCCAGTAAATTTCTGGCTTGAAGAGCTTGCCTTTGTACAGCCCATTGGTCCTATGCTCCAGGGATCCAGTGGTCCTGTGCTCCCTCCAAACACTAATCTGAGAACGCACTGATCCTGTTGAGAGGGGTGGGCAGAACCACGCACAATTTGCCGCCATGCTCATTTTGCAATATGCAAGCCACAAGCCCCAGGGCAAAACAGTGCCATGAGCCCCCTGCAGCTCTACATTTTGCAGAAGTTGGTTGCATCCTGAAGTTAAGATCTGCCAGGCTGACCTCGACTTGCTCCAAGGCGAGGGTGCAAGTGACTGGCCAGGCATTTCAAATACGGCAAGCAGGGTTTGCGCATTTGCCAACAAGCACATGACGCAGATCTTGCCACTGCTCAAACTTGCCAGGCTGGCCTCACATTTTGCCTCAGCTGCAGCTCATCCAGGCTGTGAGCCCAGCGTGTCAATTTCCATTCATTATTCCATGTGGTTGCGCAAATTTGCATGAAAGAACGCAAAGAAATTGGCATGCTGCCTGAGCATGTCATGCACATCATTTGTTTGCGTGAGGGTGTGGGGTGTTTTGCGCAAATAGGCCTGATTGAATATGTTACTAATACTGCCAATATTTACAAGTGTGTATGTGAAGCACATAGGCATTCATTGGTGAGTTGTAAAACTTATTTTTACCATGCTATTGAATTATGTCAAGTGTGCATGAAAATACTGTTTGAGTATGCAAAGTAGAGTGGTATAATGTTTGAACATGAACAGCATATCTACATCTACTGCAAGCTGTGGCAAGCCATGAGAAGTGTGAGAGCTGTTGGAACTATGACCACTGTGCAGGGATATGCAACAAGCACACCATGTGCAATGAGAACATATTTGCCATATGAGGCAGTGATTGAAGCTAGTTCCAAATTTCAATGTGCAAGAGCTGTTAGAATCATGGGGAATGTAAGAAGTGCAAGATATGAGAAGTGCAAAACATGAGACATGTTGGGAACTGCCAACAAATACCATGAAACTTTGCAAAACCACATGATTGCACTTGGTGGAGCAAAAGTGCTGAAAGTTACCCATGAAAAGCTATGCAGCCACATGAGAGAAGACATACACAACTAGGTGACGCAGGCAACTTGAATGCGAGTGAGAAGCCATTCTTGCTAAAGGTTAGAGCTCATGGAAGTAGGTGGGTGTCACATGCAACTACAGGGTTACATGTGGCAGCACAACAAATGATGTTATGACCACAGTGCCCAAGGCAATTGACAGAACTCAGGCAGGGACTAGTGGTGCTGTGGTGGTGGCTGGCTGGCCTGACAAGACTGATTAAGAAGGGGTGGCTGTTGAGAAATTGCTGGGAACATTGTTGATGCAAAATGTTGAGAACATGTTGAGAAAATGTTGAGCAACTGTTGAGAAGCTGTTGAGAAACTGTTGAGAAACTGTTGAACATGTTGGGAGATGGCTGATAACGTGTTGCGAAACTGTCGAGAACACATAACAAGTTGTTGAGACCACATGAGTAATCTCAACTATTGAGAAACTGCTCCCACACAACAAGCTCCATGCAATTTTTGGCCTGTGCAGCAGGCCAAGGAAAAGACAGGGGGGTTCTTGCAACTGTGCTGGTCCCACTGGCACACTGCACCAAATGTCCCTTCCCCAAACCCATATGTGAGCACACCAGGGCAGACTCAAGCTCCTAGGGGTGCGTTTGGAAGGACGGGCAATGCGTGTGCAAGGATGGGGGGTACTACTCCAAGACATTGGTCGCACCCCAGTTGCTGCAATAATGTGATAAGGAGTCATTGACACAAGGCTAAGGATTGTTGTTGAAGCAAGGTCAGCTAGGAACGCGTTTCTTCCCTTATCTTTTCGCATCGCGCGTTGCTCTCCACCCACGCGCACGTGCTCTGATAGAGCAGGGCCTGCAGAGGGAGCTTGTCAGTCGCCGTCAGCCTCGCGTCTTGTTTGTGGCTTCACGTCTTGTTTCTCGCGCGCATTGCGAATTGCCCTTGCACCCTTTCACTGCACACACGCAATCTGGCCCTCACAGATCAGCTGAGGCAGAGGCTCTCCAGCTGATCTCCGTCCCTTGCCTGGCCCAGCACTGTGGTGCAGGCTGCAAGAGAGCTTGCAGAGCCTGCTGATGTTGCATTGCATGCTTGCAGCCTTTGGTTCTGTAAGTGGCTCCAATGCAACAATGTTTATGAGGAACAAGTTGCCCTGCAAGTCAGCACAGCAATGGCAAACTGCATCTGCACGCACATGTAAATTGCCGGGCAGGCCGCAGATGTGGGCTGAGCTGCCATTGCACTGGCGCTGGCCCGCAGCGTCCAGCTGTGGCCCAGTGCAGGTATGTGGAAGCCTTGCCTGTGCCTGAAGCCTTGCCCAAATGCAAGGATGAAAGTCTGTGGCCAACCATGTTCCATGTGGTGTAAATTTGCACACAGAATGAAGCATGCAAGAACAGATGTAGCAGGTGTGTTTGTGCATTTCTGTGGTTTGATGCAACCAATGAAATGCATAGGGGAACACACTACAGCTACTGCTTGATACTGGCACTGGCCCACAGTGCCTGGCTGTGGCATAAAACATGTATATGGGGCATTTGTTTGCTACAGCCTTGTGTTGGCACAGTTCCTACAACACTACCCTCATGCATGCACGAACATGAGGACAAGGGTTTGTGCATGCTTCAACACATGTTGATGCTAACCACGTGGCATGTGGTGCAAATACCCATGTAGCATGACGCATGTAAGAACAGTTTGTAGCGTGTTTTGCTCATGCATTTCTTTGGTTTGCTGCAAACCAATGAAATGCATGGGCCAAACAGACTGCAGCTACTGCCTGATGCTGGCACTGGCCCACAGTGCCTGGCTGTGGCATGACATGTGTATGCACTACAGCTTTGTGTTAGCACAGTTTCTACAACATTACCCTCATGCATGCACGAACATGAGGACAAGGGTTTGCGCATGCTTCAACACATGTTGATGCTAACCACGTGGCATGTGGTGCAAATACCCATGCAACATGACGCATGTAAGAACAGTTTGTAGTGTGTTTTGCTCATGCATTTCTTTGGTTTGCTGCAAACCAATGAAATGCATGGGCCAACAGACTGCAGCTACTGCCTGATGCTGGCACTGGCCCACAGTGCCTGGCTGTGGCATGACCTGTGTATGCACTACGCTTTGTGTTAGCACAATTCCTGCAACATTACCCTCATGCATACACAAACATGAGGACAAAGGTTTGTGCATGCTTCAACACATGTTGATGCTATCCATGTGGCATGTGGTGCAATTACCATGTAGCATGACGCATGTAAGAACAGATTGTAGTGTGTTTTGCTCATGCATTTCTTTGGTTTGCTGCAAACCAATGAAATGCATAGGCCAAACAGACTACAGCCACTGCTTGATACTGGCGCTGGCCCCCCAATGCATGGCTGTGGCATAACATGTATATGGAATATCGATGCAGCCATGTACTGGCAGAATTCCCGAAACCTTGCCTGCATGGCCCAAAATTAGAATACCACTTGCTTATGCATAGTATACCACTTCCAATGCAGATGGTTTGATTGCGCATTGAAGAGAAGGGTCCCTGAAGATACTTAAGGAAGGTAGCTAGATTGCGTTGCTCTTTAGTATGACCTACCTTTTACCGACTTTTACCCTTACGGAACAAGTGCTTTACATTTTGTAGCACAAAGTCTTCCTCAAGGCGCCCGATAGGGTAGACCTTTGGTCGCCATGGCACCCAAAAAATCCTCAAATCATTTGAGCAGGTTGACCTGGCCCACCCAAAGCCCTGGGTTTTAGGCTGGTAGGGTAGATAGACCCTTCGCAGGTCACCCCCACCCAAAATTTCCTCCCGGTCGAATGCAGGACCTGTCGCGTCGCCTTAGGCTGGTGTCCTTTCTTGAAACGGGCATCGGTTCCCTCATCAACTGCGACGAGCTGCACCTCGCCGACCAGCTGGCCACAGGCTCCGCATGCTCCGTCGGTCGGGTTTTCTGGCGGAGCGCGGGAGTGGGTGGTTTGGGGAGGTGGTTCATTTGGGTACATGGGATCTCTACATGTGATATATGTGTTTGGCAGAAATATATACGAAACATATGAAACAGAATCAGAGATACAGATTTCTGCGTGGGAGGACGGTTTGTGTTTTTGGGGCGATAGTTTTTGATGGTACCATTTGTATGTGACCCAAGTTCCATGAAAACGCTTGGTTCAAGGTACGGAAATTGGCCATTGGGAACGTTGGTCGGTTCCCACTGTGGTCTAAAGAGGAACCTCCACTCCGAGTCATTGGAATTTCCTTCCAGTGGTACCAAAGAAGTGGTTGCAAATTCCCCGCAGCCCCGAGCCCGGTTTCGGTTGTCTATTAAGTGGCTTGTAGAGCAAATCCTTCTTGGGGGGCTTGCTTCGCAGGGATACTCAGCACCACAAGATAGTTGGTCAGTGGTTAGCCCCATTCAGCATTGCATCTTTCAGAATCGCCATCGTGTTCACATCTTGGGTCCTGCCCCCCATCCACAGGAGAAGAAGCAAGCGCACCAACGACAAACGAGAAAACACCACAAACAAAGCACAAGCACAGTTTCATGACAAAGCAGCACACCAAGGGAAAAACACAACACCACGCCTTTTTCGCCCCCAAAAGCTTCCCCACGCCTTTTTGGCAACCCCTTTTCCGAAGAAACACGCCAAAAAAGAAAAGAAGCAAACAAAAACGCAGGGCTCGCATCTCGGGCTGCGGCTTCGATTGACTCGCGCCTCGAGACTCGATGCGCGTGGAACGACGTTGGAAGGCTTCGGGTTTGAGAGCTCCGACCAGAAGCTGGCAATGACCTTGGCCTCCGTGGCCGGCGCCGGCCTCGACTGGCTCGAGGCGAGCGTTGTTGGCTACAGTCTCCGAACCCGAAGGTATATGTTTTTTTTTGTTTAAGTTTTTTTTTTTTGGGGGGGGGGGACCCTATGAAGATGAGTGGTGTCCAATTTGGTTTACCTTTAAGAAACCAACCAAAAAGGGGGTAGCTGCAAAAAACAATTCAGCCATATGTTGTAGTTTGGGGGTATATATGGAATACCGTGTCAATCCGCGTTTTTTGTGTGGGCCAGGGTGCATGTGTGCCCGCAAAGTACCCTTTTCGGGGTTTTGTTAGGGAAGCCCTCTGCCCAGTTGGTTGGCCTTGCCAGCGGTAACCGCGAAAAGAAACCGGTAACGCCGAAACAAGTAGCAGTAACACCGAGCAGATAAGCAGTAACACACAAGACTGGTAGTAAGACTGGCAATAAGACTGGCAACAAAAAACTGTTAAGTGCAAAACACACGTTCTTTGAAACAGGGGTTCTTCCTTGCCTCCGACTCCTTCTCCGTCCTTCAAGGGAAGTCAGGGAAGAAGCCTTGTTTCAAAGAACGTGCGTTGTGCAAGTTTGGGGTCCCAGAAAGTGCAAAACGCACGTTCTTTGAAACAGCGGTTCTTCCTTGTCTTCCTTCTCCGTGCTTCTCCTTCCTTTTGGGAAGAAGCCTTGTTTCACAGAACGTGCGGTTTGCAGGTTTTGGGTCCCAGAAAGTGCAAAACACATGTTCTTTGGAAACAGGGCTTCTTCTTTGAGGAGGGACGGAGAAGGATGGCAAGGAAGAACCCTTGTTTCAAAGAAGGGGTGTTTTAAACTTTTTGGGGCCCAAAACTTGCAAAACACAAGTTGTTGGGAACAACTGCGTATCTTTTCGGCGTTACTGCTCGTTGTTTGCGGTAACCAGTGACGCGTTTTGCGGTTACCAGGTGCACGTTTTTTTCGTGGTTGCCCGAGGGCCTCTTTGCTTGGTTGAAACAACTAGTTCCAGGGGAAGCCAAAAGGAAGTTGTTTAAATTTGCTTGGCCCAAACATGGTTGAAAAATGGTCGAAACCTTAAATGCATTTTAAACAATGATTCGAATATGTTGAAACTTGGTTTCTCAATGTGCGCGACGGTAGTCTGAATGGATGAACCATGAGTATGGTTAGTGTCCTGTGGATATCGGCTCAAACTGAATCTACAAACAACAGCACATGCGGAATTGATTATGGACAGCAGAAATGCATGGGAACTTTGTCCACCAACCACGTTTGAAGATAATTTTCTAGTTTCCACATCGCCAAACCGCACCATGGGCATTTCGCATTTGACCCTCCTTTTAAAGCAACCCACAACATGCGCGCTCATTTCGAAACACGAGGCCCGGCAGACCCCGGTTCCTTAACCGGCTTGTGGATGGACGAAATCCTGCGCCACTATGAAACCATAGGAAACCATTTGTTGTTAGTATTTACAGGGAAATCATCATTTCAGGGTTTCTTAGGTGGTGCAGGATTTCGTCCATCCACAGTATGAGGGTGCAACCCAAACTGCGATGGCATGGTCTTCCGCCGGGCGAACATGTTGCACTGACCTTGCTTCTAATTTTGGTCTGGCGCCCATTTGGCTTGGTGATGTTGACCCCAGATTAATAAACCCGACCTATTAATAGGGGGTGTCCCCCCAAAAGCGATGAAGCCCCACTAAACGGGGACACCCCAAATCAATCATCCAGGGGTTCTACTTACATCCGGCATTACCTTCCAAATCAGGTTTCAAAAGAGCTGTGGTTCAGATGAAAACCGATCCAAACCACCAAAGTGCCTGATAAACTAGTTGCTGAGTAAGAAAAACACAGCGTCATTTTCCAGGTCGAGAGTTCCAGTTCCAACCGTTCTCTCCCTGTCGTGTGAACCCACCAAAGGTTGCACCGGACAGTCCCGATCAGCCCCCCTTCGCCTCCCCGCACCCGCAATTCCGCAAAAGAAGTCTTTCAGTGCAGGCTCCCAAGTTTAGAATCGTTTCGTTCCGTGTGCTCAAAGCGATCATCATTTGTTCAACGAGCCGTTAATCCTGAGGGCCCCCCTTTGCGCCCTTTCTGCTACGGTCCTGACAAACTCGGATGTGCCTGTGTGTCCTTCTGGTTTCTTGGATGCCCATGTTTGTCCATGGGTGAATTATGAGACCAGAGTTCCATGGAAGCTGTCAGGATGGGAGCAGGAAGACCTAGTCCTTATAAGTTGCTGGTGCGATAGGCAGGGAAGGAGAAATGGAACGACCCCGAAAAAACAACAACTGGTGGTTTCCTTTCGGGGGACCAAAGCCTAGGTTCATTCCAACTCATTCCCTGCCTATCGCCGCAAGAAAAGGGTACCGGTTCCATGTGGGTTCCATGTAGCTTGCGTCGAGTTTTTTTTCGGCTGACAAACCCAGGTGGGAAGCCTGAGGCGGGGCAAGGAACGAAATCAGAGGTTTGGTCCCACGGATTTGACCATTACCACCTGAAAATGGAATTGGGTTTGGGGGGACTCGACCCTTAGAATTCGCCCCCCTTCAAAGGCAGACACCAGGGTCGTGAGGACCTTAACCCCATGCAAGCGGTGGGTTGGGGTGAGGATTGATGAAGCCTTTTGGCCAGCTTCCTCAATCTCAGCAGCATCGATGGTCTCAATTTGCATGGTCTTTGTGTACATAATCCCCTGCCGATTGACATTGAACCCCCCAAACAACATCGTGGGCTAAAGGGGTTTTATGATTTCTCCTTCCCCGGGACCTCCTTTTTAGGCGCCATGTGTTTTTGTTTTGTTTTTGTTTTTTGCCAGGGAGTGTATGGAAAACCATCAGGTGATGCAGGATTTCGTGCATCCACAGTATGTGGGAATCGTGCCATCTACTTTCACCCAACCTCGGTTGCTTTCTGCTCCCCTACTACAAAATTATCTTTCAGTGCCTTTTTGCCTTTGCGATAGCGCACAGTGTCTGTTCGACGCAGCGATTTATTGGGGGAGGGGGAAAGAAGGCTCCCCTACTACAAAATTATCTTTCAGTGCCTTTTTGCCTTTGCGATAGCGCACAGTGTCTGTTCGACGCAGCGATTTATTGGGGGAGGGGGAAAGAAGGAGAAGGCCCCAAAAACAAACAAGTCAGTGTGTCTGGTTAATGGCAGTGGTTAAATGGAAAATTGAAGGCTAACATTTGTTGGGGAGCTAAATTTTGCCGACTAACTAGGAACTCTCTGCTTTGAGACTAGTTGCTTTCACTCTGCTTTCATTAGTTGCCAAAAAGTTAAAGTCCTAACATCCCTTGGCAAAATGCAGCAAAGCAACTGTCATGGACTTGCTTTCTGGGGGCTCACTGATATTCCATGGCCGACTGCGGGCAACTGCCTTGGAGCTCTCAAGCTACTCGGCACAAACTGTGGATGGTTGCGAAATCCATCCAACGCACCAGCGCAGAACCCTGGAATGATTCGATTCCCCTTCAAATACCAACAAACGTTTTGGTTTCAACCATGGATTTAAAGTGGTGCGGTCACGGATTTCGCAACCATCCACGGTATTGTTCGAGTACCACCCTTTACCTGCCCGAAGTTGTGCCGTCTTTCATAGTACAAGTGGCATCCTCTGCAGGATGCATGTCCTGCGAGCAAAGCGCTTAGTCGGAGGTTCCAGGAGTTTACTGGGTTACTTGTGCTGCCTACTTACATTGGGGACCGGAATGGCCTTGTGCCTAGTTGTCATAAATCTGGGAAATCAACCACCCCGGGGTCTAAGTCTATCTTGGGGTAGTCAAGAAGTGGAATCCTGTTGCAAATCACCTCACCAAATGCAAGTTGTGCTGATGCCACCGGATTTGGGAAGACCCTGCTGGGGTGGTTTTTCCTGTGCCATTGGAGCGGAGAATTGCGATTCCCAAAACCTGATTGGTTTGAATTCGGATTTCAAGCCCTATTTCTTGGTGGTGAAAGGTAATCAACCCTACACCTTCCACCAAAGCAACCAGAAAGAAGCTAAAAAGTTTTTGTTTGTTTGGGGACCCCCCAAAATATGACTCAGTTGTCCAGTGGCTCCCTTTTCCTCTTTTTTTTTGGTGGCCGCCCCACTAAAATGGTCCAAGCCCCAAAAAAGGGTTCCCTTTTTGTTTCCCAGGGTCACTGAACAACTGAGATGATGATCTTCGCCTGTTGGTTTCCCCGATCCGATCCAGGCCGTGCAGCTGAGATCCGCTTCGCCGGAGCAGGGGAGCTCCAGAAAAGGTCCTTGTCTAGGTCCAGCTAGGCGCCCGTTCTCACCCCCCTTTTTTGGGGGGAGGGTTCCCTTACTAAGATAGACTACAGAAAAAGGGTACCCTTATTCTAGCCTCTTTACTGGAGGACCTAGTTGTTGATGGGGAGAAAGCCGAGCGGATGGACGCGAATCCTTGCTCGATTCGCCAAGTTCGTAAGTGGCTATCTGGGGTATAGCTCCTACTTATGAGCGAGTTGGGCTGCTTGTAAGGATATTAACCCAGGTTACTAACCACCTGGAGTCTCCTTCTGACCCTTTAAAAATGGGAATGAAACCAATACGATTGGTTGGTATTTAGGGAATCAAATCCTTCCAGGGTCTCTCAGGTGGTGCGAAATGGATTTTGTCCATCCGATGGCACTGGTTGAGATTGGCTATTCCATTTGCCAGGGCCATCTATGTCGCCAAAAGGGTCACCTTCACTGAGGGGTGCCTGGAAGACCATTTTCCTTTAACAGGACCCATTTCTCTGCTGAATTCCACAGGGCCCCCGAAGAACAGACATAGAACCTGCACAGGGTTGTTTTGCAGCCTTCGGATTCTATGTTCGTTGAGAGGGCACCCGCAAGGCCCGTTTTTTCAGCTTCCCCCCTTTTATTTGCTGGTTTGGAGCTTGGTGGTTTGATGATGAAAGCGTTGTTTTCAACCCTCTAAGCGTTGTTCATATCCCCAAACCATGAATTCATCAGGGCAAGGCCAAATCGGCCCCTTGGCCCATTGGCTCCGGGGGGATGATAGTCAATCCCTGACTTGGCCGAGGGAGTTGTTTCCACCGACCTGGCTCAACGAGCACGCGGCTGGCGGTCTCCGCAGTTCACGGGATGCTCTCTCCAGAAATGTGCCCCCAGACACCCAGACGAGATCGCTGATCGGAATCGGCTGCTGGCTTCTGGAAGGGAACCGTGTCCTTAGGTTGATCAGGATGGTTGTCTAGAGGGGTGCCTAGATTTACCCCTTACTCCCAACCCAGCCACAAATCAACCAATCAACCAACCACACCATCCCCTAAAGTACCAACAGCTCATCCCTAAGGTCCAATCACTCCACTTAAATTCTTGAACGGCCCTTCCAAGCCCAAATGACAGAGTCAATTCTGAACCACGCCCAATTTAACCAATCAACCCTAAACTATCCTTTCACTTGCCCAAACCAGACCTTGTGACCTTTGGGTTTTCCAAATTTGATTCATGTGTCAAGGTTCCAAAAGGTCAACATAGGTCAACCTTGTTTACTTCCAGTTGCTTAACCATATTTCGTTATGCCTTGATTTTAAAGAACATCTATTACTGAATGTTTTTTTTCTTTTTCAGGGGGGCGTATTCGCAAATGGGGGGTGTTGTTTTTTGAGGGTACCCCTTTTTGATGGTTGAAGGGAAACCAAAAGGAGAACCAAAATCCATGTTGGGGGGTCAAACCTTAAAAAAGACGAGCCCAAATGGCTTGATAAGTGTCCTACTGGCTGTTTCGGGGCTCACGTCCTGAGTTTTTTGACTTTGGCTTTGGAACTGGCAAAGAAAAGGTTCCCTCTAACGTTAAAAGGGTCCAATGAAAAAAGCCTGGATACTGTTGCCACATTGGTGGAAATAAGCGGATATTCGACTCTAGAGGGAATTGGGTTGCTTGTGTTGGGGCCATCTCAAGTGAGGGGGGTCCCCAAGAGTTCCGGTCCCACGCGAGAAGTCGATCGAGGCCCAGCGAGGCGGCCATCGCCGCGGCTGAGCCGGGGCCCGAAGATCCGACGCGGTTCGCCCGGCAAGCAGCGGGGAGTTTGCGGAGCAAAGTATATATTTATGTATATATATATATATTATATATATATGTGTATATATATATTTATGTTCAATAAGATATATGTATCTAGATATGTAGATATTATGCATATGGTACCCCCCCACCCCCCAATATAAAACATAAACAAGTGTTGCGAGAAAACACTGGTATTTAGAGAGCTCTCCTAACAAGGGACGCCAAACGGGGTTTGGATTTCGATATTTCAGGCAGAAACAAAACCACCGGACAAACAGGCTGAGAGGTGTGCGCCCAAAATTGCCCGGGATGTGATCCGTTTGCGCGATGCCTGCCAAGTGGGCTGCCAAGTTTTCTCTTGTTTATTTGTTGTTTTGCGGTTGTTTCTTTGTTATTTAGTTATTCACTAGTTTGTTTAGTTGTTGTTTTCTCTTTTTTGTATGTGTTTTTTTGCATCAGTTTGTTTGTGTGTTGTCGCGTGGCCTGTGTTTGTTGCCTCGCGGCCCGTTGGACAGCAAGCCAAACGCAGAGAGAGGACGAGGCGCTGAGTCAAACTTTCACTCTGGCAGTCTGAAGCGAAGCCCTGTCCCAGGTTTCGGGGGGGGTGATTTTATTTTTTATTTTTTTGTTTGGTTTTGTTGGTTTGTTGTTTTTTTTCGTTTTGTTTGGTTTTTTGTTTTTTTGGTTTTGTTGCTGTTTGTTTTGTGTTTTTTTCTTGGTGGGGGTTAAAAAAACGTTGAATTGCTCAAGACCCCTAAACGCAGCTCCATGATCCTGAGCTAGGACACAATCTATAGACGCCCCATTTACAAAGGCGGGTCCAACATTATAGAGAGAGAGAGAACATAGTTGTATATACATTATTAGGTAAATTAATGTCAGAAAAGCGATAGGGATATCAATGCGTGCAAGCGTATATATATATATACATATACATGTGTATATATACATATACATGTGTATATATACATATATGCATATGTAATTACACATACTTGCTGGCTCCTGCCCCACGATCCACACCTGATATATGTTTCGCACGCCTACACTTGTACACACGTGTACATTATGTATCTGAATGTCTGAAAGGCTGGTTTGAAGGCCGCGAGCACGGCCAAATTGGAGTGATTTGGCCATGGTTCAAAACCGTTGTGGGATCCCATTTTGGTTGGTAGGTGAATTCACCACCCATTTTAGGCTACCCATTTTAGTGGTTGGATTGGGATGTTCACTGGGGGTACGGTTTGGATTTTGACCCATGGCCATTTATTTACCCTTAACACCATTCAATAGGCTGGCTCTCTTTCGAGCTAAATCTTGGAGAGATCACGGAGTGGCGAGAAAGCCTAGGCGAAAGGTTCAGGCTTACCCTGTCATAGACCCCCCTGCCCATAGACCTGGATCGAAGGTTCCCTCGCCTTTTGGGGCTGCTTTTGGGGTGAGATGGTGGTGATGTTTGAAGGGGGAAATATCGGTAGCCCCGAAATCCGCCGGTCAGAGTTTAGCCGACCCCCAAGACGGACAGTACATGACGTCTCTTTGTTGAGGCTTGAGAGGGCTTTGTTGTTTTTGTCAACTGATGATGTTGGTTCCCTGGGGTCCCTTTTTTCTGGGTCGCTTCTGGGCAAAGTATAAAACTTGCCAATCTCAGTTTGGGAATTACTGTATATACTAATCTTGCTGGTTCCCAGTAGGGCATGACCCAGGGTTTTGGGAATGAACCCAGGGCTGCCTGAAAGCAGACCACCAGTTGGACGGTTGATAAAACAGAAACATTCCAACTCATTCCCTTCCAGTTTCGCACCGAACCCAAGTAAACAGGGCTCCCCATATTTCCCCTTACATCACCTCTATCAAATTTCCACTCACCCAAAAATGGGCCAAACATGTCGCCTGACGCCTTTTGGCGCCTGACCTGACGCTCGATGCGAGCTCCGAGGCAAGGGGACGCTGAGCCTTTGCTGAAAGAGCTGGGCTCGCCGGGTGGCCTGGGAAGCATCGATCCCAGACGTCGGTTGGAGACCCAGACATTTTCACGTCAAGGTCAACTTTTGTCCCACTCAGCGGGCAATAGCATGTTTTTTTGTGGGTATAACTGTTCCCAGTTTTGTGGACAATATCATGCTTTTTGTTAGTGGAAAATATGGCGTTTCTTTGTGGGGTCAACCTCCAAGGGTACCCTTCCTCCCACCAACATGGCACCTGACAGAGGGTCCATCGAAGAGGAAGTTGATCTTCCAGGTGCTTTCCCGCAAATGCTACTTCCATTTGCTTAAGAACATTTATTAGTTTCCCCTGTTGGGTTTAAAGGGAATCCAGCACCACGTTGTGTTTTTCCAGGAAGCTTCAGCAAATGGAAGGCTATGTTAATGGGAGGATGGGCAACTGTTCCCGTTTAGTGGAAAATCTCATGTTTTTCCGTGGTTGCCCTGATGGTCATCCCATGTTGGGACCTTTTGATCTTAGCTTCCGAATCTGGCGGACCATAGAACACAGAACTGGTTGCCCTTGAGTGGGGCAACTCTTTTTTTAGAGAGGATTGATTCCAGGTGCGTTTGGGGCCTCAGATTAATCTGAAGGGGCCCCAAGCCAAGCCGAAACGGCGAAGGCGGCGTTTGGCCTTCGTAGGGAGGTTTCAGAAACCTCAAACGGCGATGTCATTTGGGTATCTGGATCTGTTTCCAGATGAGGGACCGCCTATTGCAAATAGGTGTTCCTTCTACACAACCCCAAGCAACTACAGAACCTCTTTATTATTGGTCTTGAAGGGAACCAAAAAGAAGGCAGCCAACTACGTGAATAAGGTCCACCATATTGAGAAAAGTCATGTGCCAAAACAAGTTGCACCCACCAAAAAGTTTGGTTCCTTTTAAAACCGCCCCTGTGATCCATGGTCTTTACACAACTCGACCTCTTCGATGATCACTTGCGATGAGCTTGAGCTACAGCGCCGCTGGACGTCTCCAAACAGACCGGGACCGTGCACTCCAAACACGCGGTAGGGCGTCTCAAAATTAGGGACCCCCTTCAACGGTTTCTTTGAAAAACCACACGGACACCCACCATTGGAAGGACACACCCAAATGGATGCCGTCCAGGTGCTTGTAGATAGGTTGGGAACATGACAGCCTTCGAACATGAGAAACCGTGTTGGCATTGGCAAGTCCAGGGTATTTCTTTTTAGTCGGAGAAGTAAAGATCCCTACAAATGGCTGGTTCCTTTGCTTGCGCTCCAATTTGAGGCTACCGGCTATGAACGGCATTGGGTTCGATCAAACCGAACCTGTCTTTTGAAGACCTCGAACGGGTTGCCTGAGTTACCCAGGCACCCAAAGCCGCGTTCGGCTTGCTGCTTGTCACGTCTCAGTTGGGCTTTTTTTTCCCGCCAAAGAGGGGGTTGTCACAGCGATCAAAGGGCGCCAAGGTCCCAGTTTTCTTCACCCAGAGGCTCCTGGCTTCGGCTTTGAATGGAAGACCCGACCCCTCCATTAGACACCCCGGAGGTGGTTGGGGGTCTCGAAACCAGGTTGTTTGAAGGCCCTAAATCAGGAGCCTCTGGGCAGAGCAGGTCTCCCTGAGCGTGCTCGGTTTTTTGTGATGACACCAAAACACATCAAAGGTTTCGCACTTAGAATAATTCTTCAAGTTCAAAACCTCCAGGAGACCGGCTTTTAACTGAACTGATTCTTGGGCAGGCTATACGCCCCAACCAGTGCGGGTTATCCAAAGATGCTTTTGGGGGGAGGGCTGTCAAAATTGAGGGAGCTGTTGGTATCTTTTCGGACAGGCGGCGCCTAGGGCAGCACTGGGATTAAGAAGAAGACGTCCATATACGGTTCAATGGGGATGATTGTACGTGGCAACACATACAAAGAACTAGGATACTGTTGATCGAGAAAATCCAATTCGCGTCACGAAATGAAACCATGGTTGAAACCATAATGTTTTTTGGCAGCTTACCGGGGAATCATCAGAAACGAACGGCGGTGCGAAATGGATTTCGTCATCCAAAGGGATGGTGTCGAGATATTGTTTTTGGCGGAGTCTCCTTTCAGTGGGTTCTCAAAGCTCTCATGGACACAACTTCGGGGGTTGATCAATATTCCTGGCCCCCAAATGACCATGGGTAACTTTTCCCATTTAGTGACGAACATATCTGGGGGAAACGCCACAAGTAAAGGAGCTTTTAATCAAGCACCGTGCACCAATGTACCAATGTACCCCATCGATTTGACACACCCCGTGTCTTCTCCTGTCACCTCGCTTTGGAGGCACTGCTCGGAGCGGATCGCCTTGTACCTGCGGCGGTGTCGGGGCCTCAAATTTGAGAGGAAGCAACTGGGGTGCGAAATGGGTGTGTCCTAAAATAGGGGACCCAACACGATGATTGGCTTCCTTTGCGTACCAATCTAAAAGGGGTACCAGTAAAACAACAAAACAGGGCTGATAACAATTTGATTCGAGCCTGCAACCTCCCAAGAAGCAACTTGCCCTGGGTTGCGCCTCCCTTGCGCGGCAGCCCAAGGCCTCTAAAACAGGGGCCGCCGGACACAAAACACTGGGCGAACCTCGTCACACGTTTGGAAGTGCGTCCGCGAACGAGTTGCGTGCACAGAAATTTGGCCTTACTTGTTCTTTCGAACCAAAGGATTGACAACTCGTATGATTTGCCCAGACTCCCCATGTGACTCCCAACTTGCCAGAGAGGTTCCCTCAAGAGCAAATTCAAAGAGTGGGGAGCCGCGACACAGACACACAGATCATATAGTGTTTTTTAGAGAAGCCAAAAGGACACCCACTATTTTTAGGGACCACTATTTTGAGAAACCCCGACACAGGCAAGGTCGGGGTAACGCAAGACCATGATTCAGTCGCTTTCCTACTCTGGGCTGCCAAAATCCTGCAGTTGGTAGATGCTTTACCCTAATATTCATGGGGTGGTATCCACCCCAACTGGTGCAGGAGGTTTTCCATCCACAGTATGGATCCCTTAATTCAGGTTGGTTGGTTTTAATACTGAGAGCAGATTGCCCACTACCACTTTTCGATCCTAAACCACCAATCCATGCTGCTTTTGCGGGACACCCTGATCTTGGTTTCCATGTTAATCTGCAGGTTTCCCTAAGGAGATGTTCCGCGCTAGCCACCTTTCAACACGTGCTCTTGACTCAAGAAGCCGCGCCAGGCATGATGTTCTACTCGGTGTCCAAGAACATCGGCATGGATTACGAGGAGGCGAGGCATTTGTCACTCGATGCGGTGGTCCGTCTCGATCAAGTAGCCGTCGCTTTCCGTAGGCAAGCCACGAGGAAAGTCACATTGGTGTGGCTCAAAAAAAAGAACATCCAGGGCAAACCGCAGGTTTTAGTCTTTGGTTCTATTTACCAAGGGTTATTTTGGGACATGTTTTGACCCACAGCCGCATGTTTACGTTGTTTTGTCTTTTTTGGGAGGGGGGATCCCATATTTTGACACCCCCACATGAAGCCATGTGTGATCCTTTCGGCAAATATTTGGACGAGTTGCCGCACACCAAGTCGGGCGGAGAAAGAAAAAACAACGAGCGCGCCGCGATGCAGGTCCTCGACCTCGGGATTCCTTCATTTCCGATTTGAGAACTATTCTTGTAAGTGAATTCCCCTCCCCCCGTTCATGCTGGTTCTCCTTTTTGAGGCATGGTCTCTGGTGGTGGGGGCGATGTTTGGGGGAGTCAAGGGTGGGACTTTGAAAGCTCTCAGTGGCTTCAACACGGATAGCTTCCATCAGACGCAAAAAACTCCCAAAGCTCGCAACATAAATTTCGAAATCGGGCCAGCAGGGGACCCCTGACATTCCAGTTCCCAGTTGTTCAGTGGTGCCCTGTTTACCTGTTTCGTGGGAGGGGATCCCCTTCAAACTCAACCAGCCCAAAACTTGATGGTGCGATAGGTAGGGAATGAGGAAATGAACCTGGAGATTCCCTCAAAGGAAGCCACAAGGGATGGTGTGTAGGGGTCATTCCGTGTCTACGAAAAAGGATCCCCCATTTTTTCCCGTGGCCAGTGGGCCTGAGAGATGAGTTCCAAACCCCTTTCTGTGGCATACACCATCCCCTTGTGAGTTCCTTTAAGGAGACCCCTAGGTTCATTCCCTCATTCCCTATCGCACCAGCAAGTTTACCTCGACCTCTACCTCGCAGCTGCGGTCACTTTTGACGCTTTGGCTTTGGCTTTTTACATTTCTCGGGCACCAGGACTCACCGGCGTTGTTTTTAGCATCTGTGGTTCAGTTGGGGGCATGGGACTCACATGTCTCACAAAATCCAGTCCCATGTTTTCATGGAACCCATTTCGATGAAACCATGGAAAAAAAAGGGCGGTACCCTTTGAGACACCTCCGTGATTGAATTCAGGTGGGCGAATTCCCATTCATGCTCCCAAAAGTGGAAGACATGGGAATCGGGAAGGATGGGGATGACAACCATCCCCCGTGTAACTTGAGATCCTGGTTTCATGACTCCCGAACTGGCGGGTTTTCTGGGTGTTTGGGGGAAAAGGTCGCCCTTTTTATGGTCCTTGGAATGTGCAACATGGTTTGCTTTCCCAGCTCCCGAACCTCTCTTTCTGCGTTCCGCTGTTTGTGACAGGAAGCTGTATCCGTTGGGACCTCCCGCAAGAGACTCGTGCAGGTTTCTTTAAAAATGGTGCGCCAACTTGCCATTTTTGGGGTACCCAAAAGGGAAAGCAGCCAAAGGGTAGCCAGCCAACAGGCGACCAACCAACGGGACACCAAAGGGACACCAACCAAAAGAGAAACCACGCAACGGGGAAACCAACCAAAACTTGATGGTTCTCAGCCATCCCCGTAGTTGTTTTAGGTCTTTAGGGTTTATTGTTTCCATTTCGCGCCTCTGCAAGTGGTCACTTGCGGTAGGGGGTCAGACGGACAGCCCAGAAAAAGACTTGGCTGTGGGTCAAAATCCAAATCGTACCCCCCAGTGAACATCCCAATCCCCACTAAAATAAAGCCTAAAATGGGTGGTGCACCTAGCCCAACATGGGATCCCATTGGTTTTGACCCACAGCTCTAAGAATTTTTGTATTACGCCCTGGGATTACGCCCACTGGGAAATGACTCCGTGTCGCCATATGTCCCGGATAACATCATGTTATGTTGGACCATTTTGGGACCATGTTGGGCCATTTCCCAAGGGTGTAATCCCAGGGCTCAGTTGTTCAGTGGCACCAAGTCTTTTTCCCTTTGGTGGCCCCACTAAAAATGGTCAAAACCCCCAAAAGGGTTCCCTTTCTTTCCAGGGTCACCAGGGTCACTGAAGAACTGAGAGGGTGATAATACAACAACCCTTAGAACAGCCCAGAAATCCGTTTTGAGGTGGAGAAAGTGGAGCCCACGGAGCTCCTCTCCTTGCTCTTGCGACCACAGCCGGGCACCCCAAGCCGATCCACGTGGTTTTACTCCGAGGTCAGAAGGTGCCCATCTAGGTCCCCCAGTACTGCCCTTTTACCCCTTTTTGGGGGAGGGTTCCGCTACTAAAATCGACTACACAAAAAAGAGTACCCTTATTCTCTACCGGAGGACCTAGCCGTGTGATGCATGAGGTTTTGGAAGCCAAACAAAAGCAGATGACATGTTTTACTTGCTGGTTTGACAGGGAATGAGACACGGAATGACCCCTATAAACCATCCTCTATGGTTTTCTTGAAGGGAATCCCCTTTCGGTTCAGTCCCAACACCTTGTCTCGGTCATTCCCTACTTATCGCGCCAGCAAGTTTAAACAGTTTAGGGGGGGGCCGCCTTGTTTGCCAACAGAAAGTGTGTGGTTTGTGTGATGATATTTTATCAACAGCCTTTGGGACCCGAAAGCAATCCCTAATGCATGAGTGTCTCACAAGTACAGCTCGCATTACTCGCTGTACATGGCTCAAGCAAGAAGAACCGTGCTTTCAATCGTTGTTGACCTTTCAATCAGCCGTATGCGGCGTAGTGTACAGAATCGTGTGCCATGAGTGCCGATCCTGGATAGTCCTCTACCGAGGCGTTTCCCTCTCCTGATGAGCCAGCGAACGATCCAGCTTCGCTGTGTGAACCGACTAGTCGAACAAATTCAGAAGTGGCCAGAGAACTCATCAGGAAGGGCAGTCGCGGACCCGAGTCGCTACGATCACGCAGCGACCGAGAGCGGGTCCTGGTGCTCGATCAACATCTCCCGTGGAAGTTGAACAGCATCAGCACGGGGACATCACCATGCACGACCTCCATGCCAATCTCGCAAGGGGAACGTCCGTTCAATCAATCGAATACGACAAACATGCATCTCGATCCCACGTTGAATATGAGGCAAGACACCACGACTTGCCAACAGATCAACGCGACGCAAAACAACACTAAGTTCAACGCCTACGTCAATCAGGACACTGAACCTATGGTTGCACAAATCGCCGAGGCGAGGCACGGCGAGATCATTGCCGGGCTTCAGTCACAATCACAGCCGATGAGGCTCGAGGTCCATGGTTGCAACACCATGCTGAACAACGTGCGAACACGCTGAAGTCAAAGCAGGAAGCTGAGGAGAAGTTGCAAAGGGCCATGAACACCATCGGTGCTCAAGAACAACAGATTGCGGAGAGGCTTATGTCAGAAAGGATCAATCAAGCCCCTAACCCACCTCCTGCTCCGGCTATTCCGACTAATCCGTCACCGGTTTCGCCAGCAGTATTTCTTCAAGTACTTTTAGTACGTATAGTGCTTGTTTTGCTTGTAGTAGCACTTGTAGGACTGCTTCTGGCATATGTAATATGTAGTGCTTGTACTAATACCTGTTGCACTTGTAGTATTCATAGTAGTATTTGTGGTATAGCACTTGCAGCAGTTGTAGTAGCACCTGTAGTACACTGGTGCTACACTGCTGGTACTTGTAGTACTACTAGTAGTACTTTGTAGTTGCAGTCAACTGCTGGCTGTAGTCGTTTTGTGTGGTGATTGTTGTTCAGTTTGGCTTTTGCTCCTCTGCTGCCCCTCTGCAACCTGTCTGCCCGCCTTCCCTGCCCCTTCTGACAGCAAGGCTCTCTTGGCTTCTCACAGGCCTGTTTGGACTGGCCTCCGGACTCTGCAAGAGTATCCCGCGGCTGGATCCACTCTGACACTGGGCCAAGGCTTAGGCAGTCTTTCGTTTTTGGACTGGCTTTTCTGCTTGGCTGGCATTGTGCTGATTGTTTCGTTGCTTTTTGTCTTGGTGAGTCTTAGTCATCGGACCATATCAGGAAAACCGCTCTCTACAAGAGCGGTGCTATCTTCGAGGTTGTGTGGCGAGATGGAGAAGTGGCTATGCAGCGCAGGATCTTTGAAGCTCTGGAGCTACATCTGTGGCTGAGCTCTGAAGGATGTTTTGTTTTGCACCATGCTTTCACTAACGATTGCCTTAGATATGTCTACCCTCAACAATGGGGTTAGTAAGCGGGGTCCCCCCCCCTCCCCCCAACGATGGGGGATCTGAAATAGTATCTTGAGGTGAGTTTCCATTTGATTTAGTATTGGTAGACTTGAGTTTCCATTTGTTTTAGTATTGCTGGAGCTTCCTTTTGAGATTTGAAACTGAGCTTGCATTTGATTTAGGAGCTTCCTTTTCAGATTTGGAACTGAGTTTGCATTTGGTTTAGTATTGCTGGAGCTTCCTTTTGCGATTTGGAACTGAGTTTGCATTTGATTTACGAGCTTCCTTTTCAGACTTGGAACTGAGTTTGCATTTGATTTAGTATTGCTGGAGCTTCCTTTTGAGATTTGGAACTGAGTTTCCATTTGATTTAGTATTGCTGGAGCTTCCTTTTCAGATTTGGAACTGAATTTGCATTTGATTTTGAGATTTGGAACTGAGTTCGCATTTGATTTAGTATTGGTAGACTTGAGTTTCTTCCTTTTCAGATTTGGAACTGAATTTGCATTTGATTTTGAGATTTGGAAGTGAGTTTGCATTTGATTTAGTATTGCTGGAGCTTTCTTCTGAAATTTGGAACTGAGTTCGCATTTGATTTAGTATCGGTAGACTTGAGTTTCCATTTGATTTAGTATTGCTGGGGCTTCCTTTTGTTTTTCTTGCGGGGGCCAGGCAACAAGACTTTATTTCGGGGGCCCCTGAAATAATGTCAAGTTGTGGGCTGAAGTACTACCTACCCCCTTTGTGGGTTGGATTGTGGGCAGGTGTTCAACAAGAGACATGTAAGAAAACATGAGTTTGGTAAAGCTGACAGTTTGGGATTTAAGGAACAAGGTACCAAAGATCCAAGGACCAGATGTTGCCTTGGCCATCTCTCCTCTCCTTTCTCTCTTTTCCTTTTTTTGGGGAGGGGATTCTTTTTGGCGCGGGTGGCGGGTGCTTGTCTTTATTCCAGGTGATTTACTAATCCTGTTGGGCCCCCCAGTTGTCTTTATAGCGCGTGCATTTACTAATCCCATTTGGGTCTTGCATGAGCACTTCTGGCGAGGTGGTTTACCACATGATCTCTCCAGAGCCACGATCTGCTTGAGTTTTGGTTGCACATTCTGGCTTGCTTCTGCCCTGCGCGCCTCTGCACATCCTTGGCATCTAGCCCATCTGGTGTGGGTCGCAGCGTGCTTCCTGTTTGCAGTCCGTTTTTTGCGTCTACACTGCAGGATGTTCTGTTTCTCGACGTGTTGGGGTTTAGACGCTAGACTCTGTTTTGGGCTTTGCAGGGCCAAAGAAGAAGACTGCCACATTCCATGGATTGCGGATACCGGGAGCGCGCTCAATTTGCGAATGTGTATTCGCGTTCCGCACTGAAACTCATGACAGCCAATGGCCGAACAATCGCTTCCCGACAGGCTGACGTGAAGGTCAGTGTGATCGAAAGCACTATCAATCCATACATTATTGAGGCCGCTCCGGCAGTTCTTTCCGTGGGGATGAGATGCCTTAGCGATGGCTGTGACTTCGTATGGAGAGCCATCGTAGACCACCTTAATTTCAAGTTACCTGATGATCGCCGAGTCAAGCTGGGGGTCAAAGGACACCCAACATGCGTCGCCGGTTTCTTTCTCAGCGCATCTTCAAAGTTACCTCTGTTCCTTCTACGCCGATTGGTGGTGAAGATGAGATGGTTGCACCCGTTGATGGACTCGACACTGAGGAGGATTTTGCAGCCACCGATGATGCTGGGAATGATGATTTTTAGGTTCATGAGGTTTTTCACCCATCAGAAGATGTGGTCAGTGAAAAAGTTCTCGGAAAAGGACCAAAGCACATCGTTCCGGAATTTGTGTTGAAACCGAATGTAAAAGACGCGTCTTGTGAGCGGGCTGAGGCAGCCTTGAAGGATGAAGCCAAATCACTTCAACACAAGATGTGCCATATCCCAAATGTATGAGTGTTTAAGTACAGTTCACATTATATAATTACTCGCTTCAAGCAAAAAAGCGCGTTTTCAGTTGTGGTTGACCTTTATGGAGCTTTCTGCCTAACCTATAGAAAGGACAAACCTTGGACAACCAGAGGAAATCATCGGATTTTGCATAAGCTGCTCGCCAAGGTCAGGCTAAGGTTGCTTTGCGAGAACATTACAGCGGGAAGCCCGCGGCGGGCAATCTGTTGCGAAAAATGGGGCCATGTGTTTTTGTGCAGGGACAATGTTTGGTAAAAAACTTCTCACTCCCTGAGTTCTTGGACTTGGAAACTTGTTGGGAAGTTAGTTTTAGTGGTCAACTAAAAGTTTGACTGGGGTCAAAGGAAAGGGGGGTTGTTGAAATGCATTGTGAGCGGTAGAGGTTGGTGGCTTTTGCAGACCCCCAGTTGAACTTGCTGGGGCCATGTTGCAGGATTTGTTTGTTTTTGTTGTTTCCCAGGACGTGTTTTGCGTTTGTTTTTTCAGGGGGTGTTTTGCTTTTGGGGGTATATTCCACAAAAACACAAGGCTAAGATATGGCCCAAATCCCTTGTAGGTTCTTCGGGGACGAGGCAGCTAGGGCAGAGGTGTGCCATTTTTCATGCAATTTTTCCCTACTTCCTTTGGTTCCCCTAAATTTCACAGGTTTGCCTGCCGTGTTCCCCTGGAACAAATGAGTTCATCTTCCATTCGGCGCCCCTTTTGTGTTGCAGGCCGCACGTCGCGGACTTCGAGCTGTGCAGGCATGGGTTCTGGTTGCAAATCATTCGCGACGGTGAGTCCCAGACACAAGTCGCTGGCGTTGTTTTCCAAATGTTGCAAGACCAAAATCGTTTTTTAAAAGATGTTTTCCGTGTGTTCCATGTTGTTCCATGTTGTTCCATGTTTTCCAACTTTCTCCAAGAAGGAGAACCCTTTTTTTGCATGGCCACTGGGGGGCTGAGAGGGAGGAGGGAATGACCCTGATGAATCCATGGTTGTGGGAAAAAACAAACACGTTTTTTGGGTTGGACTCCCAGTTCAAGTGATAAAAGCAGTCAGATCACAGAAAGGGGTATTTCAAAGCCCATGCACGATTCATCCCTTCCTTCAAGCAAATCCCCAGTTTCATTCCCAAAACCCTTGCTATTCCACTGAGCAACGGCACAAAAAGACACGTTGATTATCCCCACACAAGCCATATTCAGTGTCAGATGCAAAGTAGGTATGTGACGTATGTGTATGTAACGTAGGAGTTAACCGACACCATAGTTTTGAGCAACTGACAAGACTCCGCTGGTGGCGGCGAATCAAGCTCGCAATGTTGAAGGTCTTATTCTTGGGTGTTCCTTGTTTCAGCTTTTGGCGCTATCCCAAGAAATCAGATGACTGGTAGCTGGCAACAACATATTTCTGTGGGAGCAAAAGGTGTGCTCTGGACACCTTTGGAGCAGGGGGGACGAAAATCGGCAAAGGCTTAAAAGGGGTGCTTCAAGAGCTACTGTGGATGGTTGCGAAATCCATTTCGCACCACGAAATGAAACCATAGGAAACCATTGTTCGTTGGTATTTACAAGGAAATCATCAGAAACCAGGTCTCTTAGGAAGGATTCGCCTATAAATTCCAAGAAACAATGGCTTCCTCTGGTTTCCAAGTGGTGGCGAAATGGACTTCGCCATCCACAGCTCTGAGCCGTCTGTAGTTTCACCTCTCCGCCTGGCGCAGGAACCTCATCACCGGGTTCCCGCGGCCTTTGGATGCGGGGGCAGTGGCAGAGGTGCGCGACCGCTGACCAGGTCCTGGCAGCTGGCAGGGGAAAACACGGCGGTTTTTGGGCTATCCGAGGGTGAAACCGAGTTTTCTGCATCAAGCCCTGGAGATGGGTGTGTCATGGTTGTCGTTGGGAAACATTTTGCATTTTTGCTTATTGTGGTTTAGTGGGAAATCCCCGCTTAACTGCTAAGATTTAATTTGTTGCTCCCCTTCCAACGTCAATCAAGGTTGTGTCAAAATAGAATGACCCCCACGTTGGGCTTTGGAAGGCCTGAGTTGAAAGACCCTAGATACACAGGCTTCCAAGTACACAGGCTTTTGTCTGAGGCTTCCTCGCTTCCTTTGAACCCCCCAAAAGCCCCCCCCCCTAAAAAGAAACCAAGGCGTTTGACACCCAAAGGCCTGAGCCACTTGCTCAAATCCCGGGTAGATGAAGGTTAGTAAGGGACGATCCCAACCATAAATAGCTGCGGATGTCCGCCTTCTTGGTTCTTTACATGGTTCTGGGTGCACCATGTTTGTACCGGGTTTGGATTATGACTCACGTGGGCAATTACAAACGCACCCGCTTTGGCGTTTTGTCCCTAAATCCTCCCTGAGCCAACCCGAAGCCAACCTTGAACCTCTAGGGAGGTCCCGGTAGAAAGCCAGCTGAAGCTTAGGGTCACGCCTTGGGATGAATTGGATGGAATCGGGGAGGATGGCTCACGTGTCAACCTGGTTCCAAGAATGCACTGGCGTGGATTTTCCCCAACGTCATTTGTAAGTGGTTGAAGGGAAGCACTCACGGTCACACTTGGTTTAGGTTGGTAAACATGGAGAAACTCCAGAAGCAGTTCAATAGCAGGGATTGAATTATATATCCCAGAGGCTCCTGGCTTCGGCTTTCAATGGCAGACCCGACCCCTCCATTAGACACCCCGGAGGTGGTTGGGGGTCTCAAAACCAGGTTGTTTGTAGGCTCCCTAAATCAATCGGGAGCCTCTGGGATAGGAGGCTGTTGCGCACTACTTTCTTCAAATCCGAAAAGCCGGAGCCAGAGACGATGGACGGTCAGGCAACGTTCGCACCCTCCTCCCCACCCCGCCTTACTCTCCTCCAATTAACATGGGGCCCTCCAAAGGAGACGCCTCTATATAAACGATGTGTTTGCGTTGCTTCCACTCACCTGCAGGTCACTTTCATGAGGGTTTGGGTTGATAAGTTAGGCGCTCCAACATGGAGGCGTTGCAGCCAGTGGTCAGCCTGGCTCATCCGAAACCCATAATATGGCTATGAATCTCAATTGAACCCCCTCCGAATTGCCAAAGTGGTTGGTGGGCATCAATCAGGACCTAGATGATGTCCACCAAAGGATTCCACATCAAATATGTCACTGGCCATTTCTTTCTGAGGGGCGCCTTTCTCGAAACCAACATTCTTACTGCCAGTTTTTTCCGAGGTCGCCCTTTTTGGGGCTTTTGGTGTAAACCCGAAACCAAAAGGAAACCACACGGCGCCACCGGGTTTTGATTCGCCTAGCAGGTGCTGTCCAATGCCTTTGTGGAGTCCATGCCGTGCTCTCAGCTTCCCACGTGGGCGTAGCCTTTTGCCAGCTGGACACCTGGACGTGCAACTCTAGGGTATCCATACGGTCCAAGTCACCTCCAACACAGCTGTTGGACGCCCTATGAAAGAAATCTTCATGGGAAGCTTGGGGTATGCTCAAAAGGTATTGGGATCTTGGATACAGGAAAATGGACTCATGCCCGCAATGTGTTATAATGCGAATTGACAGAACCAAGGTCACAGAGCACACGTACCGTGAGATGTACTCTCACAAAAAACAATGTGTGTGTGTGTGTGTTAACACACGCTGCTCGCCAAGAAACCCATGGAAGCCTCAAGAAGCCCACTTCCCACCTTGCCCCTCAGCAAGGCCCCAAAGGACGCCTAATACAGGCGTTTCTCCCAAAATCGGTTACAGCAACTTAAGCCAGGGAAATCCAGTGACCCCTGATTCAAATGGTTTTAGATTTCACATCGGACCGAGGGGTGGGCAAGCCCAATATGGGCTGGCCCGGCCCGGCGCAGCCTGCCGTAAGAACGTGGCTCAATGGCAAGGCTTGGGTCTTCCACGACGCTCCCATCGGCTTCGGCAAAGAAATGGACCCGACACCGAAGCATTAGACACCCAGGTGGTTGGGACCCGGTCTCAAAACCAGGTTGTTTGAAGGCTCCCTAAACCAATCGAATTGGAGCCTTTGGGTGGTAGAGGGTAAATGGGAAACCACCCCTGAAACAGACCATTCCAAACCAATTAGAGTTGTGTGCTGATGGTTTGCTGAAAATGGGAGACTCCTTTTTGGCTGAAAAACAAAAACCAGCGCCTGTGACCAAAGCGAGGCTGGTCTATGGCGTGATGCCCTGGGCAGAGGAACGGTTAGATGAGTTCGTGGCGCTTTCGCGGGCTTCACAGGCGCGGCTTCCCGGGGTGTGGGCCTAAGAAAGAAGACACACATTTCCAGGGTTGTGGGATCAAGGGGGTTCTCCCCACTTCTGTGATACAAGGGAATCCCCGTTTCTATGATCAAATTAGTCTTTGGGAAGCCATTTCCATTGTATCACAGAAGTGGTCATTCCCCACATTTCGGTATGGCTCAAAATTAAAGAGCTACGGTTACGCACGCTTTAGTCTTTGGTTCCATTCAACAAGGTGCCATTTCGGTACCACTTTTTTGAGCCACAGCTATTTGGGTGTGACGTTTTTTGGATTGGAACCCACCAAAAAGGCAGGGGTTTCCTTTTGGTTTTCAATGATTGAAACCACCAAAAAAAGAGGCAACCTCGAACAAATGGCAGACCCATTTGGCTCAGCAAAAAGTCCACACCTGGGGCATGGTGCTGGATTCTTGGATCGCCCAAGAGGGCTCCTACTGGTGGGTGGTTGCGAAATTTATTTCGCAGCACCGTTCAGAGACCCTGGAATGATTCAATGCCCCAACGTAAATACCAACTAACGTTATGGTTGCCCACGGTTTCAAAGTGGTGCAGGATTCTGTCCATCCACAGTATGTTTTTGGACGAATCACATATGATTGTACTGGAGGTCTTTGTTATTTATTTCATGTTTGGGAATGATAAGAGACAGGCCGCGGAGGGGAAACAGCGGGTGCAAACAAATGGTTGAGCACAAACGAGGTCCCCATGGAAACCAGTCCAAGTCATCGAGACTCCAAGACGGTTTCTACTAACACCAAGCCACTGTGTTACAATCGAATAACATGTCAGCGCACGTTTAGTAACCCCCCTGCGATTAGAGGCTTCCCCTTCTCCCTCCCCCCGATTCCCACCAATGCTAAAGTACAGGGCCAACAAGGTTTGTTTAAAAGAAACCTGCCCAATCATTTTTTTCTCCCCAACCCCCCCGGCCGCCGATTAAAGATACCCTCCTGGCGCCCCCAAGCCAACAACCTGCCAGCAAAGGGGCTTTCCTTTTTTGCTTAGTACTTGCTCAGTTTGTGCTGAAGCCCGCCAATACTCCTCAAGTTTTCTCAACAACTGTGCTACGCCCAAAATGTGTTTTTCTTCTCGAGCTCGTTTTTCTTTTTGTAAAGCCAGGCCCCCCGTCGATTCGTCAGGGCCCTTTGGGCTCGAAGCAAAAACCTGCTTGTTCCCGTTTAAAGTCCTGCCCAGAAGGGGCCAGGCCCGGACCGAAGGTTCTTGTTCCAGTCCGGGGCCAAAAGCAAAGGGGTCTTTGGAGCGAAGGGGGCTCCAGATGAATCAGAAAAGGCCTCAAGATCTCAGTGTTGGGGGCTTGCCCAAGGTCGACCTTGAAGGGGCGGGGAGGGGGGAAGGGCCCTTTACTGCTCCGGGCTTACCATCAGAAGGTATGATATGAGAGTGTGCTAAACAAAACAGATGGCTGTGGGTCAAAACCAATGGTACGTACCATTTTCGGGTGGGTGCACCACCCATTCTAGTCTATTTTAGTGGTTGGATTGGGTCCCGTTCACTGGGGGTACGATGTGGCTTTTGACCCATGGCCATTTAGGTTCCCTTTAGAGAGCCACCCCAAATTCGGCGACCAGCTCGCGCGACTTCTTCCGTTTTTCTTCGGCGGAGGAGCTGCTGGGCAATGCTGCGATGAAGAGGATCCCCAGCTTCAGGCGGCCGGAATGAATCTTGGGGCTCTCGAGTCATTTTGGCAGCGGCATCCTCAGCTCAGTGGCGCCAATTCTTTTCCCCTTCTTTTTGTTGGTGGCTGCCCCACTAAAAATGGTCCAAGCCCCGAAAAGGGGTCCCTGTTTTTCCAGGGTCACTGAACAGTGGATGGTTGCGAAATCCATTTCGCACCTATGAAACCATGGGAATCTTTGGACTCTCGAGTTGTGGGTCAAAAATACTGTGGATCATCCTCAGTTCTTCAGTTGCTCAGTTGTTCAGTGGCATCCCGTTGGTTTGGCAGTGGCAGGGCAGTGGCCAATGGGTGACTCAGTTCTTCAGCGGCACCAATTATGTTCCCTCTTTTTTTTTGGTGGCTGCCCCACCAAAAATGGTCTTCCCCAAAAAGGGTTCCCTTTTTTTCCGGGGTCACTGAACAATTGAGCATCAGGCCCAGTGCCGAAGTGGTAGATCTGTCAGGGGACTGTCGGGGACGAACACGTTTTACATGTTGGGTCAAAAATAGGGTAGCCCCAAACTGGGTCGCCCTGGTAAATAGAATGGCCTCAACCTGCAGTCCGCAAGATTTCAGGTGATGGCAGCATCGGAATAGTCCTTGGGTGCGGAAAAAAGCCAATCACGAACAGTGCAGGTGCCCACAAGGAACCAAGAGGTACTGGGTGTTTTGGTAGGTTTCCCCACTCATCAAGGGTGGGGAAGTGAATTATTTGTAGGGGATTCGTCTGACTAATATGGTTCTTCAGGTTCCGCCGCGATGCACTTTCCAGGTGCGTCGTTGTGAGGCCCTCCTTTCGGTTGGCCTGCTTAAAGGGTTGGCTTGTTTAAAAGCAGGCCAAAAGGAAGCCGTCTTGATTTCGCGACAAACGCATGATTTGGGCGCTCACATACGACTCATGTGAGGGATATGCAAAAGTTTATGTACAAATATATAGACATGTATGACATGTATGTATGTATGTATATATATATATATAAATATGTATATACACATTCATATATGCGCACAGTCACCCCCTTGAACTACCTTTGTTGCTCGACTCTGGCTTGTGTGGTTGTGTCTCTTTTCCGGGAAAAACACAGCCTCGAGAAACTCAAAAAAAACACAGGAAGGTGTTGCCAGAGTTGTGTTTGGTTTAGTCGGTTTCTCCAGGCGTGTTGTTTTATTTGGTTTTCCCGCTGTTTTGTCGGAGTAAAAACACAAAAGCCCGACAAAGCCAAAACAACACACACTCGAAAAGGTTTTGGTTCAAAGGTCTAGTTTTCGTTGGTGGTCTCAGGGTGTTTTGTTTTTTGGTTGGTGTTCCACAGTTGCCCTAAAAACAACAGTTTGTTGTCTTGTTGGTTTCTGCGTTTAACCTCAGTCAAAATCCAAAAACCACTCCAGAAAGCAAACAAACTGCGGAAAACCAAAGAAACCTCGAGAGCACACAAAAACAACTTTTGGCAGAACCTTGACTTTCCCTCTGACTTTTGCTTGTTTTTTTGTTGGTTTTCTCGAAGTGTGTATTTTTTTGTTTCTGGTTTCAATCAAAAATTGATGACTTGGGCCAAACGAAAAAAAATAATACATGTACCAAGGGCAAAACCAAGTCAGATATGCGATTTGACACTAGAATTCAACACCTGGCCTTGAAGTCTTGACTCAAGCTCTTGTAAAGCTCCTTTAAAGGTTGCTTATAAGGCTCCTTGCCACGCTCCTTGTCATTGGACAGCTCCTACTCTTCGTCCCGTTTGTGCCCATGTGCTTTAACTGTGTTGTCATATGTTCCTTGCGAGCAAGACCAGTGGGTCGCAGTTTGCAGTTGGTTGTTTTTGGGAGATGTTCCAGTCGGAGATTGAACGCACAGGGCGCTTGTTGCATGCTGCTCGTTAATAGAGACAGGGTAAGAATTTGTTTTTTTGAATACTTTATACAGCCCCCCCCCCCACGAATAAAGCTCAAAGTTGTTCAACAACTCATTCTTGTTCTGCGAGTCGTAGATTGAAGATTCCACAGAGCAGTGTTCCGAGGTTCTTCAAAAGTTAACCTTAGATACAGCGACAGAACTTTGAAAATTGTGTGAACACCGGCAAACCAGAAATATAGCTTGAATTCTCAGTGCAGGGGTTTCTTTTGGTGCCGCATTGCCCGTCAGTTCGTCGTGTTTTTTCCCAAGGGAGTTGCAAGTCGTGGATCACTGTGATGTATCCCAGACCTCCACTGGTGTTTTTGGCTTGATTTTGGGGTTCCTTCAAATCTACCATTGTCTCTTGTTCTCCTACCGAAAAAAAGGGGGCCTACTGGGGTTCCTACCAGTTGGGAGAAAATCTGCAAAAAAGACACCATTTTGGGGTTCCACTTCTACCGAACGAGTGTTTCTTTCTCCTGCCCGCATGGGCCGTAACTGAAGCAACTCAGATCTGGAGGTGACAGTCTCCCGACGCAGGAACCGGCTGATGAAGAGCCCCGACTATGCGTCCAGGATCGCGAGGACCTTAAAAATCCAGGGATCCAACCAGAGGCCTGTGGTCTTACACTGTATATTGTATGGACAGAGGATTTTTTGGCTGGCAAACCACCCATCACTCCAAATTCCAAAGGTGTTTTTCTTTGATGCATGCTGAGTAGAACTACGCAGGTTTGCAGGTTACACGCCCGGAGGAACTGCCTGCTTAGAAGGCTTTGAAGATGGTGCTCGAGGAAAACGAGTCGCAAGTGACCGCGGGTTAGGGGTCCCCTTCAAGGTGGTTAAAGAAAGAAGTCATTTGGGAATGTCCCACTTCGGTATCCCAAAATCGTTAACAGCGACCCCGGATCCAAGTAGAACCCGTCCGATCAATAGGGCGTCCCCTCCGAAGAGGTCTGGATCCCCAGTAACAGGGGACCTTTTTATTCGTCAACCCCGGGTCAACAGGATGTTTCGACCGTGGATTGAGCGGAGGGTTGTCAAATAGAAGGCCAGTTCCTTCGATGCCGCCTTTCTGAAAGCTACGAAGAGAGAAGCCCCTCCAAAGTCGGGCAACATTGCAGCCCCACCTCTAAATCATGTCCAAAATGTCCCCAATGAAAGTTTACACCCAAATGGGTGGGTCCCTCCTTTTTGTTTAACTTTTAAGCAGCCCACGTGGCTTTGTTCCGCAATTGTCCACAAGTGAGAGGCACTATTGTTTCCTTTGAAGTTCCCTCAAAACGACTGGGTGCGTCTGTTTTTAAGGGCACGGGCACCCTTTTTGGGATGGTTTTTCAAAGGGAAGCAAAAGGATAATGTTTTTTGAGGCACTTGTTTTGGGCTGGTTTTACAGGGAAGCAAAAGGAGGATCACCAATTCTGAGGGTCCCCTGTTTTGAGACCACCCCCAACTAGTACCTGGAGTCTCCATGACCCTGCAAAAATGGGGTCATTACCCAAAATTCAGGGGCTATGAACCCTTTTTCTAGGGATCATGGAGACTCTAGCAGGGCTCCTTAAAAGATACATTTCGCCCATTTGAAACATGGTGTTTTCCACCAAAAAAAAAAAAACCAAGGCAATGTTCAGGTCTCCGATTTTGAGACCACCCCCAACTGGGTCCTACCCATTTCCCAGCGGTGCTGAGGTTCCGGAGCAGACGTTGGATCCAGAGACGGAGGTGGAGGTGCTGGTTATGGCGTACCACTCCTTCGTGCAGGCGAGTTGGTCCAGTCAGAGGGCCTCCACCCCTCCCGCAAACCAAGACCAAACTTGGTAGATGCCCTTTAGATAGTCGCAACAAATGGGCAAAAGTTGTGTTGTAGGGCAAAAAAGCAACAAACGCTAGGCCCCAAAGGAGATTTTTGGTGGAACCTTTGGGGTGTTCGAAAATGTAACTGGGTAGGTTAAACAGCCAGAGGGCCCAAAACTGAGCGATCCAGAAACAGGGTTTTGTTGCGTACCTCTCTTCCCCAGATGAACTTTGCGAAGATCGTTTGAGTGGTAAGCAACTAGGTTGCATCTTTCATTGGATTCCCTTACTCAGGCCTGGTGTTTTTTACCCAGTTTTCCATTGGCACCTTGTCTTGGTCTAAGAGGGCGTTCTTATGAGACTTCACTCCTCAGAGAAGTGCGCATGCTTCAAGTCCACTGGACCGGAATCGCTTCCCAGCGGGCGGTGGGGATACACCCGGTGAAGGATATCCAAATGTGCCAAGGGAGTGCTTAGAGATCAAGCCCCCATGTGGTGATTGATTTTAAGAATGAGTGATTGACCGTAGCTGAATTGTGGACTTTAAAATTTAAGACTGCTGAAAGGGCGTTCCCAGAAATCAACAGCGGGATTGGGTGGAAGAAACAGGAGCTGGTATTGTGCTGCCGTTCGAGCCGGTAAACATGCTACGGGAAGAGTTGCTGCAGTATACTTTATTCCAGAAACAAGTTGCCATGGATCAAAGGCCAGTTCAAGTCATAAACATGAATACACCTTGGGGTTGGTTCTAGTCCCATTTTGTTGATCCTTCCTTTCGGAGGGCGGTTCGGTTCGGTCGGGCAAAGGGCGACGCATTAGGTCGTTCACCTCATGAATTGCCAGACCCATGGCAATGCTGACTGCTTGCCCGGTGGTCGGCCCAAACCGAGGCTTCAGCCGTGGCAATCAGGGAGCTTCTACTTCCGGGATCTGCCTAAGTGTTGTGTTGCTTTCATTTCGAAGTCTGGGCAATTTCTGTTGCGACAGCTAAAGAAAGCCAGGAGTTTCGAAGGAAACGCTCGTTGCCCTGCAGCTGATGTTGGTTCGCCCATTGCCCGGCGCCGCGTAATACTTACCTCTTAAAAACACAACTTTTCAACTTTTTGGGTAACATGGGCTACATGTCTGTAAAAGATTAACTTCCCAGGGCTTGGAGTTTTAAGGGGTAAGACTATCAGACTGGTCATGGCTAGGCCATTCTGCATCCCAGCTTCCCCTCGAGAAATCGTAGATCGCCAGGGCTGCTGCGAGCGCTCGGTGAGCGAGCGGGCTCCTTAGATCCAGGTCGCGTTGAGAGATGAGCCATGCTAAGAAACCAACTACAGGAAGTTCTACCCCTGATTTTGGTGGGAATTTGGCTAGGTTCCTGTAGACTCTCCTGTAGCTGGTTCCATGTATGCTCGATGCAGCTCGAGCTTAGGGTTCATCTCGGAGCGCCAAGCGTCGTTTAGGCGTTGCCAAAATCCCAAGGGTCCCAAGGTCCCAAGGTGACCGGGTCCCTTTGAAGGAGTGCCCAAAAGGGCCAAGTTTGGACAACCTCCACCTAAAGACTGCTCAACTTAATTTGGTTGCAGGTGTCTGTTGGGGGACCCCCAGAATGGGAGGCTGTTGTTTTTATGTTCCTTTAAACCCGCATAAAGGGGTACTCTCAAAAACATGACACACCCATGTTCATAGGTGTCCTTTTTGGTTGTTTTGGTAGAAACGTAGATGGCCCTGGTTTACCTGGTGGTTTAATGATCTACCAGGGCCATCTATTTCCCCTAAACGGACACCTACGGCCATGTTCCTTTTGTCCCAGGCTGCTTTGCTTCCTGCAGTCGCGGGCAGAGCTGTATGCTGAGAGCTCAGAATGTATTCAATTTCTGGGCAAGGCGATGAGTGACTCTTGGCCTGTCACTGTTGGAAGGAGCAGCTGGTGAGATTTCAGTTCAACACTTTGTTGGTACTAGTCCCGTTTTGGTTGTTTTTGATCAGCGTTTTGGCGACGTGAAACGGGGTCCAATCAACAGAGCTGGGTCTTGGCCTTCTTAAAATGAAGTGAAGGTGACAAGGGTCGTGCGGCAAACCACAACTTCTACCCCCCACCCCACCCCCCTTGGACGCGGGCCTTGAATTCTTGACTGTTAGGGCTTATCAGCGGGCCATATTTTTTTGGCCATAATGTTTGTTTGTGTTCTTTTCCGCGCCTGAAAAACAATAATTTTGGGCCTGGTGAAGGTGTTCCTTTGTTTGATGGCTGGACCCAACCCCCCCCCTGGGCCAAAAAAACTCCTTTTGCGGCATCCGGTTTTTAGGTTCCAGGGTTCCATGCCACTCTGGGCTTGTCCGTTTTGACGCGCACCCCCCTCCCCCAAAAAAAGAAAGAGAAAGTGTTCCTTGAGTCTCCCCCTAAACCAAGAAACAGGTACCACCAAAAAAGAGACACCCATCCGGGGAGCCCAACAAGTCCAAGAAGTGCAAGGTGAAGCGTGGGCACTTCCACCTCTTGGTGCGTCTGCCCGGGGCCTCAACTGCCAAACGCCTCTCTCGTGTGGTTCTGTTCGGTTGGTACTGTGGATGGACGAAGTCCTGCGCCACATTGAAACCAGGGAAAGCATTGTTTGTTAGTATTTCCAGGGGAATCATCATTCCAGGGCTTCTTAGGTGGTGCAGTAGGTTTTTACACAGGGAAACCAAAAGGACAACTACAATTAAAGCGGGTACAAAGAAAACAAACAACACGTATGCTAGTTCATTGAGTCGGCATTCCGAGTGTCGAGTTGGCTGGATTTGGTGCTGTTTATTTTGTGTGACTTTAATCATGCGTTCCGTTAGCGATGCTGGTTCTGTTCCGTTTTCAGCGGACTGCAAAGAACAAAGGTTGTTTTTCCACCAAATTCCTCCGGTACTGTGAATGCACGAAATCCTTACACCACCTAAGAAGCCCTGGAATGATGATTTCCCTGTCAACACCAACAAACAATAGTTTCCCACAGTTTCAAAGTGGCGCGATCGGATATCCACAGTAGGGAGCAGATTGACGGAAGGTGGATAGCTCGAGAGAGCTGATCAACCATTTTGATATCTGCCTTCGTGGTTGCTCGATGTGCTACCGGTTGTTTCTTAAGCTGACTGTGTTCTCCATTGAAAGTATGAAAAGCAACGCTCGTGGTTGCTTCAGCCACGTGTGTCTGTTTGGCAACCGTGTCCGGCTTCAAAAAGGGAAAGCATGGGACACCAACCATTTGCTGCGCTCCTAATTTTGAGGCAAACCCATGTTGGTTGCTTTGCAGTTGATCTCTAGCCTTTTGAAGTTTTGGAGGTAGGACAGCTCCCCGGTACCGGTTTGACTGTAAAACTTGGTTTGACCTTTGGAAGATGCGGCCTGATGCAGGTATCCCAAACCACACGCACGTTCAACCTGTCGCATGAGTCAAAGAACCCAGATGTTGGACACCTACTTATCTCATATCATTGCACGACTTGGCCATCTTGCCAGCTTTGCACAACCTCCCGAGAAAGAAGAAAAAAACGCAAAGGCAAAGAATAACGCAAATAGTATATAGCGAAGCAGGAAGGGCCCCCCCCCGCCCGAACTTCATGAACCAAGGTTCAAGCTTAATCCCTTCCCCCTAATAATAAACGACGCCCCCCCCCCCCTCCCTAATAAAAAAAATACCCGGCCTGCAAAACAATTTTTATTATTAGGGGTCCCCTGGTTCTGGAGGGCAGGTTTTGGAGGTACTTCTTGTTCTGTGTAGGCTTGTTTGCAACTGTGGTCCCCCTGTTCCGTTCCGTAAAATCGCTTCAAACGCACATTTCTGAGTAAGGAATTTAAGTAGCGGGAGTTGAGGTCACGTTTTGTTGTTTTTGGTTGTGGGTTTTGGGTACAGCAACTTTGTAGTACAGCCGTAGTAAAGGAAACGTGCTCCCGGAGCTCTGGCCCATCACGGAGTCGGTGTCCGTGAAGAGCACTGAAAGTCGCAACTTTGCAGTACAGCCGTAGTAATTAAAGGAAACGTGCCCCCGGGGTCCCCCTAATGGGGCTGGATTTGAGTACGGGCAGGAAAATATCTACTTTAGAATTGGTTTAGTATTGGCTATTCTAAAAGTAGTATTCCCGGATTTGGGACTTCCGAAACAAATATTTATTATTAGGGAGACCTTTATTAATAGGGGGAAGTGATTATGTCAGAAGTCCAAGCATGGTGCTCGGCAGTCTCCTCACGTTCCCTCGTGCGCGGAGGGTTGGTTGAGGAACGCCCTCCAATGATAGAATTAACATGTTTGCTCACTTGGGTTTGTCTTTTTGGGGGGGATTCCTGCTGGTTTTCAAGGGAAGCCAAGAGGAGCACCACCATGTTGGGGGGTCTCCTAAAAGAACACACCCAATTAGATTTGCTGCCGGGGCTGCAGGGGCAAGTGAAGACATGCGACCCTTGAAGTTGCTGGCCGGTGGGTCAAACTGCAAAGCCCGTGAGTTCTGGCTGCATCCTTTCTTGAGGCCGCTCTTATTGGGTTTGCTTCAAAGGGAAGCCGCTTGCTTAAATACACCCTTTTTAGGTGCTTGGTTCAAAGGAAACCTTGCTTTTGGGGTTACCCTCTCCCCAACAAGCATGAAAGTGCGCAGAGAGGCTCCCAAGGAAATAGTCTTCCCACACCCTCCTGTCGGATTCCATGATAGTTACAGGGTGGGTAGTTTCAAACCGAAAGGAATCCGAAGCCCACTTCAGGAAACCGGGCTCCGCTCCCCCTGACTCCCAAGGCTGGTGGCGATTCCGGAGTACCACGCTATGGCCACGCCGACATATTTCCATGAAAGTAACCCAAGACGGGACTGGGGCGTTGGTTTAGTGGGGCGGGGTTTCCATTTAACCCGCGAAACGTGGCACTTTTAGCAATCTGACAGCCAAGGGAACTGGGCCCACGATTTTGACTGGGGGTTATCAAAGTGAGGAACTTGTTTTTGTTGCCCTTTTTACTATCTTGGGTGAATTGTCACGACCTCACACGACCGAATTCACCCCAAATGGTGGTTTATGTGGGGACATTGGGGAAAAAAGCTTCAGGGCCAGGTTCTGTGGCGATGATCGCTTTCGCGCTGTTCTCTCGGTGGCCATTCCGCCTCAACCCGGCAGAGCACAAGGGCACCACAAGATCTCATTGGATGCAGGTTCTCATGCCAGCTGTGGAGATGCACGGAAGGCGTGATAGATGACAGAGAAGTTCTTGAGCGGCTGGGAGAAGGCGTTGAGAGCAGCTGCAACAAGAATCCGCTCTTACCCGATCAATCACTGCCTTGCACAAGGCCCTTCCCACAAGAACACCCTCCCAAAAAAGAAAAGAGCGGGAAATCTACGACAGCTCCATTTTTGGTCCGTTTTTTCCAAGGACCCTCAAAAAAAAAGGGGGTTCATCTAGGACAGGTCCCATGTTTTGGCCCATTTTTTCCCAAGGGCATGACACGACCCTTCCAGCAGTCGAGTCTACGAGTCTACCCTACCACGGGGTCGATCGAGCTTGAGGATCGAAGCTGGGGTTGACATGTGGCGGTGCTCAAAACCGGTGTGGGACTAGTCGCATCACCCATTTTAGGGTACCCTATTTTAGTGGGTGGTTGGAAAAGCGGTTTGGGACTAGTCCCAGTTTGGGGTTTTAGGTGAATCCACCACCCATTTTAGGTTACCTATTTTAATGGGGATTTTGGTTGGTAGGTGAATCCACCACCCATTTTAGGGTACCTATTTTAGGTTACCCATTTTAGTGGTTGGATTGGGTCCCGTTCATTGGGGGCACGATTTGGAGTTTGACCCATGGACATTGCGGAAGGAGATAGTTTTGTTTGTCCACCAAAGCCTTACAGATCATGTGTTACGTCTTGGCCGTATTGTCCCTGAGCCGCTAGATAGCCAAACAGTGGTAGATGTTGCTTGGGTCCTTTTGGCCAGTCAAAGGATCTGTGGACGGATGCCCTAAATATTGCAGAGGAATTTGAGACCGGGGAAGCCCTCGAGTTTACCAGCCCTACCCTCGAGTTTACACAGAAAACCCCACGGTTCTGTGGCTGCCTGGTTTTCTGGCCAGAAACCATTGTTTGCTGGTATTTACAGGTGAATCATCATTCCAGGGTATCTTAGGTGGTGCGAAATGGATTTCGCAACCATCCATAGTATTTTGGGGTTCTTCGGAGCGGACTCATGGCAGGAGTACATGTTCGGCCTGCTGGCCACGCGCCCCAGAAGGTGATCTTCGGAGGGTCTGCGAAAGCGATGCGCGAAGTTTCGTGTGGCTTGGAGCCTCGAGGCTGAACGGACTTTTTAATTTCCCAAACACCTCAGACACGCAGATGGTCTTTGGCCTTTCGCTGTAAGGGCAATCAAACCCCGAAATCTTGTTTAGGGGTCCAAATGGACGTTGTTTCGTGGGGCAATCAAACCCCGAAATCTGCTTTGGTCCAAATTTCCAAATCCCCGTGCGCACGACTTCCACACGACCGACCACGACCGACCACGACCGACCCGATGTTCCCTCGCCTCGAGGTTCGGCACGGGCAGCTGCAGATGCTCCTCACTGAGGGTCGCAGGATTTTTCGGCAGGCGGAACTTCGATTCGTTCGGAAGCAGAGCGGGTTGAAAGTCGGTTTGGTTCCATTTGCTGACATGAATGTTTCTGTTACTTCCCCCCGGTTTTAGAGGGAATCGATGTCACTCCTAGAAATATGTTCTCATTTGTTTCCAGCGCACTTCAGCAAATGGAGGGTTTGGTTTACTGGTCTTTGGTGTGAAGGCCCAAAAAGGACCCTTTCTTTGAGAAATGGGTGTTCCAGACCAAAAGGTTGTTGGCTCACGGGAGAAGAGTAACCCAGGTGTTGCCTGTTTTACGCGAAGGGCACTTACCGTGTTTAGGGTTTGAGTTGAGGAGTCTTGGGTGTTTCCCGTTTGAGGGAGCGCCTATCGTGGGTCACTGCCAAGCCCCAATAGGTAACCGTGACTTATTTGACTAATTGCTTTTCAGGATGGCCAACCCCTTGGTAGCCTGCTCTACAGGTAAATAAATCAATCCAATGGGACATCCATCCCGCTAGACTTCGAATGGCAGCGCCCTCACGTATTTTAAACATTTGACTTGCACCGCCCGCAAAACCAAGACACATACAACACACAGCTGTGTGTAGAGCAATTTTATACAGAGAGGTGGGTCCTGTGCTTGGTACGTGTAGGATTCTTCTAGTTTGGAGAGCAACACAACTTGCTGGTAAGTAAGGAATCAACAGGGGTTTTAGGAATGAACCTAGGGTCCTCTTAAGGAACGCCACCGTTGGATGGTTTATAACTGGGTCATTCCAACTCATTCCCTTGGAACATGACTTGCCTTTGGGGTGCCTAAGGCAGTGCAGCTTTCAAAGGCTGTCTTGAGTCTTAGGAGGGCTCCCGCTTTGCAAGGAAAACCAAAGGAAAAAGAGGAAGCCAGGGGTTTGGAGGGTTCTCTTTGTCAAGTCTGTTCAACTAATCGTTCATGCTCAAGCTAGGTGGTAGTTTTGTGGTGTCCAAGGGATTGCGGGTTTAGGATTCCGGATCCTGCTCCATTTGGAACAAGACAAGTGGCCTTGCGTTGACGCGGCGCTTGGCCATTTCTGGGGTCGAGTCACGGGTATTGGGTTGATATGATCCACTTGGGAGGCGAGTTCGGTGTGATATTTCAGCCAGGCAAAGAAAGGACTTTGGTGCTGATTGTCAGAAAGAGGCTACAGTATAGTGTGTGCATGTACATGCAATCTTGTCAGCGACGTGTCCTCTTCGAACCGTCGGTACCCGTGCATCAGTGAGTGGCGAAGTTAAATCCGTATTGTCCATCAGTACAATGCTGTGTGTTCCCAACCGCGACTCCTTGTGTTGCCACTGAAACCACTTGACCATGGGTCAAAATCCCGTACGCCAGTGAACATCCCAATCCCCACTAAAATAAACTAAAGTGGGTGGTGCACCTACCCCAAAATGATACCATTGGTTTTGACCCACAGCCATTTGTTCCTAGCCTTTTAAGGGGTCCGGACCCACATCAAAGGGGGCTAGCATGCCCCCATGTGTCAAGGTGAGAAAATGGTAGTGACCCTTGAGGAGCAGCGTCCCTAACCCCCAGATGGAACGGCGGCTTTGGTTTCTTTCCTGCTCTTCGGAACATTGCTGAAAGATGAAGGCATCCAGAATGTTGCCCTTTCTAGGGTGGATATGGACTTTTTGACAACCCCCCTATATCCTTCGAGACTGAAATCATTCAAAATCAGCCAACTTATCTGTAAGTCATGTGCCATCAATGCGAACCCACCCCCTCCCCACAGGGTTCAACCCCCATGAAAAGAGTGGCAAGTACCCAATTTGGATGATGACAGTCCCGAACTGCAAAGCTGGTTGTGGTGGTTCCATGAACCCCATCATGGTTTTTAATGGTGGTCTGCCTAAACCCCAGCTTCCATTTGTTTAATGATGTTTTTGTTTTTTTCCTGTTGGCTTTAGCGGGAATCTCTATCGCTATTGGACATATTGTCTCATTTTGTCCGGGGATATTGCTGCAATTGATGCCAGGGTCCATAAACCGAACGTGTGCGTGATCACCCCCCCACCCCCCCCCCCCCTCAGCAGGAATCTAGCAAACCAAACCAGACTCAAATGGTAAAAAGAAGTAAGGCCGGAATCGATCGCGCCTTACCACTTACCTGACGTACCGAATCGATCTCCCCTTGAAGGGACCCCTGAAGAATGTCAGCATTGGCGCCGCGAAACGCGAAACCGCAGGATGCCGCCACCCGAGCCTGCGGCCACTCCTCGCTGGCGGTGGCGCTGATTCGGCGCGAGTCCGAGTCCGGCAATGCGCGACATGGGCTTGGCGTATTCTGGGCGTTCTGGGTCGGTAGCCCCTTTTTGGTGGATTTAAGGGGAAGCCACTAGGAAAACCACTATATCTAGGTCCCCCAGTAGTGCCCTTTTGCCCTTTCCCCCAGGTTCCCCTACTAACATAGACTACAGCATAAACGGTACCCTTATTCTAACCTTTTTACTGGAGGACCTAGGTATATATATATATATATATGGGCCCCCATATATATATATATATATACTTGGGGGGCTATCCTGAAATAAAGGAAACCCATTTAATTTGGTTAACATGACCATGTTATTGCTAGAGTCAAAAGACGAGTTTGTTGGTCACATTGGGCTTTTGGAGCTTGCCACTGGTTGATAGTTCATACAGCTTGAGTGAGCAGATTGGCGCGTGTTGGCAGTGACTGGATGCAGGCTACTAATGTCTCGGTGAAGCTCAAATCTGTCCTTGCCCAGTGGATCTGAGGCTTTCTTAAATTAAATATGAACTAGGACCAGAGTCCAACAATATTACTGTGGATTTGACAATGAATTCAAAGGGGTGCGAACGGATTTCGTCCATTCATACTGTGGATGGACGAACTCCATTTCGCACCACCTAAGGAACCCTGGAATGATGGTTCACCTGTAAATACCAACAAACAATGGCTTCCTTTCAAAGCGATGCGACATGGATTTTGTCCATCCATATTGGTACAGGATGGCTTGCCGAAAAACCACTGGCATCCGCTGACCAGCTGAGCTACCTGCGCTCTGGGAGCCCAGGGCACCCATGTGCTCGTTGGCACCACCATTCCCATGGGGGCTGGGGGGGGGGGGGGAGGGAGCCAAATAAGCCCCAAATAAGGCCTTATTAAGGGCTTAATCAGGGCTTATTTGGGCTCCACCTCCCCCTCCCTCCCCTCCAACCCCCATGATATATGGCTGTGTGTGTGTGTGTGCGTGCGTGTGTGTCCGTGTCTGTGTTTGTGCTTGTGAAAACTTGGCATATGTCGTTTCGTTTCTCATCCCAAAAGGTCCACATGGCTCCAAGATAGAGTCCACTCCGGCGCCGAACAGAAGATCAGAGACAAGATCTGTTGCCTGGCCAAGGGGTGCAACTAGGTTCTCAAAATGGTGGAAAACACTCAAAGGCAGCTGGTGGTGTTGGTTTATAGCACCCCCAAGGGCGGGGGGGAGGGGGTTTAAACCATTAAACCACCCCCCGGAAAGGGCGAGCCTCAAGAAACAAGTGATTGGTTGTGCGTCGTGAGGTACCTGCAGGTTCACTTCCCCCTGGACTTGGAGATGCAAGTCCAGGCGCGTTTCGTACCCATTTTTGGGCACGCGGAGGGTCCACTTGTAGGTTTTGAGGTTAGGGGGTTCGTTTTTAAGACACACCCATTCGGAGGTTTCTGGCGAAATACTTAGATTTGGTCGCAATACTTGACCCGTTTTGGGCTGGTCAAAGGGCACAGAAAAATGTGTTTGTGTGTGTGTGTGTTTTTTGGGGGCTTCTTTGAGAAACCTCCATGTGGCCAAAATGGTGGAAGATTAAACATTGCCCCCCGCCCCCCCCCCCCCCCAAAAGAAAGCAGAAACAAGAACAAGGAGTTGCAATGGGTGGTCCCTTCGTGTAGGTGTTGTTTCGATTTTTAAGCTCGGGTGTTTCCCCTTGCTACGTTTCCCTTGGTTTAAGGCATGGCCGTGGCGTGACCAGGGTAAATAAAGGTCACCCTTTGCTGAAGAGGCACACTTGTATCAAATGGCTTCCGAAGCAGCTGATTTCGCTTTCCTTTTGGTTTCCCTTCAAAACCGTTTAAAACAACTTAAAAACAGGTATTCCCTCAAAAAAGACAGGGTCCTTGCAGTTTGGGGGAACCAGATCCCAAACAGACGCTGGAGGACTTGTGGGAATGAAGGAGTCCGTTTCTGAAACATGGCTTTCCCAGTGATCTTATTTCCTGTAGTAACACTTTTGTAATTGAGGTATATGACCATGCAGGGAAACCATTTTCTGAAGGGATGTGGATTTGTCTCAAAGTAGAGGTGCCCCGAAAAATGGTGCGGTTTCCCTTGGTCCCCATTTAAACCACCCACTTAAGAGGGTATCGAGCCGTAACAAAAGACGCGCCACCCATAGGTCTAACTACATGTGCCGAACGCCTGGGATTTGGGCAACCTTCCAGGCCATGTTGCAGCTGCTTTTGGTTGGATCCACTTGCGGCATGCAACTTTCCCCCAGGTATGAAATCATACTGTGGATGGACGAAATCCATGTCGCACCACCTAAGAAACCCTGGAATTATCATTCCACTGTAAATACCAACAAACAATGGCTTCACATGGTTTCGAAGCGGTGCAGGATTTCGTGAATCCGCAGTAGGGAACACCATTGAGCAAGGCAGTTTTCGTATCATCTGAGGGAATGACAAGGGGTACACTCACCAAATTTGTCCATTCAATAGGGGATCCCAGATTGGGAACACCTTGAAACCGAGCCTCGAAACCGAAAACTCAAATCCCCGTGCAATGAATCAATGCCCAAGTCAGGGACGCTTCCATATCTTAGTTGTTCAAGACCGACCGGGTTTGGTCTCCCTTGGTCCATATTGAGTCATGGCTTCAATTATTGTCAACCTTTTATTACCAGGTCCCCGAAAAGCAACCAAAAAAAAGCATGTCCCTGTTGATTTCCAGGTCTTTCTTGATTTCAAGCAACCAAAAAAAAACATTTCCCTGTTGATTTCCAGGTCAAAGAAATTGACTTCCGGGTCCCTTGGACCGCGCCCGCTTTGGGACCGAGACCTCGGCGGTTTCTGGACGCGAGGTGCACTGCAGCTTCGGCCTGGAGGCGGAGCTCGCGGAGCTGCTGGAAACCAAGGCATCGGGATCTGATCGGCAGCCCTCCGTGTGCCCAGTGTTTTTTTTTTTTGGGGGGGAAATGTGTCCAGTTTTTTTTTTGTTGGGGGGGGGGGGAAATGTGTCCAGTTTTTTTTTTGGTGGGGGGGGAGGGAATGTGCCCTGTTTTTTTTTTGGGGTGGGGGAGGGGGGGGGGAAATGTGCCCTATGTTTTTTTGGGTGGGGGGGGGGAAATGTGTCCAGTTTTTTTTTGGGTGGGAGGGGGGGGAGGGAATGTGCCCTATGTTTTTTTGGGTGGGGGGGGGGGGGGAGGGAAATGTGCCCTGTTGCTTTTTTGTTTTTTTTGTTGGGGGGGGGACATGTGCCCTGTTTTTTTTGGGTGGGGGAGGAAATGTTATGTTTTTGGGGGGGGAAATGTGTGTTTTTTTTGGGTGGGGGGGGGAACAAATGTGCCCTGTTGCTTTTTGTTTTTGTTGGGGGGACATGTTTTTTTTGGGGTGGGGGAGGGGGAAATGTGCCCTATGTTTTTGGGTGGGGGGAGGGAAATGTGCCTTGTTGCTTTTTTGTTTTTTTGTTGGGGGGGGACATGTGCCCTGTTTTTTTTTTGGGGTGGGGGAGGAAATGTGCCCTATGTTTTTTGGGTGGGGGGGGGAAATGTGCCCTGTTGCTTTTTCGTTTTTTTTTGTTGGGGTGGAAATGTGCCCTGTTTTTTTTTGGGTGGGGGGGGGGAAATGTGCCCTATGTTTTTTTGGGTAGGGGGGGGGGGAAATGTGCCCTGTTGCTTTTTCGTTTATTTTGGGGGGGGGGGGGAATGTGCCCTGTTTTTTTTTGGGGGGGGGCCACAAAATGTGCCCAGGTGTGGTCCTTTTGGTTTCCTCGGGCGACCACAAAAGAAAGAAGAGCCGGTTGAGGGGTGTGGTGTGTTTTATTTATTTATTTATTTATTTATTTATTTATTTATTTATTTGTATATATATACATATTTTGGGGGGTGGCACAAAAAAACTGGGGGGGAGGTCCTTTTAAGGCTTTTTTAAGGGACACCACCAAAACAAGAGGGTGAGTAGTTTCAATTGTGCGGGTCGGATTCCTAAATAACGACACACCCACATGCTGGAAGCTAAGACTTACTTCCCTTTTGTTCTCCGAATGAAAACGCAAAGGCTAGCTGGCTCCATACTTTCTGGGATATATCGGGTCCAACCGTTTTTAGTTCCTATGGAAAAGCGCAGACCCCAGACATAGGTGTCCTTTTGATCGCTTAGTTTGGTTAGAAATAGATGGGTTCCACTGATTTAGGCGGTTGCTTTCCATTTACCAGTGCCATCTATGTTGGCAAAAATATGCAACTGGGGGGGGCCCTATTCTCGAGGTTGATTTAGGCGCAGGGTAGGGGAAAAGCTGTCCCATTCTAGAGGGAATGCTTCACGCTTAGAGGGGTTGGTGTCAACTGCGACTTGGTACCTGAAGTCTTCATGGCTTTGAAGATTTGGATTACACCTGAAATTAAGGGCTCATCCGCTGTTTAAGGACCTATGGAGACTCCTGGTACCCTTTTAATGAGTGAAAGGGAAACCAAAGGAAACCGACCGTTTGATTTGGAGGGTTCCCCTTTATGTGCAAGGGAAACCAAAGGGAAACCAACAATTTCGAGGGTTCCCCTTGGCCGGCGGGTTGTTCAAAGTCAATCCTGCCAATTGAAAGTAGTGCCCCTTGTTGTAGTAGTTTATGGATGAGGGATTGCGGATTACGGATCCGGCACATTGAACAGCCCACTTCGAGGATGGCCTTTTCGGGTTGCACTTCAATAAAAACCAAAGAGAAACCAACCGATTGTGTTCTAAGGAGTTCGATCGTTCTCATGTCCGGGGTTTTCGGAGAGGTTGCGGACAGGTTTGCTGTTGATTCGGAGAAAAAGGATAAGTCGAACATGTGTATATGTGGTGCATATAGATCCACAATATCTCGCCCCAATGAGAATCAACTTATGACAGGTGCAGCCATTTCCGACCTGGAGATTGGGATTATGGATCTATTCCACATGTTTGCGTGGCACCCCAAACAAATGGAAGCCATGGGTTGGGCTGTCGGTATTTATATATATATATATGTGTATATATATATATATATGTGTATACACATTTATTTATTTATTTATATATGTATGTATGTATATATATGTATATATATATATTTATTTATTTTTTCCCGAGTCGTTTCTCTTTCCGCTCCGCCAGGCGGGTGAGGTGGCGCAGCGCATAGGCGGGGTATTTGGATCCGCGTGACCCATGCCAGCGACCACACCAGGGATGGATCAAAATCGCCGTGTGTTCTTGAGGCCAACTACCTTTCCAGGTGTTTGTTGGAAGCCAAAAGGAAGGCCACCAAGAGGTGGGCCCCCCTACAGTGGATGGACATTGATTCCATGAAACCATACATTTGTTTGGTATTTACAGCAACCAGCGTTACTTGCGAGGTGCAGGATTTCGTCCATACACGACAGGGATCCATAAACTTCAGTTTGCTCTACCAACATGGCCGTACCAATTGCAGAAACTAGAGAGCTTAGGGGTATATAGTTCTAGTAGGTAACTAAAGGAACCAGCCTTTAAACACAGTTGCAATATGGCGAAGAGTTGCCCACTGTTGGGGAAACTGGGATCCAGTAACTCCTATAATTTTGGAACCATTTCTAAGAATCCCTTGGTGGATGAAGAGGAGCCGGCCCCATGTTGGAAGCAAGCCGCCACTTTGTTGGGCAACGCCCCCCGCCAGAATCCACCAAGTTGAGCGGTCAACATTGGGAGGGAACAAGGAAAACCACCCATTGCACAGTGTAGAGGTAAGATCTGAGTTTTTGATATGGTGGCTATAACAGTCACTGGGCAGGGGCGAAGAAGAAAACGATCCAGTTTGAAAGGCTCCCCTGCAGGTTGACATGAACGCAGAGAATCCACCAGATGTTCGACCCAGGAAGCTACATCCATTTCTCCCCGCAAAGGGGTTGGGAAAAAGGGTGCCAGGAAGTTCCTGAGGAGAAGAATATCATTTTGTCAAGCCTACACCAACCTGAAATCAAGCCTCAAGTGGAAGTGGCAGCCAACTTTTGAACCCACGCGAATTACAGTGTTTTAGCGGACTCCTTGGCAATGCCATCAACAGGGGGGGCTTGGTCCGACCGCGCCTCAGAACGAACACGGGCACGTGCCTGACCCTTTACAGGTGCACTTTGTGGTGAGGCAGTTTGCAGGGCAGCGGTCCATTCTCAGGGTCTTGCAGACAGGCGAGGACGTTCAACGGAAATGCCTGGAAGCTGGAAACATTCTTCCTTTCAACTTGGCGCTCAAAGGCTGCGTCAATCTACTTCACTGTGGACGGGCGCTTGGATGTTCTGGCCCAGGGTCGTTCGCACCGAGACTTTCGGCACGGCTTGGGCTCCCAGGGTTTGCGGTTGGCATCAGGGCCCATGCCCAGGCATGCCTCACTCACTCCCCGAGTTTCTGGACTTGAAACTTTTTGCGTTCGGATTCTACTTGGTGGCTCCCAGCCATCCGGTTCCTTCGCTTTCAGCTTTTTAGTGTTTAGTGGGGATGTCCATTTAACCCACTAAAAGCTAAACTTTTAGCGGGGGATCTGAGGACAGCCCATTCAAGTGGCAAACAACAAGTTTCTCGACTTTTGTTGGCCAATCCACAGGAAGCGAGTCGCTGAACTACCAGCGCCCCCAGTCACTCCCATGTATCCCCAAACCATAGAAAACCCATTGTTTGTGGTATTTACAGCGGAATCATCAGAAACCAGGGTTCCTTAGGAAGTGCAGGATTTCGTCCATCCACAGAAAGGCAGAGGCATTGTGACAACGACAGTCTACAAATGACAGCGAAACTCCCCCCTCCCCGTTTCCCCAACAAGAAACTGTAAATGCTTCGGACACGCGGCTCCCCTTCAAAAGTTGAGCAGTTGACTAGTGGTTTTCATTGGAACTGCCACTTTTGGAGGTTACAGGGTACCCTGGCACTGGAGGCAAATGTTGTGCGGAGGGTTGGGATTCAACTAGGGATGCCGGAGGCAAACCATCTCCACACGAGTTTTCAGGATCTCCAAATGGAAATCGGAGGTCCCCTTTGAGTTATTTGTGGATCCCGCAAAATTGGAGTAACTTAAGGCACCTCCGCACCCCTGCGCAAGCAAGTTCAAGCGGTGCGAACACATTCGCAACCATCCACCGTCGCACGTGCCTTCAGGGCGCAAATGGACAGACATTTGCTCGCAGGAGTGGCCATCGGGAAACACTGGGGGCGGGGGCTGGTGCTAGACCTCCAGTGGTGCCTTTGTGTTTTTCGGGTTCTCACGCAACCCGAAGTTGGTGGTTTGGATTGGTGGTTTGAGATGTGAACCCCGCTTCTTGTAAATGGGAACCCCTACACCCGAACCACCTCCACCAATCGGGTGGGGGGGGGTTCCCTGTAACATCAGCTGCTTGGGTGTTCGATTCGCCAAGTTAGTAAGTGTTTAGTGACCGTCCGGGTTATAACCTACAACCGGCCCAACTCACTCATAAGTAAGTTATACCTCAGGTGGCTAACACCACTAACTAGCTTGGCCGAGCATGCAAGTACCAAAACAAGGCACTCCTTTTTCGCATGCCCACCAGGCACTGCGGCATATATTTGGCTAGTTGGATTGCATTTCCCTTTGGTTTGTAACCAACCAGATTCATTGTCCTTCAAATCCCGTGGCCACCGGACAAGCAAATGTTAGTTGTTCTAATTTTCACATTGACAAGCAGAATGTGAATTGCGGGCGAGTTTTCAGTTGCTCAAACTGAAAGGCTCATCCCACTGAGGTTCTTCCTCCGTGCCTAGAACCAGGGTGACAGGCTTGGGTCCCTTGCAAGCAGGATAACTGAGAATAAGCTTCCGAAGCGCAAGCGGTTCAAAGTGTGGAGAGGCAACTGCTCAGCTGCTGAGCGCCTTCGGATTCCGCTTGAATCGTATAGGCTGAGCGTAATATGATCCTTGGGATTCCGCAATTTCGGAAGGATCTTCAGAAGATGCAGCATGTTTGATGGCGGAAGGCCTTGTAGTTCAAGCAGTCAGGCAACGCCGGCTAACAAACAAAACCTCCAAACGTGTGCAACACATGGTGCGAAGCACTCAGGTTATAAGACAGCGAGCAACATACGACAGGGTTTGAAACCGTAGGAGACGAAGGTGCCGCGCCTGACCGGCGTTGAAATGGCCTGGTGACATGGGAAGGCCACTGAGCATGTTGGCTTTGGCTGAGATGGCAACATGTTGCTTTAAGCCTGCAGTCACCTCAGAGACTGCCCAAAGTTTGTTTGATTCAAAAAACATTCTTGTTAGGGTTGTTCTTGCGCATCCGTGTGACATGTCCGTATACGAAGGCTGACAGGTGCTGCGCAACTCTTACAACACAACGCAAGGTGACATCGCAGACAGGTTGCCAGAGCAGGTTTGCCAACGTGACATTGTAATCTAAGTAGGGCGCTGGCCTGACAAGCTTACGCCAGCGCGCGAGAACAGCCTATGAAGCATAGGCGCGGTGCCGCTGGGCAGAGCCACGCCCTGCCTTGTGGAGCAACATGCAGTTTTGCAAGAGTTGCCACCAAACTCAAAGAGCCACTTAGATAGTGGCAAAGAGCCAGTTGCAGCCGGAATGGCATCTTGGAAAAGCCACCTAATTATGCTTGGAGGGGCACTTTCTGGGAAGGGGTTCCCTACTGTGCATGGACGAATTCCTGCACCTAAGAAACCCTGGAGTGATGATTCCCCTGTAAATACCAACAAAAAATGGTTTCCCATGGATTGAAAGTGGTGCGAACGGATTTCGCAACCATCCACAGTTCTAGGGATACCTTCCCCATTCTTTCCAGGGATCCTTCTTTCTAGAAGAATATCAAAAGCCCAGGGGAGACAGCCGGTTTTCGAAAAGAACGATGGTTGAAAATAATGGAAAAGGAATCAACCCCTAGATCATCTCCCTTCCACGAGATCTGTTGCAAGCGGCATACCCCTAGATTTGTATTTTTGATGCAAAGAGTTCGTCTTTTTTTCGTCAGGAGGGCGAGGAACAGCTCCTCTTGTGCCTCTCCATGTACCTGCAGTGCGTGGGGCCTGCCCAGAAATGGCAAAACTTGACGTCAAAACGCCCGGATGTTTTTTTTCTTCACCCCCCTTTTTGCCCCAGAAATTTGGAGCCTGCAGGTTTGACCCAGAAACCAAAGGAGACAATGGAGGCAACACCGAGCCTCTGGGTTTGACCTGCAGCAAGTGGAGGTCAGATCTGGGGTCGAAACAGCAAAATGATGATGTAATTTTGAACACGCAAGCAGCGTCTTAAACGGCGGGAAGCGCCAAGCATCCGATTTCTATCGGCCGATGCGGTAGTTCACGCGTCTTAAGGCCATGGAACATCCCCAAAAAGACATGGTTCCCCTTGTTCTACCGAGCGAGTCACCAGTAGTTAGGTTAGTCCCCAACTAAACTTGTGGAACCCGAAGGAATGGTCTTCTTCCAGCTTTCGGGTCATCGGCTTGCGGTTCCAGCCGTACTTCGACCTTCTGAACCTGTAGATGTTGGAGAGGGCTTGACATATAATATGAATTTCTCACGTTTTAGCAAGGAATCCATGAGCCACCATGGCGGGTAGCCAGCAGAAGCCCCAACTAAAGGGAACATCTCAGGCAACTAGTGGCTTGGCTGAGAGCCTTGGGACATCAATGGACAACATAGTGTGGGCTTGTCTCAAAACATGGGAAGCCCCTTTTTGGATGGGTTTGAACGGAACCCAGAAGCAAACCAACCACCAGGAGGGGTTTAAAAAGGGAGAAACTGTTCCTAGCTTTATAAGTCCACTTGCGTATTCTGTTGCAGCAAACAGTTGTCCCACTTTTCCTTATTTTTAAATCAACTCCTTTTGTTTGGGTGCCCTACGCATGGACTGGCTTCAGAGGGGCTCCTGAGAAGGAGCCGACAAACATCAGCTGGAAATCCTGCTCCGAGATGCTACAGGCCAGCTCAAGGCAACGTGGTGGGGCAACACCTTCGGTGGCCACATCTCGCTGAATCAAGAAGTACAGTCCATTTCTCATGCCCTGCCTACGCACCAGCAAGACAACATGTGTTCTCCAAAAGTGATCTGATTCCCCACTAAACCCAGGGACACACCCGATGGTGTTGATGAATATGAGGGCTCCCCATATTTCCCCTTTAAACATCACCTCCACCCAGGGCCAGTCAGCAAGACATGGGCCAAACAGGTGACTAGAACCAACAAGGGAAATCTAAGTACCCAGAGGCGCCTGGCTTCGGCTTTCAATGGAAGACCCGACCCCTCCATTGGACACCCCGGGAATTGGTGGTTGGGACCCGGTCTCAACCAGGTTGTTTTTCAGCCCCTAGATCAATCGAATTGGAGCCTAGGGTGTCTAATGCTTCGGGGTCGGGTCTTCCATTGAGGAAAACGAAAAAAAATAACCACCTCCACCTCGGGGGTGTCTAATGCTTCGGGTCGGGTCTTCCATTGAGGAAAACAAACAAAAACAAATCGGCGCGTCGTGTGGTTTCGGGCTGTCGGGTCTTCCATTGAGGAAAACAACAAAAATCGGTGCGTCGGCCGTGAGGCGCGGCTCTTCCTGAAGGGCCAGCGGCACCAGCGGCACCTCAAGGCCAACGAGCGCGCGGCGCTGATCTGCCTGCAGCTCAAGGCGAGAAGCTCGGGTCGGAGTCCGCGGGGTTGGGGTGGGGACGGGGGTCAACGGGGGTGGTGGGGGGGGGGGTAGTGGGTGCTAGGTGGTGGGGGGAGGTCTGGTGGTATTTAGATGAATTTCTACCATGAACATCGCCAAACAAAGATGCTTTGCATGTGGTTTGATATGAAACAAAAATCCAACATTGCTTTGTTATATGTGGATGATGATCAATCATTTTGAATCCAATCAAATAATATTTCAACAATATGTTTTGGATCTGAAGAAGAAAACAACGTTGTGGTGGGGGGTGGGGCGGTGGGTGGTGGGTGATAGGGGGGGTGGTGGGTGATAGGTGATAGGGGGGGTGGTGGGTGATAGGGGGGGGTGGTGGGTGATAGGGGGGGTGGTGGGTGATAGGGGGGGTGGGGGGTGATAGGGGGGGTGGGGCCTGGGGGGGGGGTGGGGGGGGGGGGCAGTTGAATGATGGCCCCTTTTTGGATGCTGATACGTGCTGCCTTCTAATGTGTTGTCTTGTTTTTAAATGTCACATCTAGGGGGCAAATACAAGCTTTGGCAAAAAGAGGACGCCTCATGATTGACAACCCCCCTATATTTCTTCCTTTGGGTTCAAACCTCCCGTGTTTTATTAAGGGGTCCCTTCCGAGCCTCCTAAAAAAGACGAGAAGTGCCCACTGCAAGAAACGGGCGTTAAAGTGCGGTTTTGAACAGCACCTTTTGGTCGGTTTTAAGGAGATGGGCCGATTTGGGACGTGTCTCTTAGGGTCAGATGTTCGACTTTGGGGTGGTTGGGGTTGGGAACCAAGCAAAAGGGACTTGCAGGGTGTTCGGGTCTGGCGTCTCCTGCAAAACTATATCATTTGTTTGGGCTGACCAAAAATGAAACACTAGTAGACATCGTCCTTTCTGTGTCCGTCAGATGTCGCATCACCTTTGGGGCCAAGGTTTAAAGTGAGCGTGCTTTGGCTCTTTGCTCACCGCTTAACGGGAAGCCGCAGGAACGGAGAGTGGGATGGGTCCAGGTTTCAGGGAGGGAGGGGGGGGGGGTTGGCACAGGACCCGTTCCTTTCCTGCGTTAAATGCTTGGTTCAATTGAACAAGCGGGTGGGTCTACCAAAAGGAGATTCCTCGGAAAATGGATGGTTGTTTGGAGCTCCATGTTAATCTGGGTAGAAAGGCGGTTGGGCTGCAGGGACACCCAGAGACCCTTTTTTTAGCGCCACATGAAGCTTGCAGATCGGATCGGTCGACCCGTGTCGGTTCAAATGAAACTTGGGGCCGCTGCTCAAAAATGTCCAATCTTGCTTTGGACGTGAGTTTTCACCCTGTCACTTGAAGGGTAGTCTGTGGCAGGGCTTGCAAGCATCCCTGATGAATCCTTGCCATGAGTTCGGATGCATGAAACTATTTAAAGGGACAAATCAATGGGCACTGCCCGCTTTGATTTTGGGAGACACTCATGCGACCGCCTGGCTTGTTCTTTGAAGTAAGAAGCTGCCTGGAGGTGTAGTAATTCACGTCTTATTGCTGGTGGCAAATACTGGGAAGTGAGGACACTGCCTGGAGGAGAACGGAGCCAGCTGCAAAGTTCAAGCATCTCTCATGAGATCGCGGCATTTCCCAGGAGGCAAACTTGATTTTCAATATCTCAGGACTCTTGCATGGCCCATGTGCTGTGTGTGCACCTGCTTTGGGTCACCTCACACTCGCTTTCTCTCCTCTCTTGTTGCAAATGGCTGCCGGTCCTTTGTGCGTCTCCACACTGCCCCGGTGCGATGCCACTGATGTGTGTGTGTGTATGCGTGAATGCGCAAGCTTGTGTTTCTGTCTGTCTCTGTCTTTGCGTCTGCCTCTGTCTCTGCATCTATGTCTTTGTTCAGGTAACCCCCGCTCCCACGAACATAACATGGCATCTGTCCCTTTAAGAGCTCCAGCTACCCTCCGGGTGCCATGTAGGATGGGTACCCATCGAAGCTAAGGGAGATCAAAACCTTTCCTGCTCGATGGGTTCACTTTCCCATTACCAGGTGCCATGTTCGGTGAAATCGTTTCTTTCAGATCGTTTCAGCCCTTTGCGGCCATGGCACACCCCGCTACCCCCCTATCCCCCTACGCCCCTATCCCCCTACCCCCCTACCCCCCTACCTACCCTGCTTAGAGATTCCAATCACCTCTCCGACCCGGAGAGTTCAAAAGTTCAAACCAGCGGCTTCCCGGACCCCAACCGCCGCACCGCCGCACCCCTGGACCGCCCGCTAGGCGGTACAGATCCACTTGGCCGCCTCACTGCACGAGCAGCAGAATGCCCTGGCTGCGGGCCAGGCCTCGGCGTTTTGGTTCGTGTGTGTGTGTGTCTAGGTCCAGTCGTGCCAACTTTTACCCTTTTGTTTGGGGGGAGGGTTCCCCTACTACAGAAAAAGGAGGTCCAGTAGTGCCAACTTTTACCGTTTCTTTTTTGGGGAGATTCGGTTCCCCTACTAAAATAGACTACAGAAAAAAGGGGTACTCTTATCCTAGCCTCTCTACTGGAGGACCTAGGTGTGTGTCAGGCTGTTGGGGGTTTCCGAGTTTCTGCCTGAAAAGAGCTACTTGTTGGGTGGTGGACCCAAATTCTGACAGCAAGCAGCAAACACTTTTGTGTTTTCTGCTACCTTGTTTGGCTTTCTTTTCACGCGGACGGCAGAATTTGGGTTCACACGCCAGAGCCACGCCCTCAAACCGGCAATTGGAGGGGCTCCGAAAAGAAGATCTCCATTGGGCAACCATTTGAAGCATGTGGCAATTGTTCAACACCAAAACAAAGTTGGGCACCACCATTTAGAAGTTGCAATGTTCGATCGGCGTATAATGCATCCGGATCCCTGTTGGAGGGGGAGACACTCCCAGCCAGCCGCGGAAAAAGGGAAAAAACAAAATTGGCTTGGCCATTCTTGAAGCATGGATCTGATCGACCATTTTATTTACCGGGGTTTTGAGTGTGACTCAAGGGGTAAGGGTCAAAATCGGGTGTCTCCTAGAAACTGGTTTGCCTCTTGGCTCCCCGAAAAAGACCCGCCTTTAGGGCACTGTTCAAGAAGGATGCGCGCAAGCATCCCGAAGTGTCCCGTGGTTTGGGGGGGGTGGCTAGTGGCATCTCTTTGGATATGTGCATGTTCAACAGCAACATGATGCACACGAAACCATTCAATGGCGACGGCCATTGGCTCAAGCGCTGGAAAAAGCGCGACCTTTTTGCATAGACATAACCATAGGTTATGAGCCCAACCTCTCTGAGGTAAAGCCATGATTCGCAGGCGCCGGCGAGAAGTGGTACGAGATGGAGAGACCGCAGATGAGGCCTTGGACCGCCTCATCATGGAGCGGGTGCAGGAGGAGGAGCGGGCATCGCGGAGGGCGAGGTCGGAGGATCTGGAAGACCGGCGGGGGATTCGCCGGGTCACCGGTCCGGAACGGAGTGAGCCTTGGGGCGGAAGGAATGTTCTTCCCCCTCCAGGGCTGGTGCCGGAAATGGCAGAAGATGGACGTCGCGGGCAAGGAGCTCTACGGGGTCCCCCTGGACAAGGAGAACAACCCGGCCAGCAGGAGCGGATTCTGGAACGGCCAGGTGAACCAATTCAAGATCGGGGTGGGGGTCAATCCCATCCTGGTGGGTCTCGAGGGCGTGGGTCTGGCGAACGACCTGGGCCAAGTGGGCTATCTCAGGAAATCCGAGGACGTTCTGGGGCGCACGGCGGGCACGATGCTGTAGTACCCCAAGGGCAATTCTTGGCTGGCGGAGAAGACCAAGGACATCCGGGAGTAAGGCATGGTCATGATCCGGGAGAACCTGAAGGGCATGGTCAACTGCGTGGACCACCTGACGGGCGTCCTTCAGCCAGTCGAGAACTAACGGCTCATCAAGGTCAAGGCCATTCCTGACAGTTGGAGCCCTATGATGGTCGGGAGACTTTGAGTGGAAATCGGAGAGGTCCCTATGGTCCTGGAGATGCACCAGCAGGTGGAGGGGTGAACCCGTTTTGGAGCCCTGAGGTTCAACGAAGGGCCGCCCAAGCACAACCTGTGTCTGCTGGCAGGGCGACCACCGATGACCGAGGACGACAACAAGGTCAAGAAGAAGATCTTGAAGCTCTTCGACTACGGGTGATGAGGGACGCGGAAGAGATCTTTGAAAGAGAAGTGGCAAGATTGCAGGCGGCGAGAACGAGGGACGATGTTTCCTACAGGACGGCATCAGAAGGAGGAGTCGTTGGAGGTCTTGGTCCTCCACCGCTTCATGATGAAGGAAATCGACCTCAGCCACCTCCACCACCACCACCACCTCCGAGGGGATTGGACGACAATAAGCCGAGTGCTCCATCTCACTTGTCAGAGGCTCTGAGGAATTTGGAGTTGCCTAGTCTGCCTCCTCCTGGAGGAGATCTGGCAGCTTTGACCTTTGGAGATTGGGTAACGGTGATCGGGCCGTTGATGGCGGACATCGCAGGCTCAGCTCAAGAGTGGTGGAAGGATGTTCTTCAACGAGCAGAATCCAGCTACACGGAGTGGCTGATTGCAACCCCCTTGGAGAAGCTGAGGCTGAAGCCTTCGTTGGGGGAGAAACATGTCCACAATCACCGGGTGGAGCAACGGGGGCTTTCCATGCTTCTTGCTGCGCTGCCTGACCCAATCCGCAGAGAAATCATCTCGGCAAGGAAAATGTCGGCCACGGAGATCATGTTTCGCCTTCATCAGATATATCAGCCAGGTGGGACGTCGGAGAGAGGCAACCTGCTCAAGAACCTTGCAGATCCGAAGGTGGGGAACACGTTGACGGAGGCCCTGCAGACGTTGAGGCTTTGGAGGAGATGGTTAGCGAGGGCAGAGGAGTTGGAGGTAGCACTACCAGATGGATTGGTGTTGCTGACGGTCCTGAACAAGATTGCGGAAGCAGTCGGGAAGGCTGGTGCTCAAGCCAGCTTTCGGATCTCCTCGGTTCGCCAAGAACTTCAAGTTGATGTTCGCCCTCACCTCGCGAAGATCAAGCAGTTCTCGGAGTATTTGCAGGCGGAGGCGGAAGAACTCTCACTTGCAACAGCCCTGAAAACCTCATCCACGACCAACGCAGCCAATCCAACTCAGCAAGCGCCGGGACTCAAGGCCCTGGCAACATCTGGAGCCAAGGATCCGGTCGCAGAGACGGGAGACCAGAAGAAAAGGTCATTCGGGGCACCATGCAGGTTTTGGGGCACAGATGGAGGATGCAAGAAGGGTGGCAGTTGCAGCTACGCACATTCGTGGGACGGCTTGGAGAAGAACAACCGGTGCTTCGGATGTTGTGGGGTGGGCCACTCGAAGCGGGATTGCCCGGTCAACAAATGGGACTGGGGCACGAGCAAGACAACAGCTGCGGCCCCTCCCAAGGTGTCCAAGTTTGAGAAGCAGAAGGAGGCAAGGTCTTCGGGAGAAGGCCCTGGCGCAGGCGGTGAAGGGGCCCGACAGGCTGGCTCACCGGGCTCCGCGGAGGAGGCGTCCCGGGAGGTCACCGGTCGGATTCCCAACACTGCACCGCCGAATTCGGTGGCCATGGGTGGAGGAGCACCTAAGCCGCCGCAAGATGCTGCGGAGGCAGCTGGGTTGATGTCGGAAGTGGCATGAGGCAGCCAAGAGAAAGGCTGGAGAAGATGAGGATTTGGAGCCAGTTGCCCTCCTGGACGGAGGGGCGACGCATGCCTTGAGGCAAGCAAGATCGCACGAGAAGAGCGATCTCACGGCAGTGGAAGTGGAGTTGGCCTGCGGAAGCACGGTGTTGTACAAGCACCCTGGCACGTCGGCCCTGTTGACGCTGGATCCGGTGGAGCCCATCATACCACTGAGGATGTTGGTCAATGCCGGCTTTGTGGTCAAGTGGAATGCCAAGGGCTGTATCATCGATCACCCTGGACACGGTCGGCTTCATTGTTGGCTTCGTCATGGGTGCCCGGTCATGAAACGGTCAGCGGCGATGAAGTTGATGGATTACCTGGACGCCCCGGATGGGCACGCGTAACCACGGATCGGGAATGGTGGCTGCGGCATTTCCCGCATCTTCCGGAGGAGGTGCTGGAGCTCATGGGCCGAGTAGAGGACGGAGCAGAAGCAGCCGCTTGGAGCCCTTTCAACAGGAGCTTGAGAAGAAGATGGGAAAGAAGCAAGGGGCTGGTGGTTCACCTCTTCGCCGGAAGGGATGCCAAGGAATGATTGGAGAGGTTACGAGGTCATCACGATAGACATGGAGGAGAATGCGAGGCAGAACCTTCATGATGCGGCCTTGTGGGGATACCTTTGGCACCTGGGGAAGAAAGGACTGATTCGGGCTGTGATCGGCGGACCACCATGCCGGACTATTTCCAGGTTGCGGCACAATCAGCCAGGACCGAAGCCATTGAGGGGTCGGGACCAACGTCGGTATGGACTGCCAGGCTTGTCCATAGAGGACAGAAGGAAGGTCAATGGAGACACGGCACTGTTCTTCAAGCAGATGGCTTTGTGGTTGATCGCCGAGGACTCTTCATGGAGGAGAGGAAAGCCGGTTGGGTTCCTGGGGAGTCTCCGATGGACCCGGCCAAGTACGATCCGAAGGCAGAGGAGCTTGACATCCCCTCGTTCTGGAACTTCGAGGAGGTGCGCGAGTTCTGTCGGGATCATGGCATGATCTTGGTGGACCTAGATCAAGGGGCCCCCCGGAGGAAACCAACTACGCTGGCGACCAATCTGCCCGGCATGGGGGAGCTTCATGGACTAAAGGGTCAAGGCCATCAAGAGATGGAGGCGGACCTACAGCGACGGTTGGTGCAGACGAGGACCTGGTCGAAATGGGCCCCTGGGATGGTGGCAGCGATCAAGAAGTCCCTGAAGGTGATGATTGATCAGCTGGAGGAAGGATCAAAGGAGAAGGTAGCGGAAACGGGGGAGCTCAAGAAGATGACCCTTGAAAGATGGAAGGAGCATGTGAAAAGGGGACACGCTCCGTTCAATCGGAGGTGCCGGGTTTGCATGCAGGAGGCAGGCATAGACCGGCCCCATAGAAGGTTGAAGGCCGATATACCGGCTTATGTCCTCAATGTGGATATTGCTGGCCCATTCTCGGCTGGAGATGACGCAGGCACCGGGAGAAAGGTTAAGTGTGCCCTTATCGGAACGGTACCTGTACCTCTGGAAGGAGGAGAGGGCGGTGATCCACCAGTAGAGCCGGTCGAAGATGTAGAAGAAGATGTGGTCTTAGGTGAATGGGAAGAAGAAGATGAGCAGCCGCGCGCTTCAGATGACGAGGCAAAGCGGCTCAATGAGAAGGTCAAGGACGAAATGGCCGAGGCGCTCCAGGGGATCAAGGTTCAGAATGTCACCATGACGGAAGTCATGGAAACCCGAAGTGCAACGCAGGTCATCAGAGCCCTGAACCTTATCTTCGTGAAATACCGCAGCTTGGGGATCCCGCTCTACCGCATGCACTGTGACCGAGCAAAGGAGTTCCTCTCGAAGCAGGTGCAGCATTGGTGCTTGGAACATAACTTGCTGCTCACCATGACCTCCGGAAACGATCATGCAGCGAACGGAAGAGTGGAGACAGAGGTCAACCGTGTCAAAAGAAGGCTTCGGGTGGTGCTGAAGGGGTCTGGAGCTCCAGCGAAGTGGTGGCCTGCAGCCCTACGGAGCGCTGGCTTGTCCAAGGAGCCATGTATGGTCTGGAGACCAGCCCAGCAGACTGGTCGGCTTTCAGAGACCAGCGTCTGAAGGGTTTCGAGTGGAAGCATGAGGGCCGGAGCTTCAAGCTGCAGCAGACCACCGAGTCCAATGTGTGGGCGGTGATGGAGCAGAAAAAGGAGACAGATGGACTGCAGGCTCCTTGTGGATACGTCGTGATCTACGTGGATGATTTCTTGGCAGCTGGACCTCGAGGCTTGGTGGATAGCATCATCAAGCGGATCAATGAAGAATGGGTCTGCAGCCTGCCGGAATGGGTTCATCATGAGGGTTGGACCAAGTTCTGCGGGATGGAGTTGAGATGGAATGGAGATGGAGATCTGCACGTGGCTCAGCCCTCCTACATTGCGGAGCTGATCAAGAGGCACAACGTGGAGTGTGCTCGACCGGTCCCGTTCAGCAAGCTGGAGATCCCCGAGAACCCGCAGATGACGCCAGAGGCTATTCGGGCGGCTCAGGGATTGGTTGGTGAGCTGCTATGGTTATCGGTGCGGACGAGACCAGATGTGTCCTTCGGAGTCTCTTGGATGTCACAACATGTGACACGATGTCCGCAGGAGGTGGTCAAAGTCGGCATGGAGATGATGGCGTACTTGTACGGTACGAAGGAAATGGGCCTGACGTATGGGTGTTGCAAGGGAGACAGGGGGCCAGATGGTGGTTTGCCGTTTGCGAGGTCGATGAGGAGATTAGAGATGTACGCGGACATCTCCTTTGCCCCGCTGGGTGATAAGAGCCATCAAGGTGTTCTCGGTTTCTATGGTGGCGCCTTGGTTCAATGGGAATCCAGCCGCCAGCCGTTTGCGACCCTTAGCACAGCGGAAGCCGAACTGGTGGGCTACATCGAGGCCATGATCATGGGTGACTCCCTCTGCGCGGTCTTGGACATCATGGAGGGTGGCCACAACGGCGGAGGAATCACAGAGAAAGTGATATACGGGGACAACACGGCGGCGTTGGCCATCGTTCAGAATCCAGATGGGCCGTGGCGCACACGGCATCTTCGGCTGCGTGCCAATGTGTTGCGAGAAAGAGTGAGAGGTGGAGAATGGCAGGTTCGACATTTGCCAGGTTGTGATTTGGTCGCAGACTACCTCACGAAGACGGTGGCTTCCAGGTCGCAGTGGCTCAGGTTCTACGCCATGACGGGCATGCTCCTGGCCACATCGGAGGTGGATGGAATGATGAACCAAGAAGCCATTGGGTCCCAGAAGGGCCTCACCAAGGACACGGTCATGAAGGTGGCGGCTCTGAGTGGGCTCATGGGGATTGTGGCATGCTGGAAGCCGCAGGATCCTCAGTCTCACACCGTTAAGGAGCTTTGTCTGGCGGCTCTTGGTGTTGGGTTAGGTTTTGTGTATAAAGGCCATCGGGCCCAACCTGCGAGGGAATCAAGATCGGCTAGGGATGATGAACCAGCCGCACGTCAAGGCAACTTTGAGGGAAGGATTGCCAAGATGGTCAGGGAAGATGAACCGACCACACCAAGGGACCCCTCTGTTTGGAAGCTTGCCACCAGGGATGATGAACCGGTGGAGGCGAGGTCCTCTGTCAGGGAAAATGAACCGACAGAGAGGAAGATCGCCAGGGAACATGAACCGGCGACGTCAAGATGGGCTAGGGAAAGTGAACCAGCCCCGAGGGTAAAACCAGAGGACCCCTGCCGCATGCCGTTGTACCACTGCCCTACGGGCTGCCCTGCATCAATAGGTAAGGGTCGGGTGCCAACCGAGGCACCAAGTGAGCCATGGCCTGAACCACCGGGTGGTCCAATTCGTGGGTCACAGGATGAGGAGCCTGAGGACTTTTGGGAGGTGACGTTTGAGCGAGACTTCATCGTGGCGACCCGCATTCATATGCTGAGGAGAAACCGGGATTTTCAACCGGATCCGAGGAACATGCCTCCGGGGGTCAACGCTACGATGCTGGAAAGTCGGCGACAGACCAATTTGGTTTTTGTCGATATCGAGCGAGGGCGGCGGGTGATCAATGACAATTGGAGGATGGAAGCTTTTCGCGAAGCAGATGCCTGGACGGGATCTACGACATTTGTGGCTCCTCTGCGAGAATGTGAGCTTGCGGGACCTGGGAATCACTTCACTACCGGGTGAGCGTGAACGAAGCCGCAGTCCGAGGGATGACAACAACCCGGATGATGCGGGACCAGCCCGTCCCAGGATTGGGAACACCCACATCAGGGCCCCAAGCCAGCGAGAAGTTCGACCGCGGCTGCGAGCTTTGAGGTGGCTGTCGAAACAGCCAAATGTGGAGACCAAGCAGGCAAATAAGATCGAGGAGAAGACGGAGGATGTGAAGAAGTCAGATGATCAAAAAGGAGATCTTCATCAGCATGGACCAGTACTCCCGTGGGAGCTCGAGGAGTACAAGGTCCCCCCGATGCTCAAGAACAAGAACAAGGACGAGTGGGATTGGTCCCAGCCGGGATGGGCAATCCGTGCACATGGCAAACCTCGGAAACGAAGGTTTCATCCGATCCATCGAGAGTTCCCGCTGGATGCAGTGCGGTTGGAGTCGAGGAGGATCACGGTGAAGCTACACACGGGCGCATCGCCTTTGGGTATCCGGTCCGTCGAGGAGGACAGCTGGACGGCTCATCAAGAGCGACAACGAACCTCGCAAATGCAACCATGGCGGGGGTACACTTTCTTCCAGATCAAGGTCGGGAAGGAGAGGAATTCCGGCTGGTCGTCCGCGAAGGACCGTGGAATCGCTTCGAGGGGCATCGATCCAAGCGCGAGGGGCTCTGGGGACCGAGTTGAATCCGGAGGCTACGCGCGAGGAGGCCCAGAGAAGCGTGGGAAAGATGCGGGCCCGGTAGTCACATTTCCAAAGGCGAAGGCTGGCGGACGAGGGAGGACTACTACACGGGCGAGCACTACGGAGGAAAAACCTCGGATTCCATCGAGTCTTCCGGTAGCAGATGGCGCTGGGGATTTGGTGGAGGAATCTTCAGTTTCTTCTTCTGAATGGGAAGAAGTTTAAATGCAGCCGAAGGCTGCAGGGGGAGTGTGCATGTTCAACAGCAACATGATGCACACGAAACCATTCAATGGCGACGGCCATTGGCTCAAGCGCTGGAAAAAGCGCGACCTTTTTGCATAGACATAACCATAGGATAAAACGGATCCCGGTTTGCTCGATGTTCCGCGGTTCCTGTTATGTTCCCCTGGTTTTCAAGTGAATCTATCACTAGAGATGTGTCCGCATTGTGAACAAAAAAAGACAACTCCCCACACAAAGTGCGCTTGGATCCTTGAATTTGGCTCTGGGCACAGCTCGGAATTGTTACTGTGGATTGCGAAATCCAGTTCGCACCACTTCAAATCAAAGTGAAAACATGGTGTGTTGGTATTTGTAGGGGAGTCATCATTCCGGAGTTTCTTAGGTGGTGCGAACTGGATTTCGTCCATCCGCAGTAGGGATGGGAAAACATCTCCAGTCATGGATGAAACCCTTTTGGATTTGCACCCACCTACCAACTGGTGCCAAGCTCGCGCGGGCTTGTCCAGTCGGGCTTTATATCCCAGAACCCGAAGTGGTGGCCAAGCCCTGGTTGAAACAGGTTCAAACCATCGTTGCTACGACCTCCTTTTGGTTTCCCCTTAAGGAACCACGAGAATCAACAGGGGAGGATGTTCGGATGACACGGGCCATCCAAGCGTGTTGAAACCGGGGTTTGTGCATCAAGCACTTCAAGAGATGGGTGTGTGTCAAAATAGAATGACCCCCCAAAACATACATGTGTCTGTATTGTTCATTTGGTATCCCTTCAAACGACCTGAAAGATCACTGAGACTCAAAAAACCCGCCCCCATGTGAAAGCTATCCCATCGATGCTTCTTTGTATGACTGCGGAAAGTGAAAAGCGTGACCTCGGGTGGTTGGGGGGGTTGGCAAAGTGCTGGACATGTGAGCTTCTACAGTCATGACACGCGTCCAGTTCTTTTCTGTCGCTTGCGATCGTTGCCAGAATTGCAAGGCTAACTTGGGCGCCCAAGACGTGTCAATGCATTTGTGTGATACTGTGGATGGACGAAATCCTGCACTGCACCACCTAAACAACTCTGTAAGTACCAACGAACACTGGTTTCCTATGGTTTCATAGTGGTGCAGGATTTCATCCATCCACAGTAGTGTTTTGGAGGGACCCACTGGTTGGTTTAGAAGGAAACCAGTTCTATTGTACAGCACGAGACTCCAACGAAATCAAGACATGTCTCAATCCCGGCTTCCAGTCTGGGTACTGTCTGTGTAAATGGGTGGTCTCCCTTTGAGTTCGGGTTCCGGTTAAGTTCCCCACAAAGGGCATCCTCGGGAAAACGTAAACCCATACAGTGGATGGAAAAAATCCATCTCGCACCAGTTGGGATGGATGAAACCCTGTAAATTAGCGGATTTCGTCCATCCACTTGTTGTTTCTCCCTTTGGTTTCCGCTTAAATCCACCCAAAAAGACATCCTTAGGGAAACCACAAACCCATACAGCTTGTTTTGGTTTTGTCTTCCGCACTCGACACGGCGTTCCTCGCCGCTTGGCAGTCCCTTTCTCAGGCGAACATGGACTGGGCGGAAGTGCCCGCGGATGGCCTGGCGCTCAGCTTCATACACAATGGACATGCTGTTTGGCTATGGTTACTAGGTCCCCCAGTAGTGCCCTTTTACCGTTTCTTTTTGGGGGGAGGGTTCCCGTACTAAAATAGACTACAGAAAAAAGGGTACCCTTATTCTATCCTCTCTACAGGAGGACCTAGGTTGGGTAACCCCCTCTGGGCCCGTTTGGGTTTGGATTGGCGGTTTGGATTTGGATTTCAACCCGTAACACCTGGTTCTTGAAGCCTTAAGGTGGTTTGGCTCTCTAGGCGGTGTTTTTCTTGTGGGGTCCCAGTGCCCCGAACGGCCAGCTCGAGCTCGGAGCGTTTCGCCCGAGGCCCGGAGGCGCTGGCCAACGCCTTGGCGCGGGCCTAGCTGCTAGCTGCTAGCTGGGAGCGGAATGCTGGGGACTCCCACGAGTCATCTGGCTGTGGCTCAAAAAACCGGTACCAAAATGGAACCCTAGTAAGTGGAAACATGGACCAAAAGCCACACCCATCTCTCCGTCAAAATGGCAGCTGTTGCACCACTCCGAGCCGACGTGAAGTTGCCGCCGAAAGCCAACGCTTGGATCGGAGAAGTCAAACTGAGCGGACCTTACCATGTAGAACAGGGCTTTGTGTATGCAGGGCAGGGTCTCCTAAGCGATCTGGTCCTGTCTACATTGGGCTCTATTGGGGGGCGGGGAGGCCTTTTGACCAATTTTCAGTTGCATCATTACGATTAGTTTTAGGGACATGCACAGTTTGATGAGCCCAGTCTGGGGAGCTTGAAACCCTAAAAACGATTCGTTTTGAAAGTGTTCTCCTCTGGTGGGGAGGTTTCTTTCTTTTTTTTTGAAACGTATACTTATATTTTTGATACAGAATCATGAAGGGTGTATGTACAACCCCTCTGACCGGATTCTGGTCTCTGGGGGCATTCCACATTGTTTTTTGCCGTGTTGCCTTAGGTGGACGTCACCGGGCGGCAGAAGGGCTGGGCGCAGGCCGGGCGCGAGGGTTCCGGTTGCCCGATGGGTAGATCCTAAGAACGCGCTTCCGGCATGCGGTGAGTCTTTCTTTTTGCCCCCCCCAAGAGAAAGGTGTGTAGAGAAATGGGGTACCGTACCAAAACAAGAGAGACCCCATGTAATTCCTAAGCATCCCTTACTGGAAGCACTGGGTAGAGGACTTAAGGGGGGTTATGAACCATGTGGATAGGGGACCCAACAAATGCTTAGCTTACCTTTGGTTGTCATTAAACACCAACCAAAAGGAAGGTTGCCCAAAAAAATTAGACACTGGGGTCATCCAAGTGCGAGTTGGAGAGTTGGAGCCATATGTATCGCTTCGGGGGTAAAACGACTTGTCGATATCCGGCCATTCGCCGTTCGTGTGTATTGAATATGTTTGTTCATTCTGTAAGGATGTTCCATCAAACATCAACCTATGCACAGGGGATGCTGGTTAGTTACCACCCTAAGTAACTTCCCATCCCTTAAATTGCCAGGGATATTCCTTGTAGATTTTGAGCAGTAGGAGCAAGAACAGATGCACCAGTCCATTCAATCCTGCCTCCATTTCCCCACTCCGATTGCAAAGGAGTTAGGACCGTGGATGGCAGCAGGCAAGATGGCCAGCCATGAGGAAGGTTTGTGGGAGATTCAGCCGGAGGGGTAGCTGATTAGGTTGGCAACTGTAATACCGATTTACAGACTGGTATGGTGGCAACCGAAGCAAGAAGACATGTGGCCTAACCCGGCTATTTCGTGTACCCTTTTGGTTGAAGAAGCAGGTTTCAGAAAGTGTTGCAGACCCCTCCCAAAAAGCCCCCAGAAACGCCCCACCCCCCCCCTCAAGAAAAAGAAAAAGAACAACAACAGAGGTGTGGACCCTCGTCCTTTGCGTAAATCAACCAGGTGCCTTTTTAACCACGGGTTGATTTGAAGCCTTCCGTTGGCCTTCCGGAGTAAGGATCATGAAAAAACAACTCCCGTTGAAAGCAGGCAGACCCTATCCCTACCCCACCGAGGTGTAAAGCGCGAACACGTCAGAACATGGAATTCAAATGGAGATTTCTCAAAAGCAGTGGTCCCCCTAAAATGGTTGGTGTATGTTGATGGCCTTTCGGTTTCCCTTCCTTTACCAACTGAAAGAGGGTCCACCATTCGGAGAAACCCCCAAAGACCCACTTTTGAAGGATATGGGGTCCTTTTGATTTCATATTTTCACAAAATCAACGCAAAGGGGGTTGTTTACAATTTACTCTTAAAGTCACTCAAGCGGGGGGTTCTCCGGAAAAAAGAAGAAGAGGCAAACAACGAAGAAAGGACGCTTCCAAATCCGGGTACCTAGAGTCTCCATGACCCCTAGAACAAGTGGTCATAACCCCTTAATTTTGAATATATTGACCCCATGTTTAAAGGGTCATGGAGACTCTAGGTAGCAGCGAGATTGTAAAGCAGACCTTGGCCTAGCCCTGTCCAGCTTCCCCGTTGCCCCGCTTTCCCAAGCGCCGACGTTCGAATGGCCAGGGCGAGACGGACGAGACAAGCGAGACAGCGCTGGAGGCGTGTGTGAAGGGACGTATGGGCGTGTCTTTCTTTTGGTGGTGGGGGGGAGGAGGGAGAGGGGAGGGGGCTCAAGAAAACGTACCTTTTTTTTGGAGGGGAGAGGTGTGAAGGAGGCAGGCGGTTCAAGGAAACCTACTTTCGGGGGGAGGGGAAGGTTCCAGGAAACCTACTTTTCGGGGGGAGGGGAAGGTTCAAGGAAACCTACTTTTCGGGGGGAGGGGAAGGTTCAAGGAAACCTACTTTTCCGGGGGAGGGGAAGGTTCAAGGAAACCTACTTTTCGGGGGGAGGGGAAGGTTCAAGGAAACCTACTTTTCGGGGGGAGGGGAAGGTTCAAGGAAACCTGCTTTTTGGGGGGAGGGGAAGGTTCAAGGAACCTACTTTTCGGGGCAAGGGGAAGGTTCAAGGAAACGTACTTTTTTGGGGGTAGTAGAATTCCCCATTTTCGGCTGGTTTGAAAGGGCATCCCAAATGAGAACAAACCTGATTCACAGCCACAAACCAGGGGACACCAGCGAGGAGAGAATTCGAATGAATATTCGCCAAGGAACGGCTGAAATCGCAGAATATCTTTGGACTCTCTAGCCTACTTGTGGGGGGTTCCCTCGATTGTCCTTTCTGGGCGTCAAAAGTAAGCCCTTACACTTGCTGAGAGCTAGTACGTCTCAAAGAAGCTTTCCCTCAACTCATGGCACGCTCCGCTTCGTCCTCCAACCAGCCCCGCAGCTGCAATGAACTGCGCGGAGCAAGTTATTTCACCAAGGTGATGGCAGGGGGTCGTCTCATGGCATACCTCCCCTGCAACGGGTCTGCCCAAGCTTTCTTCAAGCCAGCATCGACTGGGCGAGACGATTTAAACAGAAAAGCAGGGACTCTTGGCCGAACCAAAAACAGAAAGACGCTGGGGTCAAGCCACAGTGATTCACAGGTTAAGCATGTTTAAACCCAAGACGTGGCCTTTTGTAACATGGGACCCTCTGGTGGGTTCCATGTAGTGGGGGTCGGAGGGTAGGTACATGTACCCCCGCGAATGCTTAAAGGAATTTTTGAATTGAGAGAAGGACGCCTGAAGAGTCCCAAACCGAGCTGCTCGCTTCTCGCGGTTTTAAGGAAACCACCGCATTGTTTGGTGGGTTCCCCACCAAAAATGGTCAACCTCAAACAGGGTTTGCCTTTTGTTGCCAGTGGTCAACCTGTTCCGAGGGGGAACCAGGGGGAACCGCTAGAAATCCGGAGGTTCCAGAAAGCGTTCCTTTTTCTCATCGATTTGTTTGTTTGAGGGTAATCAACCCCATTGTGGGGCTCCAAAACACTGGGGGAGGCAAGTCATTCACGCCATGCCGAAAGCAGCAGGCCTCGCGGCTTTCACGCTCAGGCGAACCAATTTTCAGCTTGTGATCAGCCTCCAGATGGCTGTGGCTCAAAAAACCGGTACCAAAATGGAACCCTGGTAAGTGGAGACATGCACCAAAACCTGCGTAACCCCTCCTGCTTAATTTTGAGCCACACCCAGATGCCTGCAGCGGCGTCGCCAAGTCGCTCCTTGCCAGTTGTGATGCCCATGCCACCGAGCTTGGGGCCGTCCGGCGTCAGCGTCGTCAAGCAGACCTATTCTAACGCATACTTCAGGGCGTGAAGAAGTTAGAGTTGGGTTCCGGGGCACTTTGAGACCGAAATAAGTCATCATCAGGAAAATGTCAGTATTTCGAAAACCCCCAAAGCAAGATTTCGCAAAACTTGTGGCATTGCCACGTCCGTTTTGATAGTCAAAAAATAGGGTGTGTCTTTCTTATCGTGCGCCCCCTAGCCTGAAAAGAGCACCCTCCATTTTGACCCACTAAAAGTTAAACTTTTAGCCCGGGATCTGAGGACAGCCCATGTTCATTCCAACTCATTCCCTATTTATCGCAGCCTGCGCGGGCCCATCAATTGCCAAGGGCGGGTTGCACCCCATGCCGCTTCCTTGCAGGCGCCGCGGAAGCCCGGAGGCCAGACCTTGTTTTTTTTTTTGGGGGTGACCCAGATATGTTCAGTGGTGTGTTTGTTCCTCTGTGTTGTTTTTATTTGTCTTTTGGTGGGGGGAGGGGGGCGGGTCCCTTTTAAAATCAACGAGCATAACAAAGAGTGGCAACGTGTTTCCCATGGCCACGGTCGAGTTGATGTCATCTACTCACCAAAACATCTCTAGGAAATAGGGGTTGCTCGCCAAATTCCCCCATGCCAGTTGGGACACAATGAATATCAATAGTGCCAACAGCAAGCCGGTTTTGATCTTTAAGCTTCACCAGGCTTGGCAGAATGCGGGGTTCCTGCTGACTGCAGGGGCAAGTAGCCACCAAGACATGAGGAACTCACACAAATATTTCGTTGGAGGGACATTCGCCGAATCCTTTCGAGGGGTGCATTTGCGTTTCATGGTACTACCCAGGTGTTCAAGGCTTTTGGATTTGGCAGACCTTGTTTTGAAAGGCTTCATAGATATGTTCAGCTTCTTTTAGTCTGGGTGTTATTGCTAAGCGTTGGGTTGCATAGATCACAGGTGTTAGCCATTTTGCCGGGGGGGGGGGGGTGCAAGAGTTAGAGTGTGCTGGCTGCAGCTCAAGCGGGAGCGAGAAGGCCTCTCTGGGTTGGAGTTCTGGACATGCCCTCTTCATGTAAAAGTTGGACTTCCAATGTGACCGACCCCTTACTCGTCGGGACCAAGCCAGAACATAAACTCACAAGAAGGGCTCCAATTGTTTGACAGGGACCGTTCGGTGGACATCATTTAGGTGGGGATGCATGTCCGACAACCGGCGACCATTTTGGAGGTGGTTCATTATTGCCATTTTGGCAACTGGGTAAAGTTTCCTCTTGCCCTGAAGTCATGTAGGCCCCTCAGAATTTGTAACCCGCCGTATCAGGAGGATTTTATGAAATCCTTGCCAAGGGGAAAGGGGTCTTGTCCGCTTTTGGATGACTTCCCTAAGCGCCCATGTCGAGAGGAAACTCCTGGGAATCAGATCCCGTTTGGGTTCCACGGTTTGTAGCGGAAATGAATGTTCGATTCGCCAACTTGGTGGTTGGCCACCTGAGTCACAACCCACCAACAGGCCTGCTAGGGTCAACTCCACTTGGGACATGTTTTAGCGGGTTATCGCCTAGACCAACAACTTTCCAACTTCGCGAATCAAACACCCAAGTAGATTTTAGAACGGCAAGTTTTCCAGTGATCTACTCCTTGTTTAAGTCGGGTTGACCTCCTACGTAAAGGGGCATTGTACTTAGTAAGTGGTTAGTAAGCCTGGTGATAGCCCACAAAAGCCATGGTTCTAAGTCTCCCAAGCAGGGAGACTAACCAGGCTTACTAACCACTTTCCTGACGTACCCGATCGCCCCTTTGCGTACCCTAGGTCCCCTAGTAAAATAGGGAACCGGTGTTTTTTTTTTGTTGGATTCACGCCAGCCGTGTTTATTTTGGATTTCCTCATTTTGGATTCTGATTTGGTGTTTTTTTAGACAGAGGAAGCGAGCAAGCAAGTGAGTGAGCGACTGGTGATTCCAAAGAAAAAACACCCTTTGACGGCGTGATTTCAAAAAAAACACCACGGCGTGAATTCAAAACAAAACGGGACCTTTTCAGAGACGAAGCGAGCAAGCGAGTGAGTGAGCGACTGGTGATTCCAAAGAGAAAAACACCCTTTGACGGCGTGATTTCAAAAAAAAACACGGGTGGGCTGGAGATTAAGTCTTGGTCGGTAGTGCTTTCGCTCTTGGTGTGTGTGTGTGTGTATCGCTGTGGGGGGGGGGGGCGAGGTGGTTTCACAAAAAACAACACCTGGTCGCCGCGGCGTAGCTTCAAACAAAAAAACCACCTGGACCCCCCCCAAAAAAAGCCACCTGGCCACCCCGGCGTGGTTTCAAAAAAACACAGGGACCCCAGAGGTGATTTCACAAAATAAAACACCAGGGACCCCCAGATGTGTTTAAAACAAAAAACCACCCGGCCACCCCGGCGTGGATGCAAAAAAAAACACTTGGCCACCCCGGCGTGGATTCAAAAAAACACCTGGCCACCCCGGCGTGGATTCAAAAAAAAAACACCTGGCCACCCCGGCGAGGATTCAAAAAAAAAACACCTGGACCCCCAGAAGTGATTTCAAAATACGTGAATCCAAAAAAAACACTGGTAAATAGACGTCCTGAAAAGAATCGGGTACCCTTCTTCTAACCTCTCAAGTCTGGAGGACCTAGTACCCTTTCTTTTTTCCTCTACAAAGCCTCCTCTTTGGGAACCCATGGGCAGCGAGGCGACGGCTTGTCCTTGGGACCAGCCTGGCGCCGATCGGATGATCGGGTCGGAGTCGGGTTCTGTTTCTGGGGATCAAAGTCAGCTTCTGGGTGGCGTCCCTACCCACACAAATGGCTTGGGAGCTGTCCGTTATCCGGATGTTGGCTCTGGGGCTGCAAGTCAGCTGGGTGGTTTCCCTTTCACCCACCACATTCATTTTAACCCACCTAGGTCCCCAGTGGGGAGGGTTCCCCTACTAAAATAGACTACAGAAAAAGGGTACCCTTACTCTAACCTCTCTACTGGAGGACCTAGAACGGGGGTGACGTTGAAGGCACAATAATTGCGGCCAGTGAGTTGCCCCGAGTTGGACCTGATACTTGGCTGGAGTGATTCGAAGAGGTGCTGGACTTTAGCTCACTTCCTGAGTTCATGAACTTTAAACTTTTGGGAAGACCATTCTAGTGGTAAATAATACAAAGTTTGGACTTGTTTTTTGGCCATCCACTCAGCAAGTGAGTTAGTCGCTTCGGTTTGCACCATAGTGGTAGAAAAGTTCCTGGAAGTGAGGAAACCAAAATTGGCAAACCGGTATATTGCGCATCCCTACAAGGACATACCCAAAAGGTGTCTTTCTCGGATGCTCCACGTGCACCCCTTTTTTGGCGTAAAGCGAAAAACCAGTTCGGGGTCCAGTTCGGGGGGTGACATGTGGCCCGAAGAAGCTGCACAAAACAGTCTTGTTTCTGCGGTTCGGGACGAGAACTGACGCGTGTGCCAAACAATCGTCAGTTTCTTAAGTAACTGCCACATGTGTTTTGTCTCATCCGGCTCGATTTGTTCCGTATTGCCATATTTCTACGGAGTTGTTTTTTTGGGGGAGGGGGGCCTTGCTTGCGTTCATGAAATTCCCGAGAAAATCTCCAGCACTTTGGACACGAACACAGTGTCTCACTCCGCAAGTTCACGGACTCATTTTTAGCAGCAAACAACAAGTTTGTTTTTTCCCCGGCTTCTGGGGATGATTTGTTTCATCATGAAACAAATCGTTTTGCCAAGAAGCAACCTCACTTCCTGAGTGGACTGGCCAAGAATACCTTGTGGAAACTGGCCAAACATGGAACAACAAAAACACGAACTGTCATGGGAAGAAGTGTCCTTTCCAATTTGTTTCGGGAAAAACCACCACGAGTTCGGTTCCAAGGCCGGGGACGTCTTCGTGGTCATCAACTTGCTGCCTCAAGAGGTGGAGGCCGACCGGGCCGAAGGTGAGACATGGAGGGTTGCGAAATCCATCCAACGCACAACCTAAGAAGACCTGGTTTCTGATGAATCCCCTGTAAATACCACAAACGTTATGGTTTTGCATGGATTCAAACTGGTGCAGGATTCTGTCCATCCACAGTAGTACAGCTTGAGATATATGGCTTTGGGTCATTAAGCGGCTGGGGCAAACCGCAGGTTTTAGTCCTTTCCATGTACCAGGCTTCCATTTTGGACCCCTGTTTTGAGCCACACCCATATTGTAATATTAGACTGACGTCGTTTACTAAAATTATGATGCCAGTCAAGCAAATACTTGAACTATACCCTTTAGTGCAAGGAGCCAAGTGATTTCTATCATGACTCCACAATGATACGTGAGAAGTTTTAGTGTTGCACGCCCTACCGCTCCATTCGGATTATTTTGGCCCGTGTGATTGGCTATTTCCGGGTGGATTCATTGCTCTCGCTGTCCTTGTTCCAAACATCTTGCTGGTTCTCAGTAGGAGCATCGCGAAGGGTTTTTGGTTTGAAGCTAAAGATCCCCTACAGGAAGCCAGAAGGCATGGTTCATATGGGTCATGTCCTCATTCCCTGGGATGACAAGAGCTCCTTGGTCCTTACGGAATATGGCCTTGACCGGTGAAACTTCTTTGACACTCAAAAAGAAGGACATGGATTGGTCGCCTTGCTTCGGGCCATATTCCAACTTAGCGTTTAGACAATTTTGGGTTTGAGCGTCAGGAGCATCCCAGGTGTTCCTGTCTCTCAAAGAGATCCGTGAACAAGTATGTTTGGCCGGCCATGGATTTGGGAGCTAAGCATGGGGCAATATTCCTTATGTAAAAACTCAAGTGATTTTAGGGGCCTCAGGAGCCCAGCTGCCCTGCAAAAGCATTGGTCTGTTGGGTCAAATCGAGTTCCAAGTCCCCCCCACCTCCCCGAGCTCTGAACGATGGCCCGAGGTGGTCTTTATCTTTAGGGACATGGATGTGTCTTTTGAGTTGGTAATGAACGTTGAATTAGTACAGCGTTTGGATGCCTTTTGCGTTTCTCTTTGAAGTTTTAGCTGGTGCGTTTCTGTTTCTTGTGGTCGCTTTTAAGTACTTTGGTGCTCCTTTAGTACTCCTTGACTACTTACTCTTTGATATCCAGGGGTGGATCCACAAGAGGAGAGAGAGGGCCCCAACCTGAACTTCCACAACAACCGGGAGGTTGCAATCTTGGAAACAGGCAATTTCATCGGCTCAAAACCCTTCGGGCGGCCGAAGTCGCATCTCATAAAACTGCTACCACCCAAGATGCCAGTTTCGGTCTAGTTCACTGCTCAAATTAGGCATCGTTTGGAGGGGGGTCCCCTGAAAAAGACACACCCAATTAGTATGGAACCAACAAAGGACGGCATGTCGACAGCTGCAGATTCCACTAGAAATAAGTGGCTGGCCCCATCAAATACAATCCTTAATGCTAAGCAGCATTACGGATTACAAACTTTTGGATTGTCATGTTTTTAAGCGGATCACGGATTAGGGGTTCAGAACCCCCAACTTGACGTTAAGGACCGACCTAGATTCTGCACGATGACAGATCCGATTTCACCCTGGCAATGCCAGAAGCACAGTGGGTTTTGAATCGTTGAGCCATGTTGAGAGTACGAAATCTGCTAGTGCCATGTCCGGGCACATCTGGGTGGAAGCTGCGTTCGGCTCCAACAGCTCTAGTTGGACACCATGCCACGTTCGGCAAAGGGCATGCCTCGCGCGAGCGTGTGTCTTTCAGCAGTTCCTCAAGGAAAAGAAGGTGTCGCCAAAGCATGGGAGTCCCCTGAGTGAGAGAGTGTCTTGGGTCCCCAGAACCCCAACAAAGCTTTTCATCAAGCCGTTCATGCTTTTTGGGGGGTTCTGGGTGGATAGAAGCTGCAGCAAGGAGATGGTTCCACCCCAGAACTCCGAAAGAGCTCTAAATCGAGCGGTGAGAAGTTGCGCAAGAGCCCCGAGACATCCCTGCATCCTTCTTCGGGCTTGCTTTGCCGCTGCGTGTTTTGTTTGTCGCAGCTTGTCCATTTTGCTACGAATCGCGCTAGCCAGATGCATTTTAGATTGCGCTGGAGCCCTGAGCACCCCATAGCCGCATCTAAAGGTCGAAGACTTTTCTTGGGCCGAATGGAAGAACAACAGAACCATAAGTTATGTGTCGAAGCCAAAAAACACAGTGAGACGGGTTGCGAAACGTGTCCTTTTTGTGTATGTTGTGGTGTGTGCCTTGCGGCGATGCTACTGATGTTGGCAATGCTGGGCATTCCTCCCATCCTCCCCCCCCCAGCAGGTAGTTTTATTTTGATTTTAATCTGGTAGGCAGCCTCCCATCCGCAGGTGGCCAGTGGATGTTTTCGGACAATTTCAGAAATTTCAATGCAACCCCTGGATCCAGAAACATGCAAGTGCAATGGTCACACGCGCATTTGTTCAATGCACTGGCACTGCAAACTCTCCACACAATTTCTGTAAAATTCTGGAAGACAGCGACCATGGACTTTGCACAGATCCTCTGGATCTTCCAAGCCTGGCCGTGGTACGTCCTGCTTCCTCATCGCGACACACCCAATTCATGCCAGAATCGTCCCCAGTCAGGGCAAGCTCAGCCATCAAATCAAACTTGGGTTTGACATACCATGTGTAAGGCTTAGCTGCTTCTCCCAAAGCTTTGTACTGCATAAGAAAGTTGGCCGGCGCAAGCAGTTGTAGCTCTCATTCAAATACTTGATGGTGTGCAAGATGCCATCAGAAGTATCCAGCAGTTCCGCTTTTCAGCTTTGGGCTTCGTATGCCTCCCTCCCTCCCTCACATTCTTGGATGGTCTGCCCTTAAGTTAGGCTTCACATAAGGGAACACACCCTTATAATAGCAGGGTCGAGTTGTTGAGGGTCGATTGGGTGCGCTGGAAACCCAGAGACATCGCTGCGTCCCTCTTCGGGCTTGCCGCAGCGTGCGTTTCTGTGGCGCAGCGCCGCTGCTCCGACAAAGCCGTAAACCGCGCGGTTCGCGCTTCTGTGCGTTCTGGTTGGATTGAAGTTGCAGCAAGGAGACGGTTCCACCCAGAGCCACGAAAAACCTTTAAATCGAGCGGTTCGTGCCTTTAGGAGTTCTGGTTGGATATCTAGGAGTTAAAGCAAGCAAGGACATTGTTCCCCCAGAGACAAGAGCCGCTCGTGCCTTTCAAAAACCCGAAAAAGCTTGAAATCGAGCAGTCCGCGGGGGTTGTGGCTGGATAGAAGTTACAGCAAGGAGGCGGGAACCCCGAAAAAACTTGAAATTGAGCGGTTTGCGCTGTTGGGGTTCTGGCTCGCTCGCTCCTTCTCACCATTGTGCGTCTGGCTGCGTCTATCTTCGTCGGCTTGGTGGCCGTCTTTGGTCCTTTTGTCGTCAACCCACTTGTCCAGCTGTCCCAGAACTTGGAGAGAGCTCCAAATTGCACGGTTTGTTTTTTTGGGGGATTGTGGCTCGCTCGCCCCTTCACCACTGTGCGTCTGGCTGCGTCTATCCTCGACGGCTTGGTGGCCGTGGTTGGCCTTTCTGTCGCCAACCCGTTCCCCAGAACGGGTTACGGAAGCAGCAGTCGAACCGGATGACGGATTCGACACGGATTTCGGAAGCAGGGGTGTTGCGGATTGATCTGATTCAGGCCGTGTAGCGGTTTTTTTTTTTTTTTTTTTTTTTTTCACGGATAGTTTTAGGGGCATGCACAGTTTGATCAGCCCAGTCTGGGGAGCTTGAAACCCTTCCTTCAAGAAGTTTTCGTAGAATCGTAGAACCTTCAAAGTTGCTTCTCAGAAGGGTTCTGAGAACCATTCTCTCGCCTAGGGTCATGACTGGCCGAATGATTAGCCGTACCAAGGGTCTCGTAAGAACTTCCACATACTCCGTAGCTGTCGCGCCTCCCTTATTTGTTCGGGATGGGGGAGACCCCTGTACTGGGGCCTCCTCCAAGACTATGTTCTTAGAGTAGACTCAATATGAAACAGAGCCCTTCATGAATGAACCCAACCAATGTTTTAACAGTCTGACTGAACCCCACAGATTATCTTTATCTTCGCCAGGTCTTTGCTGAGTACCACCAGGACTTCATCGCCACACTAGAGGTGGCCTTGCTCCCAGTGTGGGTAATGTTGACCCCACATAAATAAATTCCAGTTTTTCTCAATAGGGGGGGGGTTCTCCTCCAAAAGTGGGTACAGCCAGGGAAAGCGCCCCACGGATTTCTTCGTTTAATATGGGGTCAATGGTATATCTCTTGAGGGTACTCTTGGCTTGGTTTAAAGGGAAACCAACATGAAATTCCAAGTATAATTTGGAGACTGTGTGGTTGTCAAGGGCGATCCCAACTAAAAGTGACTGAGGCCTGAGAGCTTGAAGGCCTTTTGGGTGTCATTCTTGGTCCGTCCCTGTTTGGGGTTCGGCGAAATCGTGTTTTTTTTTTGTTGTTTTTGTTTTTTTTTCCGCTGGGGATCCCATGGGTTCCCCGAAGTCCGCCATTTTTGGGCATGGCCTTGTTTCCCCACGGCTGGAGGTTTGGGTGGGTGGTATGTGTATATCACGCTTGCCAATTCAAAGTTTCGTTTGGGATGCTGAAGGGATAGACTCAGGAACCCCAGCTTTTTTCATGAACAGACCCGGTGTCCTTTGTTGAAAACAATGGGTGTGTTGTTTCTTCTGTAGCAGGAGGCTCAGGTTGAGTGGCCTCAAGAGCCGGTATTTCTCACGAGCCTGCTCTTAAGTAACGGAAGTTTTATGGAACGATTCCTGCTCCGGAAAAGTTGCCTCCATGCAAAGGAGCAACCAAGGTCGCAATGGTTGCAGCTTACGCAGTCGCAGACCATGACGTCGTTGAGGAGATCAAGGGCCGTAAACTCACTCCAGCAAAGTCTCCTTTTTGCCCCGAGCCTACGGAGCTTCGGGAGCCGAAATCTTGATGACGATTCTTTGGCGTGCTCGGCTAAGCATATGGAAACGCATCGGAAATCCGTCTTCTCCATCGGCCGCAGGCTTGGACTGTGACATTGAGTGTTGAGAACCAATCCCCTACATGTTTGGTGCAAGGCTCAATTTTTGGGTTGATGAACCATTCAACGCGTGTCAACAGAAGCCCTGTTGTTCAGAATTTGGCCCCAACACCTATTTTTCCAGCATCACTGGGCCAATGGGGTTCAGCCGCCAGTTCTGGCCCAAAATACCCCCACAAATGTACAGCTGAGGTGAGCGCATACCGCCACTCCTACGACGGCTTGGCAAAGGCAGGGGGGGATGGCCTGATGGTAAGGTGCTGACAGTCTAGTATATAGGGGTTCTTTGTTCCAATGAAGTTGGCAGGCTTGCGCTAGGACTATACTGCGCCGCATAAGCTCAAATTCTCCCTGGAAGTGGACGTGTCCAAAGCCGACCTTTTGACCTTTTGCTTTCCTCATTTGTTTAGTCAACGTTCTAAAAGGGTACCCTTTTATGTCTCGTCCTTGGTGCAACTGAGAGACGTGGACAAACTCCGCTGCGCAGGTTTGTCGCGACTTGGGATGCCTGGTTGGTTGGTTTGCCATCGCCAGGTGTGGCCGAAGGCCCTGTATCGGCAAGTGGTCTTGCCGCGGCCTAAGGCCGGGGGGTCCCCAACTCCTTGTGTTCCTGAACAATGAGGGCGCCTTTTTTCAGGGATTGTGGTTCTTGGTTTCCTTTTTGTTTATTTTACAAAGAAGGGGCACCCTCAAAAAAGACAGTTGCAAACAACAAGTTTGTATTGTGTTCGGTCAATCAACTTAGCAAGTCAGCCAGTTGAGTGCTGTACCTGAAACTCACCACCAGCAACCAGGAGCCGCCATGGCCGGTGTTCTTGTATCTGCGCTTTCTAAATGTGTACCTTGGGGTCTGAAAAAAGATACCCCAAATGGGGACCCCTAAAAAAATATGCAGCTTAAGACAAAGTAGACAAGCTTGGGAACTCAAAAAACCCTCCCCCATTGCTTCCATTTGCTTAAGCTACTGTTTCATTTTTGCTTTTTGTTTTTAAATGGAATCTATCACTACTGGATTTGTTTTTCCAGGGGGGGTTGAGCAAATGGAAAATAGGGAAGGGGATTGAGGCTTGGCAACCGCCTGTACCTGCACCTCTTCTTGCAACATTTGCCCCTGGCGCAGGAGGGGGAGTCCGGGCACGGGGGGGGGGGGGCAACGGAAGGAGTCCACTGCATCACAATCCACCATTCAAACAACGGGGGAGAATATACAAACACCATTGTTAACCTAAGGAGTGTCATCAGCCAAATTGATTGAACCCTAGGCTAGTTGCCCTCTTCGTGTAGACACATCTTCTCCGTTTAATCTAGACCGAGATTGAATTGAGATGTCCAAGGAGTGGTTACCTCACTCAGATGTCTTTCTTAAGTTCAGGCTAAAATTGTTGTTACTTGTTGCTTTGCAGTTGTTTGGCCACGGATAATTGAACTAAGGAGCCGGGTACAATCAACATAATGCATTAATTTGTTGAAAACCCGATGGAAATGGGGGCTTAAGAGAGCTCAACTACCAACACCCCCTCCACAAGAAAAGAAACCAGGATGTTGAATGAATTATCCAGTTGTGAGGATGGACAGTCAAATGTATGTATATGTGTCAAATAGTATTTCAGCCCTCAATGGCTATGGGAAAATCAGAAAGTGCAAGTTTTGATGAAACAATGTTTCTTCAACCGGCAACTGTGCATCCACTGAGACACTGCCAAGTAGGAGGCGTCAAAATCAGGGACCCATGTATGAAGAAACCAGCCCAAAAAACAATCACCTGGGGTTAGCCTGTTTCGGCATCATTGAGAATCATTGCAAGGTACCGAAGGGTTTCCGACTGCCTTGGTGCAACCTGTGGGAAATGGCAGGACCTCGGGGGTGAATTTGTGTAAGCCAAGTCGCACTTTCCCAGTGGATCTGGGTTGTCGGAATGAGTGGTGTGAGTTCCCTTAAAATGACCAGGTTTTCCAGTAGTGCCCTTTTGCCTTTTTTGGGGGAGGGTTCCCTAAAGTAGACTACAGAAGAAAATCGGGTACCCTTATTCTAGCCTCTCTACTGGAGGACCTAGATGATGTTTCCTCATGCAGTGGGCAAATTTGGGCGAGCTCGCCTTGAGTAAAGCCAGCGTAAGCCCAGGAGTAAGGTCCTTAACTAGTGGGTTCCTTCGGGAGTAATTGGCTCAGAACACCGGCCGTGATAAGGAAAACAACCATGGCTGTGTTCCCATAACAAAGGTGTATTCGGTACCCACAACAAGAACAACACCCAAATCACACCAAGCGAGTGCTCCTTGCGTTGCGGTGGGTGGTCAAAGGGTTTCCCATGGTGTTTGAAGGAAATGTCAGCTTGGAGTGTCCAGCGGGCTGGGGGGGCCAGGCTTGAACGAGGGTTGAAAAAGAGGGAAGGGGTTGAGCAAGGGGGTTGGGCCCAGCGAACAGCACAGAAAACACCCAAGAGAATCAGCACGTCTGCATGGACTTCGCAAGCTCAATGAATTCCTGGCCGAAACAAAACAAAGCCTGCTCAGCGTCCTGAACCATTGAATGCTGAAAGAGGAAGCACGGCACGCAGGCTGAGTTTGGACAAGGGCACACCTTGCTGTCTTGGCAAAAGTTCTGCCTGGCTGGAGCGCACCTTTAGCTCCAATGCGTGGATGAGGGCACGCAGAGTCTTAGTAAATCTTAGTAACTTAGGGAATCATGTGCAGACTGGTTGCCTGCAGGACCAACTTGCCCAGACAATTCTCTTGCTTGAGAAAGTCTGCGCTGTTCAAGAGTCCCTGGCAGCATTGGTTTTTTGGCATGCCAGCAGTTTCCAGCATTTTGAAGCACATGGCCGAAGCGGCCAACTCTCCTGATAACGCCGCAGGGCAAAGGGTGGGGTCCTTTGGCGCCGTTCCGCGGGGGTTTTCGAAAGGACTGGCTGCACGCCATCGTCCAGCTTTATCTGGATGAGCCGGGCGCTCGTTCCGCGCAGCGGGTAAGGCGCGCTGGCGGTGTATAGATGGAGCGGAGGGAGCCAGGATCCTGGGGATGGTTGAAATCGAAATCCATGCAACGCGCCACGAAATGAAACCACGGGGAAAAAAAGGAGAAACATCGCGTTTGTTGGCATTTACAATTGAATCATCAGAAACCAGGGTTTCTTAGGTGGTGCGAAATGGATTTCGTCCATCCACAGTATGTCACAATGTTTATAGCAACCGCGGATGTTCTCCCGACTCGATTTTTCTCCAACGGCTTGCTATTTGTGGTGACATACTATGGTGGCAACTGCGAGCACTGGGTGCCCGGTGTAGTCGGCTTAGCCTGTTTGCCTCTTTGGGTGTCCATTGCCTTTGAGCCAGCAAGTCGAACATTTTGGGAAAGCGGTCGGATCCTCCCGACCCAGGTCTTATTGAAGCTACCCTTGGGGTTCTTTTCCGAAGCCAAATGGCTGTGGCTCAAACAAGTGGAACCCATTTTGGGGCCCCTTGGATGGAAACAAAGACCAACACTTGTGTAACCCCAACCCTTAAATTTTGAGCCACACCCAAATGGAAACCGCCCACTTTGGTTGATAGATGTCAAGGTCACCGCATGAATTTTCTCGAAGCCAGGGCCAATGGCAAGCGGTTTGCCCAGTGAAGGTCCGTCCTTGCGGGTCTCTTATACAGCTGTGAAAATTAATTCATGAATCACCTAGATGGGGTTGTATCAAAATAGGGGGACCCCCAAAAATGCGGTTCACCTCCAGCCTCACCTTTCAACCATAAAAGGGGTAACCTCAAGAAACTCACGCACCCAGATTGATCTGTCAACAAATCCTTTCAATTATGGATCCCGAAACGAAAGAGGGTTCCTGTCCAATAAAAATGGCCTTCCTGGGCCTTATTTATTCCGGTTCCGTGTTTGGGAGGGTGCATGGTATGCTGAAATAAGAAGGACATGGCTTGGCGCACAGAACGCTTAGATGCCACCTTGGCAGTTTCCTGCCATTAGACTTGTAGACGTTTCGACTTTAAAGTGGTTGATGACATCTCCCACCAAAGGTTTAACTTTTACCCATGGGATCAAACGCCCGCCATGTTTTACCACGCACTTGTCGAAAGCTGGCCTTTAGACCTTTTGGTTTCCTCATGTTGGGCCATTTTTAGTCAAGGTTCCAAAGAAATGTCCTTTACTTCTGGGTCCTTTGGGCAAGTGAGAAACAGATCAAGAGGTGTTTGATCCTAACACCCTCCCAGGCTCTAGTTTTCCATGTTTTACCCATGGTTTTGTGGTTCATGGTGAATTTACTGTGCGTTTTGTTTCCCATGTTCTTGTGGTTCAGTCTGGTTAACTTGCCGTGTTTACCCGTTGTTTGTGGTTGGTTCACTTGCTTTTTACGGAAGAAAACAGGGAACCAAACTGCCGATCCAAGGCCATGCCCGGAGCAGTTCTCAGCGCGGATGATGCGCATGAAGCAGTTCCTCAGAGAGGCGAACCGGAAAAACCTGCCGTGGGAATGGGGCGCTTCCCGTTTGCCGAAGAGAATATGGTTTAATTGGGTTGGTGCTTCCGGTGCTTCCATGTGCTTCCGTTTGGTGTTTCCATTGGGTACTTTCATGTGGTGCTTCCATTTGGTGTTTTCATTTGGTGCTTCCATTTTGTCCTTCAACTTGCTTAAGACAATATGGGTTAAACAAATTAGCCGTTGGCTTCAAAAGGAAATCGCTTCCATTTGCTTAAGAATGTGTGTTTGGTTTATGATTCTCCCCGGTTTTGAACATAATCTGTCACTACTGGAGTTTTCCCCTGGGAACTCAAGCAAATGGAATGCTGCTGAAATCGGTTTCATGCTTGAGGTTGGTGTTGTCGAGGGTACCCTGTCTTTAAAGGTTGAGGGTTCCCGATGTTGAGGGTACCCCACACAGGTGGGCGTTTTTTTTGGGCTTGGCTCCTATTTGGATGGATAATGGATTTTGTTTTAAACTTTTTATGGATGACCTGCGAACATCAATGCTTGATGATTGAAAATAGAACTCAAGCAAAAGTGAATATCAATTTATTTTGCTCTATGCAACCCACTGAACCATTCTCTTTTTGCTCCAATTTCCGAAAGGCAAAACACTGATTTTGTGGCACGGGGGGGCCACTAGCCATCGAGGGATCCCCAGGCAGGGCCCTTTTTTAGCTTGCTTTGAAAGGGAGACCAAAGGGACACACGCCCAATTTGGGGGTGTCCGAATCCCTATTTTGACGCATACCAACATCGAGCGACAATTGCGAGGCCATAGCAAGCCTTATCAGGCCTTTTTTGGCACTGCTCTTCGTTGATCTGAGCAAATTCAAACGAGCTGACCGACTCATGTAACACAAGATTCCTTATGTCTGGCACGTTGCTTCCCTTGGTTCAACGTTTTTTCGCGAGGAGGTGTCCCCTTCGAGTTCATGCAAAATGGTGCCTTTTGCCCATGGATACTGGTCTTCCGAGGTCCAACGCGTCGGACATTTGAACACTACCATTGTAGCTGGGGTCTCCTTCAAGCAATGTTTCTCTGTTCGGGCAGACATATGAAACAGTAAATCAAGACATCAGACATGCTTTGTGCCCCCCCCCCCCCCCCGGCCTTTTTTTCCGGCCAACCTTTGTTGCGGGCCAAACTTAATGGTAGCCATGGAAGTCCAGGACTCTTCTGCTTACCGCCCATGGAATGGATTCTGTCGTTTTGCAGGGGGTGCAGAACTTGGAGACGCGGTACCAGCTCGCAGTGGCACTCAGCGACGCAGTGACGACTGCTTTTCCGCTCACTCCCTGAGTGCCAGGGTTGTGGAATCACGCGGGGTTTATTCCCACTTCTGTGATACAAGGGAATCTCCCCCAGTATACGGGGTGTTAGTCTTTGGGAAGCCCTTTTTGTTGTATCACAGAAGTGGTCATTTCCCACAACCCTGCTGAGTGCCGAAACTCGGGATTTGTGTGTGTCACTTTTTGTTGGGTTTGGGGACGGTTGCTCGGTTAAGGGGTAAACAGTTTGCACTAATCCACCAAAAAAGTTTTCTCCAAGTTGTTGTTTGTCCCTGGTTCAACACATCTCAAGTGAGCTCACTGCGCCAAGGGGACACTTGGTGTGGGGTGTCCACGGGACTTCTTCGTAAAAGCCGCAGAAGTGGTTGGTTGGTTTTGGGTCAAGACCGCCTTTTAGGGGTTGAAGCAGTCTACTGTATCACTTTTGTGCAGCCCAACACCTTGCCAAATTTGCCAAATTGGAGGGTTTGTTAATCCCGGGTTGCCATTGTGTGTTTTGGTTGAGGGTTTCCCATTGCACACCCAAAGGGGGGAGACCCTCAATGTTTGCTCCCCCAAAGGCTCCCCCCTTTGACGCATGGGTTTGTCCCAAAAAAAGGAGCACGCCAAGAGTAGTTCTGTTGTCCTTCTGGTGTCCCTTTACAGCAACGTAAAAAAAGATACACCCAAATGGGTTCCCACTGTAGTTCTCATTTACCCTCCCATTCATGGAAGGTTGAAGGGATGGGGGGGTGCCTGGTTTGGACCATGTTGCGTGTAGAGTCCGATTTTGAAGGACGCTCCCCGGGCCCTGTCGCTTGGGTAGGGTTTGTCGTTTGAGGCCCTAGAAGAGTCACCCACTCCAATTCCAGAACTGCCCCATGAACTGGGTAATTCGGAACTTGCCCCATGAACCGGGTACTGGGCCAATGTCTGGTGACCTACTTAACCCCCCCCCTCTGGGTGGTGCTGTCGGTTGGGTTGGGTTGGTCTTAGGCGAACGGCAAATCGCTGGGAGTTTTGGTGACATGTTCGTATCTTTGACCTCGATCGAAAAGAATCAGATGGGTTGAAAGCCCCAGATCAAGTCACATCCGGAGGTGGGGAAATAATTGCCTTGTGATTCCGAAGACGTTGCCTGGCTCGCAGCAACTGGACACCTAAAACATAACTGACTTTTCACATGGAGCTGTGCCTTGATTTTGCTAGGCAACAAATCAACATATCAACTACTTCCACCGCAGTCAGCCGAAATATCAAGGGTTCCCGACATACAGGACCCCTCCTTTTTGGCCCTTTGGATGGTGTGGGGAACAAAAGAAGAATCATGCAAGAACGACATCTGCTTGGTGTTCGGAAACACCAGCTTGCCTTGTGAGAGCCCCTGCCGGAAACCAAACTAGCGAAGCAGCAAGGCTCAGTATCGTAGTTTCCCCTTCAAATTCAAATGCCAGTTAAAGTTACCCTGTTTGATGGCTCCCAGGATGGAGGAAACCCTGGGTCAAACCGGTCTTGTGCAAGGCAATCCGAAAGGAAACACCTTATTCTTCTTGGGCTCACATCATGTTATTCCTTTTTGGGGCACATGGATATGTGCGACTTGCTCAGTGGGACGTGCCTCCAAGTAAAGGAAAACTTCTTCTTGCGTTGGATCGCGTACCATTCCCAATGGACCAGTGGCGCCCTTGTTTGCTGTTTTTGGGAAGGGTTCCCCTTCAAACTCAACCAGCCAAAAAAGCATGCCCTTTTCTTCCCAATCCACTGGGCATGCGTTGCCCAGGTAAAACCATGTCAATGCAGCGTCCCATCGGAGGGGGGGGGGCAACACCTCCCCTTCCCTTGGAGATAGGCGTGCATTGAACCAACCAACATAGCCTTCAACTCACTTCCTGAGTTGGTGGACTTTAAACTTTTTGGGAAGACCATTTTAGTGGTAAATAAAAAGTTTGAACTTTTTTTGGGCCATCCACTCAGCAAGTGAGTGTAGCGTCGTGGTTTCCTGTTGGGTTCTCTTTGTTCACCCGATCCAAACGAAGGTCCCCATTCTGATCCCTATTAGTCATTTCGTCATTTCGCTGGCACATCAAAAAGGCTCGCTGGTTCTCAGGGACTGTTTTTGTTTGTTCTTTGGGAGCGAACCTGGGGTATCACTCATTCTCTGAGCGTGCTAGAGCTTGCGCAGCAGTCTTCATGTGTGTGGATGCCCTGCTGGATGTCCAGCGGACTGGTGAGGGTGTGTTCCGCCGCAGTTTCGAGCGGGCAGAGATGAATCTGGCGCTGGTGAAGGAAGGTGCTTCGTCCCAGTATGCGCGCAACATCTGGAACACCTACCCAGCAAGTTGCCTCGAGTTGGTGAGTGAGCCTGAGTTAATTACTCAGATTCACATGGAGCTTTCACGGAGGAAGCTCCTAAGAAAATCGGACCTTTTGGGTTCCCTCCGTTCATTTGTGGTCCATTTTCACTTTGGGCGCCTGGCCAAAACCCTCAAAACCGAACCACCCAACCTCTGAACCCCGGCTGCCAGGGGCTCGGAGCTCGTTTCTTTTCCTCCGAGGCGCGGCAACTGGGCCAGGGCTTCTCGGACATTGCCATCGAGACAGCCTCTCTGGCCACTGGGCTTAGCGGTTCATCGGTACTGGGCGTCCCAGTCTCAAGTTAAAGGCCCTGAATGGTGAAGGGTTGGGGAGTTGGGGGTTGGGGGGTTGGGGGGTTGCGGGGTTGGGGGGTTGGGGGGTTGGGGGGTTGGGGGGGCGCCTAAAGCGGAAATGGAGGTTGAGGAAAAGTATAGTTTTGTATGCTCTTTCCAACGCAGGTGGGCAGATTGTTGGATGAAGAAACCTTTTCCGCTTGGATTGATGCAAAGAGGGGAGCCAACTGGGTCCAGAAAAGTGGTAGTATCCTCCAAACTGTTCCCGCAAATGCGGTTTAGAGGAAAGCCACCCAAAAAAGAATGAGAACCCTCAAAATGCTCACTGCAAGGGACACAGCCCTACTCCAATTTGCTGAGAGTTCGCCAGAAGTTCTGATTTGTACCCGTGTCCGCTCTACATTTGGTGCCCTTTAGCATTTCAACACCATGTTTGAGTAGTGTGGCACCGGATATCACCGGTTGAAAAAAGATACAGGCCCATGCTCGAATGGCTTCAGCGAAGCGGTTTTGATAAGCTATGACAAGTCTCGATCCTCGGTGTCTGATGACTAGAGGAGTTTGGTTACCCCGCTCCTTCGGGCAAATCATTTGGCCGAAGACATTGGGCGAGCCGGATCCAAGCTTGCTGGGGGTGTGGATGCAGAAATGAGCAGCGCCCAACTCAAATGGTTCTACCACCAGGCTTGATTGAAATAATAGCGAAGGCTAGATTATACATGGTCATGGGTCAACATCCCAATCCAACCACCAAAAACAAGGTTCTAAAATGGGTGCCGAATTCACCTACCAACCAAAATGGGATCCCAAAACGGTTTTGACCACCACAGCCATATATAAACCTTGTTATTGGCATGCTACTTGAACCTATAGACCGCAGCTTTGGGCGCCGAGAGCGCTCAGGTCTACATGACCTAAGGCTCTCGCCTGCCGAAGCCCCAGCTTGTTGCATAGCGAAGGGCAGTCGACCGTTTGTTGCAAGCCCAAATGGCTCGCTGGCATTTTCTTAACTTGGTGGCGGTCGAAGGCCATCCGGTTCCTTAGCTTTTTAGATCTTTTTAGTGTTTAGTGGTAGTTTCCATTTAACCCACTAAAAGTTAAACTTTTGGCGGGGGGATCTGAGGGCAGCCCAGTAAAGAATATGTTTTGTTACTTTCCCTTGTTAATTTCAATGGGAATCCATCACCCCTGGAAATATTATTTGTTTCTTTTTCTACGTATACGTATGGGTGCTCCTCAAGATTGAGGATTTCGTTTGGCTGTTTTTTTTTTGGCTTCCCCTTAGCTCTGCGCAAAAGGAGACCCCTATTTTGAGAAAGTCCCTTCTGAACTTCTTGTGTTGCTGCTGTTTCGTGTACAGGTTTGTCCTTAAGCCATGCTGAATGCATGTGTGATTTGGGCAGGGCGGTCATAGCGCTTGCCAAGGTCAAACAGGCTTGCTCCGAGTCGAAAATTGCCCAGACACCTGACACACAAGCGCCTTTGTTCCTCTTTTTTCGAGGGGCTCCCGTTGTGGCACCAATTCTTTTCCCCTTTGTTTTGGCGGCTGCCCCACTAAAAATGACCTTCCCCAAAAAGGGTTCCCTTTTTTCCCAGGGTCACTGAACAACTGAGACTACCGACAAGAGAGTGCCCTTTTTGCCCACGGAAATCCCTTGGCGGTTTAGGATTGGCGGGGGGAATCCTGTGCTTTCCCCCGGTCAAATATGTCCGCAAGGAGCTGCCAGAAATCAGACACTTGGCGGTCACCGTGCTTTGGATTGCGCAGTGCTGTTGCCTTCGGGGAACCCAAGGACAAAAAAGAGGTTGGTGGATGAACCAGAAAAAGGTGGGTGGATGGTGGCAGAATCCATGTCGCGCCACGGGAATGAAGCCAACCGTTTTTTTTTTTTTTGTCACGGTATTTGCGTGGGGGAAGCGAATCAGAAGCCAAAAATTCTGAACGGTGGCGCGAAATGGACATCGTCCATGCGCGGTACCTTTTGACGTTTGCCCTCTCTCGCACGTTGCCATGGCACCTGACAGGGGATTGGTTCCTCCCAGGTCCCGGAGGAAACTCATCTTCCAGATGCCCTCCCAGCAGTGCCATGTTAGTGGGAGGAAGGGTAAATTTCCTTTTGGGCTTTTAGAACCGCGAAGCCAAGAGGTGCAGTGCTTAGTTGTTGGTGCTTTCCACTCCGTGTTGCGGTCGGACCGCTCGTGTGTCAGTGCGTTTGCTGTGAGACACCCGTTTTTTTTTTGAGAATGTGTGTTTGGGCCAAAGGCTGCTTTTGAACTTCTGGGGAATGCTGAACGGAAGGTAAAGAACAAGCTGCACCTCCATCTTAGGTTTGGCCCAGTCAGATGAAGATTCTGAGAGTGTGCCTTAAACTGGGGGGTTTTGACACGTTCGGGGCCTACTCATCCGAAGATGGATGCACGAACAGGCCTAGGGCAACCCCTGATATTGATTTTTCTCAGTAGGGAGTGGGAATGGCGCGCCCAACCATTCCGACAGCGGCCGCTACAGAGTGATTCCCACATTCCCTCCTTAGGCCGCCTGCGTTTACTACTGGAGAGCGGTCATCAATGACACTGGACAGACTCACCAAGCAATAATTAGGAAAGAAGCGTGCTCACCAAATTCCGATGTTATTAGGGGGGGGCATATTGACTGTCGATCACAAGGAAGCACAGTGCTTTTGCACCGAGATTTCACAACGGGTTCGCCTGGTCATTTCTTACTGTGGATGGACAAGATCCTACTCCACTTTGAATGGGAAGCAATTGCTTGTTGGCATTTCATGATTCCAGGGCTTCTTAGGTGGTGGGAAATGGATTTCGCAACCATCCACAATATGGTAAGCGTCAGCACTGAAAAAATCGAAACCTAAGGAGGTCCTGGTCCGCCAGAGGCTGCTGAATCGCCGAACCTGATCGAGCGCTCGATCCCATGCGGATCCAACTGCCAATCGGCAAAAAGCCATCAACCCCCAAAACTGGTGATACCTGGGGAATCTAAACTCTGGAGAAAAAAAAGAAGGAAAAAGAGCAGAGTGTGGACAATATTCGGAGCCTTCACCTAGGGGAAACTACAAGGGAAAGCTTCAACAGTCAAAGCCCACTTGGTTTCTGGCAGCCTTTGGCTAGTGCCTTGTTCCTTCGATTCCCTTGAACATCAACCCAAATAATCACTGGTGGTCTAGGAATTACGACGATGACGGTTTCTCTGCGAAACCCACATGTAGGATTGCGACCCTTGTCCATGATCAAGGTTCCGGTGCAGTCCTTGTTTTAAGTTGGTGAGTTAGAAGTTACCCAGATGGATCTCAAGCCAAAAAACCATCGGTGCCCAGAAAGGGTTTGGCCATGGATCTCCCGTGCTGCGTGCTGAACATGTACTGTTGCTTAAGCATCCTGTCGCGCGATTCCACGGGTCGCAACTGACTCACCAAGTAACATCCAAAGGACTGAAATACTGAAATAATGCTAGTAGAACAAATGACATTTGCGGTGTTGGGTTGATCATTGTCTACCTTCTGAATGCCTAGCCTTCACAAGGGCCTTGAAAGGCGGACAAAAAAAGGCCGAGCCCATTTTCTTAATCACCCGGAATCACCCTTGTATTTGCATGTTTGGCAGGAAGCCTTGTTAAAGGTTAGACAGTGTTCAGGATCCTTGGGCTGACTCGTGCACAATCAAAGTTTCAATTGTTGGTTCCCCTTGAAACCATGAATCGGGCCGACGCTCTCTGCAACGAGATTGGGATGATGCCATCAATGCGCTGGAACCATGAACCTTTACCAGGAGACATGATGTTTCCACTAGGGCACGACAAATTTACAGGTGTTTGAGTCTCTAGGTAGGTTCAAGTTTCTTCCCCGCAGCAATTGGATCCGCTTGGCCAGATAACGAAGTAGGATGCCAACCTCTCAGAGAAAAGTCGCGTTGGGCGCATCGGGCTGGGCGGTCGGACAAGATTGCATCCTTAGGGCGATGGATTTTGGCGAGAAGGTGAGCTAAGACTGCTTCCAGTTTCTGAAGAATATATTAAATGATTTGTTTTCCCTTGTTGGGTTTAAAGAGAACGTTGGGTTTAAAGAGAACCTATCACTACTGGACATATTTCTTCCAGGCGGCGAAAACGCAAGACTGACTGAGGGCACCCAGCTCGAGTCCAGGGGTAGCCGAGATGTAACCACTTATGAAACCGAAGTCGGGTTGGATCGATTCTGTGGATGGTTGCGAAATCCGTTCGCACCAAATTGAAACCATGGTTGAAACCAATAAGTTCGTTGGTATTTACAGGTGGCAATCGAATCATTCCAGGATTTCTTGGGTGGTGCGAAATGGAATTCGCAACCATCAAAAAGCCCAAAGCTCTGATCCGGTAAGAAACACATGGGGGGAATTGAGTCGTACTCAATCTGGTTGTTTCAAAGCCAATGGTACCATTTTGGGGTAGGTGCACCACCCATTTTAGTCCATTTTAGTGGGGATTGGGATGTTCACTGGGGGTACGGGGTTTTGACCCATGGCCATATGGGTTCTCCAAATTAAATGGGCAATGACTGCTTCCCTTTCGGCATGCGTTCAAAACCAAGTAGGGTGTTCTCCAACAGAAGATGCTTCAAATCATCAAAAAGGCGCCTTACAGGATGAACTCGCAACCCAATCGTATTTCTGCCCTAGGGACTCCGCCATGATTTTGGGTCTGCTTGTTTCAGCCATGTGTGTCGTTCACTTCTTCTTTTTATTTTCCGGGGTGGGGGGGGAAGTGCATAGGTGATTTCTTCCATTCGCTTGGATTGGGCTTCAAGCCATATGTTTTGTTGTTTGTTCTTCTGTGTGAGTGTGTCACAGGCTCCCCCTTTGTTGTATGGTTCGATAGTCCAACTCGGGGCTGGCTTACCCCTTCCCTGCCCGGGCTGAGTTCTTTACCATCAAACCAGGTCTCTCGGGGATGCTGCGGTCCATAAGCTTTGTATTTGGGCCGTGCTTGGGGCTTTCAATGGAAGACCCCGACCCCTCCCTTGGACATTGCGGAGGTGTTTGGGTCTCAAAGCTTGCCTATGGGTAGAAAGTTTGTTTTTTCAAACCTAAAACCCGCCGTGGGACATCTCGCAACCTCGCCAGAGGCTCTTTTCACCCCGATCTTGAGGTCCCCTTGCAAGTCCGCTGGGCTTTGGCGGTTTTCCTGGGTGCCTTCTTTGCAGGGCTCCTTAAAAGAAAGTCATTTTGCAACCATTTGAAACATGTTGCTTTTTCAACACCAAAATAAAGGGACACCACCATTTACAAGTTGCAATGTTCGGGTGTATAATGTCTGTTTTTGCGAACGCCTGGGTTTCCACTGTGCCACCGCATTTCTGGGCGAATGACTAGGCGTGCAAGTGATCTCGGGAAGACATGGGTGGCTCGTCTTTTTGGAAGCTGCTCTTTGTGGTTTTGGAGGGAAACCAAAGTTGAGACCCTGCCATTTTGGGGGTCCCCGAGAAAAACAGAAAGCTAAGGGAAACCCTGCCAATTTGTCACACCAAAAAAAACATTCTGAGGACGATTCTCCTGAGAGGCATTCATGCGTTTCATGGAAAACATTCATCATGGGAGTGCCTCAGACTCGCTGTCCAAAGCCGAAAATCATCTCACTCCCTGAGTCCCTGAGTCCCTGAGTCCCGATTCTGGACTTGATAACTTTTAAGAAACGGTTTGTGTGGTGAACAAGAAGTTGCTTCGAATTTGGGAGATCCACTGGTGAAGTGAGCTGGCTGGAAGTTCTGCTCCTAGGGCGATGGGATCTTCTTGCTGATTCTTAGCAGCTTCCTTTAAGGGAATCCCCTTCCGGTTCATTCCCAACGGTTCTGGGTCATTCCCTATCGCACAAGCCTGTCCAACTCCGCCCGGATTTGGCTCGTGGCGCGATCTGGGATGATGAGACCTTAATCCCCGCGCCTCGGATCTCGAATGGGAAAATGGAGCCGGGTGGAGCTGAGAAGCCAACATTTGAAGGAGGAACCAAGCGGGAAACCCAAAAAAAAACCAGACATTTGGGTCCCGTCTAGAGGGAAACCAAAAGGGAACCAAAATTGAACCCGCCATCTTTGGGGGGTTCTGTAGGGTCAAAATTTAAGACACACCAATATCGCTGTGGTGGTCAAAATTTAACCAGCAGGATATGGACCGCAGGTTTTAGTCCTGGGTTCCATTTACCAGGGTTCCATTTTGGGTACCCATTTTTGACCCACAGCCATTTGGCTGTGGTTGTCAAAACCAATGGGATCCCATTTTGGGGTAGGTGAATTCACCACCCATTTTAGAACCTATTTTAGTGGGGATTGGGATGTTCACTGGGATTACTGGATTATGACCCATGGCCATATGAATCTTTGGCTGGTCAAAGGCAATCCACAAGATCCTTACCTCGAGATACGAAAGGATCTGGGCCCCGGTGTTGTGGTTGTACCAAAGCAGGGTTGTGGGATCAAGGGGTTTCTCCCCACTGTGATTCAAGGGAATCCCCCTTATGAACAAAATTCTCGTTGGGGTTAGGCTCTTTCTGTTGTATCACAGAAGTGGATTCCATTCGCCAACGCTCCGTTTCGAACAGCCCAGTGATGCTTGGCAGCTGTGTCATATCCACCCGTTGCGTAAAGCTAAGCACGTAGGGTATGCAGATGTCGAGGGAGCATCGTGCGTAAACATTGTACGTAAGCTTTTGTTAAATGAGCATTTGTGCCTTTGTCCATGAGGTTAGACTAGCTTGTCGAGACAGTGTGTTGTCGGACAGGTTGGAGAACACGTTGTTTGCTTAGCCGCAGTATTCATGTTTTACTGCAGAAGCCAGCAGAAAACTCTGCGTGTGCTGTCTATACGTGGCGCTGAGAAGTTGCGATTTCCAGCTGGAGCGGCCTTTTTGTGTACTTCGCGTACGACGCTTGAAGAGGATGTCCGACTCACAGTAAAACGTAGCCTTTCTACTCTGGATGGACAAAATCCTTTTCGCACCACCTCAGAAACCCTGGAATGATTCGATTCCCCAACGTACACGCCAACAAGTTGGTTTCAACCATGGTTTCGAAGCAGTGCGAAATGGATTTCGCAACCATTCACAGTAGTAATGGAACTTTCGGTGTTCTAGGTGTCATGGTTGCGCTTTTGCAGCCTTGCAGCCCATTGCGTAAGCAAAGACTGGGTTGGTGTAAAACAGGTACTGTACGCGGCAGCGTCAGGAACGGTTCGATGCAGAGCGATTGTTTCACGTTTTGGACATCGTTTTGGTTGGACGTTTAGGCCTGAATGAGGGGATTGAGCCATCCGGAAGCCAACTTGGGATGGGTTTCTGTTTGGTAGCAAGCTTCTACCCTTGATCACTAGATATTGCATGTTTGGTTGAATGCCTGTGGTCGAGCTATCCCTACAACATGTGGAATCTGAAGCACCTGGATACCTTCTATCGAGCTACCATGGATCTGTGGGGCAATTGCCCAACAGCACGGATAGGAAGGCCATGTTGAGCGTCGGATCTTCTCCAAATCCAAGGCGGGAGCCTTTGAAGCGTTGAAGCGCAGGCGGGGTTCGGGAACTCGGCTTCGTGGCCGACAGCTCTCAAGACTTGCAAGACCAAAAGAGCTGTTGCAGTCGTGTGGATAGGATTCAGGTTCTGCAAATGATAGAATCTGATAGAACTGTAAGAGGGTTCCCTAAGAGGGCTTTCTTCTGGGTACAAGGCGTTTGCTGAGGTATGTGAACCTGCAGTAGATGTGGATCTTGTTGTATGCGGATGATGCAAACTGTGCAACTTGCCCGAGCAACACAACATGGTTCGCTTTAGGGGGAGGGGGGGCAGTCTGGTTGTTTGACTAGGTCAATTAGTGGTGCCCTTTCTCACCCCTTTTTTGGGGAGGGTTCCCCTACTAAAATAGACCACAACAAAAAAACAATTACCTTTATTCTAACCTCTCTACTGGAGGACCTAGTTGAATACAACTTGCCCAACAAATGTTGGACAAAACCAGCTTAGGACCTCGATTACGAAAACCATGCTGTGGATGGTTTTTCGGAATCCATTTCGCACCACCGTTCAGAAACCCTGGTTTCTGATTCGATTCCCCAGGGAAATACACGTATTGGCGTCATTCCCATGATTTCATTTCGTGGCGCGAGCGGAGTTTGTCCATCCACTAGCTTTTGTGTATTTTGGTTCCGGCTAATGGTTTCATGTGGTGCGAAATGGATTTCGCAGCCACCCACAGGAGGGTTTGTTTGAACCCATCTGCGAAATGAGGACACCGTGGACACCAACTCGGAGGGCTCCACATGGTTTTTGGGACCTCCAACTGGCCACTCTTTTCTGGGTATGATGGTCAAGATCAGAGAAAGCCGGGGATCATGGGAGCAAACCGGCCAGACATGTTTGGTATCCCCGTGAAGAAGCGGCACCTATAGCGGCGGCACCAGGTCCCAAAACGGGACCCCACGTTGTTTTTCTCTCGCGGCGAGCCACAGGTATGGGCAATGTGGGAGGTATTCGCCTCGCGTGCGGCTTTCGCCTAAGATCGACAGCTTGAGCTTTGGGCGAAGAAAAGCGTCCCCTTGGCGGCAGAATACTTGTTATTTACTTTCCCCTGGCGGGCTAAAAGGACATTAATCACTGGACATGTGTGGTTTTTGCTTGAGACGTGAGAATGTGTGTTATGTTTTATGGTGTGAAAGGGAATCTATCACTGGAAATATGTGTTTGTTGTTTGCTTGAGACTATGTGTTAATTTCTGTGGTATTAAAGGGAATCTATGACTACTGGAAATATGTTTACTTATTTCCAAGGGACCCTACTGCAAATGGATGAAAGGTGTCCCAAGATCCCCCAACAGCTCTCAAATGCCCTTTTGCGTGACCTTTGTTTGGCCGCCATTTCTTTAAAGTTGTTTGGGTGTGTTCAAACAAGGACGCCTCTTAGCCCCTAATAGGCCTTGCTAGTCGCTTGGGAGATCGGCCCTTGACAAGCATAGGAACACGTTATCTCGTCTTTCTTTCACCAAAAACGGCCATGCCACCGATCAACCACTCCTAGTGGCCTGAGGTCCAACCTCCATGTGCACGGGGGTTGGAAGCTGCTGGGGGCCTGAGAACTCGATGCCATATCGCTCCTTTGCGACACGTGGGCCACCCAGTGACCCCTGGATTGCCCATGGGGTGGGTTGCTACCTTTGTTCAACTTAGTTTGGAAAGGGTGGACCCAGTGAACCTCGAATTTCAGATACCCAAAAAATCGGGTCCCACACCCGATTTCTCCTTTGGTTGGTCTGCACAAATGCAAGCTGGATTTATGTCAGGATTGCAAACAGCTGCCAAAGCAGTTCCGTAAAGTTAATTCATGTTTAGGGCTTCCAAAGACTGTTGGGTTCTTGTTTCCTCGAAACCACCAAGCAAACACAAGGGACATGTTGGATGTTACTTGAATGGACGCAGCCAGCTGAGTCGGGTTGCCGTCGGTTGGACACCGTGGCACTCGGCACGGCGTCTGGAGTTCATTGAGTCAAAGGGTTTGGGCCAACCTTAGCCTGGATCCCTCAGGCGAGCAATGGACCCCTTTTTGGAACCTCCATAAGTTTTGAATAAACACCGCCAGTAAGTTGCAACTTTCTCAATGGCCAGGTGATCCCAGCTACCTCCACAGCAGGTATTCACGAGATAGCTGTTTTGAATGGTGGTTTCTCTTGGTTACTTTTCATCATAGCAACTGGAAGCACCAGAAGCGGCATGCGCCATCGTTGAGGTGGCGACTGGAAGAATCGGCAAACCTCCGCTGACGGCCTGGTGCTGGGTGCGCGTGGCTTCTCAGCTATGGGTAATTAAGACAAAGCACACCACCCAGAGGCTCCTGATTGATTTAGGGTCTTCAAGCAACCTGGTTTCGAGACCCCCTAACCACCTCCAGGGTGTCCAATGAGGCGTCGGGCCAGGAGCCTCTGGGCATGCAAAATGGTTGGGCGAGTTTCCTAAGATTCTGTGGACAGAATCCACCTCGCACCAGTCAGGCAGTTTATCCCAGGTTTTCCTAGGTGCAACTGCAGGATTTGGTCTGCAGTTGAATGGCTGAAATTGCCCAAGGGACACTTGCTTGAAAGAAGGGCTACCTAAAGTCTCCATGACCCTTTAAGAATGGGTCATTGACCCCATTATATTCGGTAACGACTCATTCTTTGAGGGTCATGGAGACTCCAGGTAAACCCTTAATGGGTTGAAATCTTGCCTCTTGTGGGAGCACCTTGTGTCCATCCGGGACCTGAAGAGGCGACTGGAAGTTGGGTGGCCTGGAGCACAAGTCCCCGTGATGTTTGGAACGTTTCCCAACATTTGTCCGCATGTGAGGAGACCATCTGGTTACATGCGACCTTGCCAACAAAGGTTCTCCCTTCCGGGTCCTTAATTGCATGTTAGGTCATCATCCCAGATTGGCGCGGCATGGCACGTGTGGAAACCGGGCATCTCCCGTTCGGTCCGTCCTGCGTTTGGAGCCGGCGGCGAGGTACTCGATGTGGAAGGATTTTCCGCAACTAGATCTTGATGATCTCGCGCTGCAAAGAAGACCCGTGTCCCTTTACGCAGCAGCAGCTCAACATCGAAAGCAGTAAATTTGGTACGATGCTAGGTGAAGCGTTTGGGGGAAATGCCGGCGATTACAGTGGCAAATGGAATGGTCGGAGCTCGCCGCGGTGAGGGTTGAGAGGTGAAAGGCAAAAGACGGTGAGGTTCCCCCCTCCTGCTGAGGTTTGGTTTGTCTCGGCAAAGGGAACAGCCCATGTTTGCTGCGCCCAATTTTAAGACATGCGCACGTTGCTGCCCAAAGGAGCCCTCCTGTTTTTTTTTTTTTTTAGTGAAACAGGTTGGCAAAATCATGCTTGACAACCATGCTACGATTCAGTGATACCATTGCCATTCACCGTGTCGACAATCCTTTCCTTCTGTGGGTTTGCCTTCTGTAGTGGGCATTTTGTCCGCTAGCATCAACACTATAAAGTCTGTACTGCGTATGGCGATGGTTTCAAAGTGACTGGAGAAGATGCAGCTCCAGGTTTATGATGTAGACTGACCAAGGGTTCCCCCAACCAAAGCTCTCCAAGCCAGCATATGTGTGGTGGGTCCCTGCCTCCCCGGCAGATGTTGGAACCAAAAAGGCATCACTAGGCGCGCGTTACGAAGCATCTGGTCCCTGTCTGGGACGCTCCTACTTTTTGGCACTTGGGCACCGCCCCACGTGACATGGGCGTGGCCCCAATGTGGGGCGATTTCGTTTAAGCCGAACCTGGCAGGGAAGAAAGAAAGGCAGAGAGAGAGAGAGCGAGAGAGTTTTAGAGGTGGAGATAGAGTTGGGAGAAAGAGAGAGGTAGAGAAGGAACACGGGAGCAACGATGACAAAGCAAACGCGTACGTCTTCCTGCCCTTGGCCCGTCCAGCATTGCGCAAATCACCGACAGTAGCCAGAAACACCAGCTCAGCGGTTGCAAAACATCCGATTCGGGCGAGTCCCGGATCCATTTGGTGGTGTGGCCTGCTCTTCCATTTGCTTAAGAATATGCCTTATTTTCCCTTGTTGGTTTTAAAGGGAATCTGTCACTACTGGAGACATGTATTTTTTGCCAAGGCGCTCTACTGCAATTGGATGATTTTCAATTCTAAAGGAGCAGTCTTTTACCCCTCAAGCAGCCCCTTTTTGAAAAGTCCTCAGTCGTCGCAACAAACAGTCCCCTTAAAGCAACAAATGGTCAGGAACCGGCTCCTGTGCACGTGCTATGCTTTTTTGGGAGGGTCAAATCGCTAGACGGAGCCGTCAATGCGTTTTGGTTTTTCGATCGGCTCGCGAGGTGGGGAAAGAACCCTTCAACCTACGAGTACCCAGCATGCGGGCTGGGAGCCAAGCTGTGGCAGGTTGGACATAACTCCCAGATGGCAAGGGCAGATTCATCAGGGAACTCCCCAGATGGAGTGGAAATCCAAGGGGACCCTATAAGGTTCGTTGCCCCCTTGAAAAGAATGGCCTTGGGACCCAACTTGGCTGATGAAACTCCTTAGGTAGGTGGTTGTAGTAACCCCCATTGTTGTATTGGTGGTTTGAACCCGAAGGTGGCGGCTCCCATGTTTTTCCCTTTCAAAACAACCCCAAAAGTGTCTCCGAGTCGTCAGTTTGTGGGGGGGGACTATCGATGCCCCCCCAAGAACCTTTCATTTGAGACACATTGCGTGGTTTTGCAAAGGCTACCTGTTTGTGGCTTTGAAAATGGCCCCCACCCTACTGGGGAGGGGAATGATTCGATTCCCCTGTAACCTAGCAATTGGTGCAGGAGTTGTTCCATACGCCGTATGTTTGACACACCAACGAATTTGGAGGTTTGGCGCACAAGCGTTTCGCGCACAGCGCCCAGGTCCTCAACACCGAGGAGCGCATGATCGGCTGGGTTTCGTATGGGGGCGTCCGTCAGGGTCCCTGAAAGGATGGAGAATAAGGGGCAAGCAATAATCAAATTGGATTGCAAGGTACTTTAAAGCCACAAGCCATGATGAAGGGTGGGGTCAACTCTTTGTGTTTGCCTCTAATGCTAGTTGGGCCATACTTAAACACCGGCTTTACAGGATCCCCTTCGTTTTTTGCAGATGGCTTTGGATGATTTGGAGGCCTCGGACTTCTGGTAGCTGTCCTGCTGATCGGTTTGGTCAGAAATCGATGGGTTCGACCGGTTTTGGGCGTTCTGCCATCCCATTTGCCAGGGCAACCCATCGATTTTTGTCCGAAAGGTCACCTATGGCGGCGGCTTTCTTCCTGCTCGCGATTCTCTGCCCTGGGTTTTGAGTAGACCCCTGTCCTACCAGATGAGCCGCGTGCTCAAAACCCGGGGATTGGTGAAGGTTAGTAAGGGGCAGTCCCAGCCAGAAATAGCTGCGGATATCCGCCTTCTGAATTCTTGAAGCATGGTTCTGGGTAGACCATTTTAGTACCGGGTTTTGATTGTGACTCAGATGTTGAAAACTCATGTGTGGCAGACAACCCATATCGAATCAAACGATTGCTTTCACGCCGTCTTTGAAAAGTTTGTCCGAGGCTTTCTGACCAACAGGTTTTTAACTGGGGCCGTTTTTGGACTGTGCGGATTGGCAAACCTCCCGAAGAGCATAGGGGCCTGCCAAAAATAGCATATGGCCGTTGGGTTCACCCATTTCAATTATATAGAGGTTGTTTCGCCTGTGAAGCGGTTTGGAACCCCATCAAACCGCTAATCAAGAGAGTCAAGTTTCTGGGGTCCAGTCAGGAGACATGTGACTTTTTACGGGTGACTATTTTTTAAAGAAAGCCGACTGCATCAGTTAGGAGTAGGTGATTTATAACGGAGGGTTGCCCCGAACTTCAAAACGAGCGACAAGTCGACAAGTTTAGAAACTTGGCAGGTCCCAAAGGCTTGCTTTTCCAGCCAACATTTCCTGACAATTGAATCTTTGGATCAATCCTGAGCCTGTTCTGTCCAACAAAAGCGGACTGCATTAGGCTAGGTCTTCAAACATATTTGACATACCCAGAATACGACAGTTGTTTGTTCTTTGTCCAGATTTTGTGGTAAGGAACGATCCTAGGTCCCCGAGTAGTGCCCTTTCTCTCCCCCTTTTTTGGGGGTTTCCCCTACTAAAATAGAAAAAAACAAAGACAAAAAATCGGGACCCTTATTCAAACCTTTCTACTGGAGGACCTAGAAAGGTTTGCAGAGTTTGTCTCTTAAGTTCTTTGTCTCGGTCTGGGCTTCTCAAAGGGGGAATTGATTGGAGAGCTGTAGGACCTAGGATCTGTGTAAGGAACTCAGTTGTTCAGTGGCACCCTTTTTCCGTTTTGTTTTGGATGCTGCCCCACTAAAAATGGTCTTCTTTAAAAAGGGTTCCCTTTTTTTCCCGGGTCACTGAACAACGGAGGGAAAGAGTCTTTCTTCAATTGGGACTTCTCGAAGTCGGAAGGAACCCGCTGGAGATGCCGCATGAGCCCAGCCCTGCTGCGGCGCCCGGAGGGCTTGGGCTTTGGTTTCTCTTTGGACCGAAACCAAAGGGTTGCTTTCCCCGGAGCAAGGAGAACTTTTCGTAGGCTAGGTCCCCCAGTAGTGCTCTTTTACCCATGTTTTGGGGGAGGGTTCCCCTGCTAAAGTAGACTACAGAAAAAGGGTACCCTTATTCTAACCTCTCTATATACTGGAGGCCATTTACAATCAACACCCGGGCAGGTGAGGGTTAGAAAGGGATAATCCCAGCAAAAAATAGGTGCAGCCGCCTTTCTACTTCTATACAGGGTTTTGGGTCGATCATTTTAACACCAGGTTTTTATTATGACTCATACCCAAAAGGTCCTGACAGGGCGATGTACCAGCGGCTTTTTCCCTAGTGCAAGTGCGCCGAAATAGCGGCATGGTGTAGGACTCGATTTGATGGCAGTTGAATTGGAATTAGGTTGTATTGTAATATACCACCGGGGGGGTTCTTTCAGGATTCAGCGCCAGAAAGCGGAACGGCACGTACACGAGCCGCAAGTCATGGATTCTGCAAGATGAGCCCGGCTCTTTGGCAAGTGAGCAATTGTTTTTGCGGCGCTCTCCAGGACGCATGTAAGTGTGTCTTTCTTTGAGGGTAGCCGTAGCCCTTGTTTAGTGTTGTTTAAAGGGAATCCAATAGGAAAACCACTAACCACTTCTTCTTCTTCTTATTCTTCTTCTTCTTCTTCTTCTTCTTCTTCTTCTTCTTCTTCTTCTTCTTCTCTCTCTCTCTCTCTTTTTCTTTCTTTCTTTCTTTCTTTCTTTCTTTCTTTCTTTCTTTCTTTCTTTCTTTCTTTCTTTCTTTCTTTCTTTCTTTCTTTCTTTCTTTCTTTCTTTCTTTCTTTCTGTCCTTCTTTGTTTGTGGAAATTATGCTGCAACAGCAAAATTCTATCCGGTGTCTCAATTCACTCTGGGGCAGGCGCTTTGTTGGTCTCTACGGCTATGGTTCCGAGCTCTTTCGGTGAGAAAAATGAAACCATCAAGACAATGAGCATTTGCCTATTCAAAGGGTTGACCAATCGGATTGCACCTCTTGGTCAATAGGTTTAGGCTTGACTGAGGGTTCACTTAAGCGATGTGCTTTGTCTCAAAAAGGGGTTCCACCCAGGTGCTGATTTATTCGAAGCGACACCAAAACAGTGGGTTGCTTCCATTTTTCAACCTGAGGGGGTAGGCCTCTCACAAAGTCTACTCAAGAGCCGGGTGGCAAACTCTTTGGCATGGACACCCCTCGTGGGGCTTTGGCTCATGTTCAGCACCCCATGGCTGGTCTGAAGCCTAAGGTTGGGAGCAGCCCTGCCAGAGATTTGGTGAGGCGGGCCGCGCCGTTGGTGCCTTTTTTGGCGGTTCATTGAAGCGAAAAACGGCGTCCGAACCTGCCATCTGAATGTGCGGATGTGTGGGTTGCATTTGCAATTTGCATGAGAGCTGTTCCCAACCAAAACATGTTGTTCAGCTAGACTTCTTGGATAGGAACGCTTTTCCGGGAGCTAGGAGCCAAGAACAATGTGTTTTGCAAGCGGGTGCATCTTGAGGAATGCCCAAACTTACTTGTGGGACTCGTGGCAGGCCTTCAAACCATAGTTCGGCTGCGTTAAGGGAAGTCAAAAGGGTCCAAATGGTTGAGTTTTTGTTTGAGAGCATTCTTTTCATATCCATAATGACACATGCCCATATCCACATCTTGGCACCTACCCATCTGGTTTGTTGTGTTTTGACACATACCCAACTCCAACTCCTGAGGACCACTTGGGGACATTCTGAGGACTCGAGCGGCCCCATGGCCCGTTGGGCGAGCCGCGAGCGCAGGAAGTTCGTGCGGGACATGCTGCAGGGCATGGCCGTGGCGGTCCCTCCGGCCCGGAAGCCCCGTTCCACCGGGCCCAGGGCTGAAAAACCGACTCTGACTCGGTGGCTCCCGGCCATCCCCTTGAGGTTTTTGGGGCTTTTTAGGGTTTTTTTGGGAGAAAGTCCATTCCAGCCACCAAAATGTTGAACTTTTGGCAGGGGATGAGAGGGAAGCCCAGATGAGAAGTGTTGGGAGTGTCTTTTTGTTGAAGGTACTCCCTTTTAACCACCATGTTGGGGTCCCCCCCAACAGAAGACACCCTGATGGGGACCTTTTGGTGGACATCATGTAGGTGGGGATTGATTGTAGGAGGAAAGCTTTGCGCACTAGCTTGGATGGCTTCATCCATCCCAACCAATGAAGGGTTTTCTCCACCACGGGCCCAAGTACCCTTGTGAGCAGGCACGTTGAACCTTTTTGACCCGTAACCACCGTTAGGGCCAAGAAACACGTTGGGTATCGGTATGGCCGATTTACGAGCAAGGGAAACTGGAGAAACCTAGCTTTACAATCAGGGAAATGAACTTGACAGGTCCCTGGAAAACAAGAATGTTCACGTTTTCAGGGCGGCCTTTTTCTGGGTTCCATTTTGTTTGGGTACCAGCATGATCCAGCATGTGTGTGTGTGTGTGCGTTGTATGAGTTTGTGTTTGTTGACCACAAGACAGATGTTGGCGTTCCTTCTGGTGTCCCTTCAATCCAGCGCCAAAAACGGTGCTGAGCCTCAAGAGAAGACGAGCCACCCACACGGATTCCATGTCCCACTGGTCGTTCAGAAGGTTTGCTCCGCTCGCCTTTAGCCGTCCTCAAAGTGATAGAAACGAGCAAACGTGTATGTGTGGGTTGATGAAAAGGTCATTTACAGAGGATGACCATTACGTGAACGAAATATTGATCAACCGCCATGTGTCAGGAATATTGATCAACCCCCATGTGTCATTTTTGGGAGCCTTGTCAGGTTGTTCCTTTGGCTACCTAAGCAACCCTGGAACAATTCGATCCCCCTATAAATACTAGCAAAAGTGATGCAGGATTTTGTCCACCCACAGTATGAACCTCTATGCAACCAGGTAGAACCACCTTATGATTGATACTCGCAAACCATTGGCTTCCAAATCGGTTTCAACGTGGTGCGGTCCAGTGCGGTCTCGGATTTCGTAGGCACTTGATCCATTGTCCGTGTGAGGGTTCAAGCTGAGGCTTGGCCCGGGGACGTGTGCCGCGCTCGGGTGATGTTTGTGAGTGGCTGTGGAACTGGTGTCATGGAAGCAAACTACGTACTTGTTTCTTTCTGGGGGGAAGCAAACTACTGTTTTGTTTTTGGTTTTTTTGGGGGGTCTCCAAATTGTTGATGGTCGGAAAGTCGCTTGATTCTTTTGTTTCTCCCTTGCCTCTATGTTGGGTCTTATGACCGAGGCAAGGTAATGATATTTTAGACTCTCTCCTCTTTAGGTTGAGCTGTCTGTGGGGTCCATCCTTCATCTCTTTCCTAATGATGCTATCTTATGACTTCATCAATGAAGTTTTGCATGAGGACGACGAGGAAGCCTCTCTACGAAGAAGAATCCAATGAATTGATAGTTTCTTGTGTTTTTCTTTTGGGCGGGGGTCTCAAATTATTTGGAGGTCCTCAAACCGACTTGCGGAAGTTTGGCTCGCAATCATATACAAGGATCATGTTGAGAGTGCAACTGCAACGGTGAAATGCAGCAAGGAGAAAAACAGATGTTACATTGCGGGTGTCAACCCGCAGTTGCTCAAAAATTGAATTCCTGGGAGGGGTGATACGTTAAATGTTCTCAAAATTGTGTTCGTGACTACTTTCGGCAGAATGGTTTTTTCCCTTACCACCCTTTGGGAAATTTGGAGGATGCCACTTTAGTGGACCAGCACGTGATGAGTTCAGATACAGGCAACGACTCCGTTGAACTTTCCAGTCACTGGATCCCCTGTCTTCCATATTCACCAGGATTCCTTCGGGACCTCTCCAGAGAGTGTTCAGCCTAACTCTGCCGTTTTGTGGCTGATCTTGGCCGATTTTTGGCGTTGGATCTTTCGCCGTGGTTTGTTTTCGAAGACGTCCGTCCGTGACCGAAGTCTTCAAAGGTGTATGGATCCCAGGTGATTTGAACCTCACGCCTGGGCTCCGTTGTTTATTTGGTGAGTTTTGGGTTTTGGCAAGTCGAAGGGTTGGGTTTGGTCCAATTCGGCTCCCCCGTTCCTTTCTCAAAAACCAGCAACAGGTCACTTGCCAAGAACGCAAGGATCCCTTTAGCACGGCTGGGAGGCCCTGCCAACTTGGGGACGATTCCGAATCAAGTGGCTGGGGCACTGTATCCCTGGCAGTTGAAGTATCCTTACTGTGGACGGACCAAATCCATTTTGCACCACTCTGAATCCACAACGCTTGTTAGTACCTACAGGGGAATCATCATTCCAGGGTCTCTTCTTTGGTGCAGTCGACTGGACTGGAGCTTCCAGCTTCCTTCGGAACCCTGTAGATCCTGTGCAGTGTTTGAAGCATCCCAGGTGCGGGCACAACGTCATCGTATCCCTGGATAAGCGGATGAAGGCGCGTCAAACGTGTCTCGGCTCGCCTTTGAACCCAGTCAAGCCATTGCAGGCTAGGGAAACTATCGAAAGTACATCGGGCGCTTGTTGCTTGGACCGAAGAAGGCTAAAACACCAAGCAGAAGCTGGTAAGGCGACATGCGGCAGTGCCCAAGCTTCTGAGAAGGATTCCCGTCGGGGGAGTCCGAAGCTCTCTCCTAGAGGTCCGCCAGTCTTGGGAATTTATGCGGCCAGCGCGGGCTTCCGGGTGATGCAAAAGCAGGGAGATGGATCCACATGCCCAGTGGATCCATTTACATGTATGGTAGGCAACCAAGGGAACCACCAAGTTAAGACCGAAAGAAAAATGGCTGGTAGCCTGCTATGAGGGCAACTGGGATCCTCTGACAATGGCACAGTAGATACTGCAAACTTCCGGTCGGTTGCCCTGCCGTGAGTGTCTCCTTCTGTTCCGTTCGTCCTTCAAAGTACAAGGCGTATGGCCTACGGTCGGTGTGTCATCCACGTTGATGCGTCTCAAAATGGACCCCGAAAAACGGATGGTTTTCCATTGGCGTGTCCAACAACGAGAGCGCGGTGTCATGCGCCTGCGGTGCTTTAGCATGGGGCGAATCCGACTTGCTCATTGCATGCGCAGCGTGTTTCCCGCTTAAAACCCATCCTGCAAGAACATAATAGCCAAGTTCAAATTGATTCCGGTTGCCGCAAAAGTAGGGAACCATCCCTGAATCCATGTCCATTCATGGTGGTTTCTGCTTGGTCACCAGGGAAACGGAATCACTGGGTATAATGGCTCTCGCAGGTGCTTTGTGTCCGATCAGCGGACCCTGCCGCTGGGCGCCGAGTGATCTGTACCCATGGACCATGCACAAAGAGGTTACATTCATTTGCATAGGTGTCCTTTTTGGGTTGCGCTAGAAATAAATGGGTTCTACGGGGTTAGATTGGTTTTATTCCATTTATCAGGGAAACCCATCTATTATCCCAAATAACACTATGTTCATTTGGGTATGTTTGAAGGTCTCTTGCTCGATCCTTTTTTCCAGGTTGAGATATTCTGGCATCAGATTCCTCACATGTCTTGAGGTGTTTTTTTTTTCTCAAGATTGAGGACCACTCCAGGTGGTTTCCTTTGGATTCGTAAAACCGTGCAAGCAGTTTAAAACCCCCAAATACTCAAAACGATTCTAGCATCGCCGAAAAGGAATGATGGTCAAACGGCATGACACGGGGTGTTGCTGTCATGCCGATGTTTGTGCCTGTCCGTTGTTTGCATGCCAGTGCGTGAAATGTAAACTTCCATTTGGCTACAAATGTTTTTTGGTTTTGTTTTTTGTTTTCCTCGGTTGGCTTTCAAGGAAATCTACCACTACTGGTCATATTGCCATTTTTCCTGGGGATTTAAGCACATGGAGGTCAACAAAGAGTGCCTGACCATTGGGAAACTCCATTTGACATTTGAGAATCGAAAGACATCCAACATCTCAGCTCGATCAGGTTTAGGGCTAGGGCAAAGATGTGTTGAGTGCCCCAAGAGGTGCCGAAATATATAGCATCGATATGTATATAGAATTGCTTGCATGTGTTTGTACATGTATATGGTCAGCCCCTCCTCCCCAAACCCGTTCACCATTATGATTGGAAAGTGTCATATCTACTCTGCACTTCTCTTCCTTCCGCATGCCGCACATTACTGTGTTGCTGTTGATTGTGTGCCTTCTTTATGGTGGCAGATGTTTCGCCTTTTGAGGATTGAAAGGCAATAAGTCGAACACTGATTCCGTTTTTGGATTCAAGTATGGGCTTGGTTCGAAAACACGTTGCAACGGCTTTGATGACACCTAGCAAAATCATTGGAAGCCTGCGGTTTTTGCGGCCAGGAAGCCTGAAGATGAAAACCTGCACAGGCCCGGAAATATCAAAAAACTTCAGGCCTCACAAGGGCCATACTGTAAAGAATATCAATAGCAATGCGAGTTCTATTTCGATAGGAATACGAGTTGACCATTGACATTCTGATTGAAATTTGTCCTTATTCGACTCTGTTTGTGTCTGTTCGACACTCTAAGTGACATGTCATGTAAACAAATGATTGTAAAGGGATTGATATTCAAGCTCAAATGTAGAATACAGATTCTAGTGAAATTTGGAACGGAAATCCTATTCAAACTCCAATTTAATATAGAATTTATACTTCTACATTGCTCGCTGAAGTTTAGCGCGCAGGCGCGAAAGCAAGATGGCGCAATCAAGGATTTGGGCTTCAGGGCGCCAGGCAAGCAAATCAAGGATTCGGGGATTTAAGGATTCAGGGGGTCAGGGACAGCGACTAGAGTTCTGCAGCCACTCAGTAATCTGTCGCAGAGAGGGCGCATTTTACGCGCCGCATAGCGCGATTGCAAGGAATGGGTTGCGAAGCATGGAAGTCAACGTCTGCGCAGGCTGCGCGCGAGGTTCTGCCTTCGCGACCGCTTTAAGCGACAATGCATCAGGAAACCACCGCCAAGTTCTGCGGTTTTTCAATGTTGCTGAGGCGTTGTGGCCCAATCTAGCAAGACAATGCAATGCACCAGGGTGCTTAAAGACAACCCGGCTTACCAGCTGTTGCAGGCTCATGAGTTGGCGCAAGTCTATGTGCGCAAGGAAATTGTACCTGGCGGTGGCCGTGCCGTACAGCGTGCAGCGTCTGGATGCTGATGCCACTTCGCAAGCCGCGACAGGGTTCGTTCCGGGGGAGATGTTACTGTTGTCATTGCAGAAGCAGATCTTCCAAGACACAGCGTGTGTGTGTGTGTTGCTGCTTGCGATTGCCGGAACGTCTCTCCGCCTTAGACACGGCAGGATTGCTTGCCTTTGGAGGCACCTGTCTTAAGCAGTTGCGCCGAGAAAACGCTTGAAGCTGTGGCGGGCTGCAATTGACAGCTTCGCGAGCGTTCAGGAGTACCACTCTGAGTTGTTTGAAGCGCTGTTGTCCAATGTGTGCTTGCAGAAGCTATTGGGGCTTCTCTGACGCACTTGGCCAGGCTTGGCCAGTTGTGAGCGCAGCGTCTCAGCAAACTACATGGCGGCTCCGTTCCTTCTGTGTTAGCCTAGAGAGGCCAGACAGACCCTCCAACGACAGATGCCAGCGCTTTGCCGGCTCTGCGCACTCCGTCCAAAATGCGCTTTCCTGGAAAATTTATGTATGAGCGTGGATTTGACTTACGTCCAGGCAGAGAGACATCAATCCTTTACCTCCTGAGCGCACTGGAAATCAACGAGGCGTTCGGCTTTTGTAGCTGAAAGGCAGATTGCCATGCTGGAGAATGCCTTGTGTCAACAAGCGGCGCTCAATCGTATGTCCGAGCGAGAACATACAGCAGAGAAGCCGTTGTTTCTCCAGCTTTCAACACAACATTGGGTTGAAGTCGCCGCGACTTGGATCTATTGACGCCGCCTGCAGCCGCGTGACGTTCACCACAAGCTTTGCGCCTAACAATCGCGATCGTAATGCTTGCTTGGACATGTTGCTGCGCGGCGCTTTTTCGTCGTCAGTATCTTCCTGACACGCTTCCCGACCTTGCTGGCGCATACCTTCCAGCCAAAGTGCTCAGGAGCGTTGCGCATCAAAAGTTTTTGCACAAATTCTTGAATGTCCTATGGTAGGACGTGACTGGGAAAACCAGATCAACTTCTTCGGCACTGCCCAGCGATTCAAAGGCGGCTGCTGGCAATTCCCGAGTGCTTCCAGAAAACCGCTTCGCTTTCAGCGCTTTGAGCAGACTGGCTGTCAACCGTCTGCTAGCCGAGCAGCGGATGTCGGAGCTTCTGCCAAGACGTAGCCTCCATTCCGGTCTTGCGGCGCTTCAATCAGCACATCCTTTTCTTGCAAAAGGCTCCATGCGAGGAACGCGGGCCGTCGCAAGTTCCTGTACACTGCTGAGCCGCCTATTGGAACTCTTTGAGTCACAGTCTGAGCCACAGGAATAAAACTTCTTAGTCTTCATCTTATGCGAAAAATGGAAGATCTTATGTTGTCCGGCTACAGGAGACTCTCGGCCTGACCGCTACGCATGCGCCAGTGCCACAAGCTTGCCAAGCCAAAAACTCCGTTGAACCAGGGGAAGACGTTCTGAAGATACGAACTTCTGCGAGCAAAACAACCAGAGAATCTTTTCATGACACTCCGTTGCTTTTTAAGAGGCAGGCTCCAGACATGCACTCTGACTTTGGCAGGACACACCCTAACTTCTCAGTAAAGAGAGAACTGCCCTCCCAATAAGACTTCAACTGAGAACGCACAAAGAAAGCGACTATGGCATGCGAAAGCCATGCCCCGGGAATTTAGAATACTCAGCAGTAGGACCACACACCTAGGAACGCGGCCTGCAAGGCATTGCAAACGTCTACATCGATCGCATTGCCTCCTGTCAACACAAAATTATCTTCGCGATTGCCAGCCATGCCTTGTAAGCAAACACATCATGGGTATTGAAGTGGCCACACCCCGAAAACGCGGAGACGCGGAGAGGCAGACGCACGAAGACGCGAAGATGCAAAGACGCGGAGACGCGAAGCTCGCGAAGACGAGCAAAGCATGGAGACACAGAGGCCCGAAAACGCAGAGACGCTGACGAAAAGATGCGGAGACGCGAAGAAACGAAGACGCGGAAATGCAAACCTCCGACGACGCAAGCGCGCGACGACGCGAAGACGCGAACAAGTGGAGATGCGAAGACACGAAAACCAGAAGATGCAAAGCCGTGAAGACACGCGAAGACGCGAAGACACGATTGTGTAGAGGCGCGCAGATGCGAAGGCGCCAAAACAAGAAGACGTGACGACGCCAAAAGGGTTCATGGATCCAAGGCGTCACGCCCACGAATCAAGGGTTCAAGGCGTCAGGGATTCCATTCGTCAGGCCAACAAACCCAAGGCTCGAGGATTGACGGCATTGAGGGTTCCAGGGTTCAAGGTCCTGTTTGGGTGTTCACCATCTTCCCATTTGTTCCGCATGTACAGATCGAGATTTGTCCCATGCTCACTTTTTCTCTTTAACACAAGTTGCTAGTAGGTGTGGAGCTGCGGGAATCCTGGCCGGCCTAGGGGTTGCAAGTTAAGGGCCCCCAAGCCGACAGGATCCGACTGTTTAGCCCACAGGATCTGACTGACCGTTTTCCAGAAGCTGGGGGTGTGGTGTGAAACCCGCGAATTCTCATTCGTTCGGTACCTAGGGTTTTTCCTGGGTGCTTGTGGCAGCTCCGGTTCTTTGTTTTTCTCGGACTCCCCAACCAACAGCACGGAGCGACGAGTTGCTCCCTTGCCGAACGCAAGCGACTTGCGGCTTGTGGCGTTGCCGGACATCTTCCACCCTGTTCCCTCGGAATTCCGAGGCGGAGGTGGCGACCCAGTTGGGCGTGCCGCCGGGGCCAAAGCACGCGTGTGAAGGGTAAGCATGGGGTATGCGTCCATTTCACTAAGGAGTGGCTGTGGGTCAAGAATAGGTACCCAAAATGGAACCCTGGTAAATAGAAACATGGACTAAAATCTGCTGTCCCCTGGTGATGTAATATTGACCCACACCCATGTGTTTATTTTCCCTTTTTTTAGGACGTCAGATCAGGTCCTTTGCAGGAGTGGCAGGAGGCCGTGCCTTCCCTTGTTACAGGATGGATATAGATGGATCGCCGATATCGGACTGGCAGTCTTTGTTCTTATGACAGTGGGGATTCGAGACTATCCTGGTCCGTTCTTGCCATTGCATTTAAGAAGCCAAAGCAAAACCGATGGGCTACATGGCCAACAGCCCCCCACATTTCCCTGAAAGTGCAACGGGAGCACCCACATCCTGCCAACTGCAACGGTCAAAAGTGGGATGGACATGGGGCTTGCCCCCCAAAAAAGAAAGGTTGACCCAATTTGGATGATTGTCCTTAGGCAACTGTTGATTCTATGAGCCCCCGCTTGTTTTCATGGTGGTATCTGCATCGGGTCAACGTTTATATTCATAGTCGGGTCGGGTATCCCGCGCAGAACACCTGCCGCGGGAAGAACACCAACTCGCCTGTTGGGAGCCCCCAGGCCCGGCCAAGTACGGAAACCGCTCTGCCAAATGTGGGCCAAAATCAGCCATCCATCCGAATGACATGGCCAGGTTGGCCAGGTTTCGTCCAGTCTGTAGTTGTAGTGTTGTATTTCTTGTTGGGTTCGCTTTATATAGTCGCTGTATTGCCGCGGTTTCTCCAGTTTGCCACGGGCTCCAACCTACAAGCCCCTTGAAAAAGTCAACAGGGAAAATACCAGAATATATTCTGAAACGCAAATGGCAGCATAGTGACTCCATATTGGGCCATCTGCCATAGTGCCAATGGCTAAAACGCGAGTCTCAGGGCTTCTGCTTTTTCAGGGGCAAGCCACGACAAAAGCCAAGACTAATGTATATGACCATAATGTCCCATTTATTATGAACATACACATTAAGCTCCGAAGTTGGCCCACGTTGCTCCGGGTTTCACGGGTTGCACCACCCCAAGCCACACGCCGAGAAACGAGGCTCACGAGCATCGCCAGCATCGCCTTTGGGTGCTGCAGCCCTGGGGAGGCGGAGCGTTCGGAAAACTCGTTGCGGGGAGCTGAGGCTCGGCCATGGGTGGCAAAACGAAGTGGGACCCGGGGGGGGGGGGGAACCCCCGGTTTTTGGCTGAAAGCAATTAGATCTGTCTTTTGGAGTTGGTGCCAAATTGTTGGCTTGGTTTTTTGTTGAAGGCAACTAAACATGTGTGGTTGTTTTTTGGAGTTTTGTTGAAAGCACATATGTTGTTGTGTTCCTTAACCAACAGCGAAATTGCAATCCTGAATTCTTAGCTCACTTCCTAAGTTTCTAGACTTTAGACTTTTTGTTGGGTTTGGGCATCACCACAGCGGCACACAAAGGTGTAGGCCCATCCAATCAGGAAGTGAGTGAAACACCGAAAATTGGGGGGGGGGGGGGGGCTTTCAAACAGAGTTGCCTCCATGGGGCTTCTTGGGTTCCATATTCATGGTTGTTGTGGGGAAACATGTTTCCCATGTTTGCTTATTGTGGTTTAGTGGTTGAAATCCAACCACTTAACTGCTAAAATTTAAATTGTTGCCCCCCTTCCAACGTCAACCAAGTATTAGCCTGTAGGTCAGTAACTCGGTTGTTCAGTGGCTCCATTTTTTTCCAACTTTTTTTGGTGGCCCCACTAAAATGGTCCAAGCCCAAAAAAGGGTTCCCTTTTTTTCCAGGGTCACTGAACAACTAAGGTAATATAATCTGTGTCTGGGTTGTTCTTCTGGCAATCAGATCCTTGCCTTGGTTTGCGCACGGATTTGGGTCCGTGGGTCACGTGGCTTGACCAGAGGAAAAATCGGATTGGCCAACACGCTATTTTGAACAGCCCAGACTAAATGGGTATGTTGTTTGTTGGAGTTGGTACCCACCTTTTGGGCGTCTTCTAAAGGGAAACCAAAAGGAAAACCACCATTTTGGGGGGGTCCAAAATTGAACAAGACACTCAAATCGGGTCGTGTTATTAATTGGTGACCCTTTGAAGGACATCAAAATCCAGGGAGTTTTTTTCCGCCAACCGCTTTTGACAGGTTCCGCATAAATAGTCCCTGCCAAATGGGGACGTTTCTCAAAATAGTGGTCCCCTTTTGGTATTTTGAAGGATTCCAATAGCAAACACCAGCTTTAGGGGAATTCCTTCTTGGGTTGGTCTCCTTTCGGGGACCCCCCAAAATGGTAGTTGTCCTGTTTGTTTCCCTTTGAGACCAGAAAAAGGGGTACCCTCAAAACCAGAGACATCCACTTTGAGAAACATCCAAATGGCTTATCCACCGAAATAAAAGCTGGTTTCTAGGGTTCCGTTGGTGGAAGTCGAATTCTCCAGGCGTGCTGGTCTTTGTGCTGGAATACATGAAGCGTGAATGGTCTGAAGGTTGAAGCCCCATGATGTCCAGCAATGGGTTTCTAAAACCATGCCATGGCATATGATGTTTGAGTTTACCAACTTGGGGTGCACGATTCCTCCAAAAAGGACCGGTTTTGGTGGGGGAGTGGTTTTGTCCGGTCTATCCTTGTTTTGTGTCTTTAGTCTACCCTCAGGCAACCCCTCGTTGCTTTGGATGGGTTTGGGTTCGGATTTGAACTCCTGATGCTTGGGTATTTTGGGGGTTTTGCTCTGCAAGCCCTCCCATTCGGCTCCAAACCACCACCAAAACGGGGGAAACTGCTATGGGTGTGTGTGTGTGTGTTCTTTTAAAAGGCACCCGCAACATAATGGTTTTGCCGTTGGTTTTTTTTGAAGGCAACCCAAAGGGAAGCTTGTCTTTCGTCTACTTGGGGCAACCTACTTGGGAGGCTTATAACCATGGCTTTTGTGGGCTACAACCAGGCTCACGAACCACTTACTATGCACAATGCCCCTTTAACTTGGTGGCTCCCAGCCATCCGGTTCCTTAGCTTTTTGCCTTTTGGTGTTTAGTGGCAGTTTCCATTTAACCCATTAAAAGTTAGACTTTTAGCGGGGGCTCTGAGGGTAGCCCAGTCAAGTAACATCTCCGACTGGTCAGGGCCGCATGATGGCGACGGAGCGCTCCGTCACCTTGTTCCTCGATGAAGGAGGGGCGGGTGGTATTTGCGTCCGAAAGAATATGTTGACTTTTGGAGATTGGTGAGAAGCTACGGTTGAAAAGTAAGGTTGAAAGGTTCAACAAGGGAATCTCGTGGTGGAATTAGATGAAAAGGTTGAAAGGTTGAAAAGGAGAAGTCCCTATCAAAAACAACCGAGGAAGGCATTGGCTGCCGGGGTCCCTGTGAGGTCCTTGAAGATGCGTCGGGGACATACACTGGGTCACAAATTTCGGTGGCATCCTTGGGCTTTCACTTGCTGGTGCGATATTCAGGAAATGAGAAATGGAATGGAATGACCGCAAGATAAACCATCCAACTGGGGGTTCCTTTAAGGGAATTTCTGGGTGCATTCCCTCATTCGCCTCTGAGCACCAGCAAGTTACTTAAATGCCGATGATGATGATGACGATGATGATGATGTCGCAAAATCGAGTCCTTTTATTGCCCCTTCAAAATGGAGTTTGATTTGGGTTGAGACGGTGACGTTTCCCCGGCTTTTTGTTTTTCTTTCGGGTACCCTGTTTCTTCAATTAAAATCAAAGGGCAACCCCGACAAAGTTTGGGGGAAAGGCGGGGTACCCACTCACGACAAGTTGCACGGGAGTGGAATGCTGCAGTTGGGATGAGGCTCCATGAATAATGGTGTCAACCACCTACTAACCAACTGGTGCTTGGCGTGGATTTGGTTCGCCCACAGTATTAAGCCGACATGTTCCGAACCCCAAACTCATACAATTCACATGCAATACGGGATTTCATAGATTCTTGCCAAAATCGCACGCTGACTCGACCCAAATCGATCCAAGCTCGTCGAGTGTCTCGGACGAGGCACCCGGACGACCTATGACAGTCCCTTTCTAGTGCTTTAGTGCTTTCGGGAAATTCCCCTTTCCCGCTTAAGCGGGTTCGGAGCCCCAATCTTTGGGGCAGCGAAACTGCGGTGGACTTTTCGGTGGTTCCAAATCTGGCTGTGGGGTCAAAACCAATGGTGCCATTTTGGGGGATTCGGTGCACCACCCGTTTTAGTCGATTCCAGTGGGGATTGGGTCCCGTTCACTGGGGGCTAACCGATTTGGCTTTTGACCCATGGCCATTTGGCGAGAAGGGTTTCTCAGAGGTCTGGGTGGCCCGCAGGATATGGCCCCTCGATCGTCCTGGAATTCAAAGATCTTGAGGACCGAGAGTGTTTCTGCGGTTCTTGCTGACCTCAACTGGGTTCGATCACAAGTTTTCAAATGAGTTCCTGGATGGATCGGTTGGACATCGCTGGTTTTGTTTGTGCCCCATGTCCCAGATGGCCATCTATTTTCCCAGGACCCCTATGGGCATGAGTGTCCTTGTGCAAAAGCGATCGATCGGCGCCCATTGGAACCGGGTAAAGACGAAAGGGGCCCCCTGACTCGCAGATCCCTAGAATCATGGTTGGTGTTGGGAAACATGTTGTTTTTTTTTGCATTTTTTTTATATTGTGGTTTGGTGGCTGAAATCCAACCACTGAACTGCTGAAATTTGAATTGTTGCTCCCCTTTCAACGTCAACCAAGGAATGCGCGTCGCGCATTCTAAAGCTAAAACAAGGAAGTTGGAGTGACTCCAACAGACGGGTACGCAACTCGCAGGTGCACACTTACAGATCAGGGTTCTGTCATGAACCTTCACGAGGTGTTCTGAGAGGGGCTATTCCTGCCGGATTAGGCTCTGACACGCGGGGGGAGATCCATGATCTACAGCTACCTTTGGTTGATCGTTATCATTCCCGCAAAAGCGATGCGCTCGCTTGGTGGGTGATAATGTGTCCTTACCTGAAGAGCCCTGGTTCCAAGTTTGTTTGCATCATACCCTCCCACCCTTTTCACATGGAACCTGACATCCTGACATTCGAGACCCGGTCCCCTTGAAAGGGAAAATGGTCCAAACCAGGACACCCACGGAGGTCAGGTTCTATGTTAATTGGTGGGAGGGTAGTAATTAGTACAGGTTCAGATCATTGATACGGGGGTGTGTTTTTTCGTTCAAGCTTTTAAAGAGAAGCCAACTGAAAAACACACACACACACACACACACACACACACACACACACACACACACACACACACACACACACACACACACACACACACACACACACACCATTTTGAAGGTCCCCGTTTGACATATTATATATATATATATATATATTGTATATATATATATACATCAATAAATATACATACCCATGCGTTCCTTCCTTTACATACTAGTGTCGCTTGGCTCCTTGACCAACCACGACTTCCAATTTAGGGGGTTGTCCTTTTTTTGTTGGGCCCTTTACAAGTTCATCAGGTTTGGGGATGGGCATTTGAAGCCTTGTTCTAGAGAGTAAATGGGAAACCGCTCCTCACATCACCAAACCACCGAGCTCCAAACCAATGGGAGGGAAGCTGAGTTCAGGACACTGAAGCTGAGTCACCCGGTGCCATGTCGTCCAGTGGCCGACGGAGCCAAGAGCTCTTGGACCCCTTCACCTGTCAACATCCGCAGATACGAGACCCTTTGGGTCCTTTTCAGGGACCCTGATCACTTCTGAGCTCCTGAGCAAACTCTTTGGGTTTGGACCATTTTGGCAAACCAAAAGAACTCAGACTTTTTGTGGCCCATCCACGAAGTGAGCCTTGGGTGCAGTTGGCTAGGTCCCCTTCCCAGTTTTCCCAGTTCCCAGCAGAGCGACCGGACCTTTGGGAAGCCTCCCGGCGATAGGAGCGCGACACCTTCGCGATTTGCCTCTCCATGTTTGTGGATGGCAGAAAGGCGGCGGAGAGTTTGTCGGTCGACTTGTTTTTTTGCCAGCCAAGCTGCCGGCTGCGGGGAACATTGGTTGGGGAGAGTTTGCGGGTTTTGTTTGTGGGTTGTGTTTGTTTTTGCGAGTGAACCTGATGATCGGCAGAACTTCCTCGAATGGAATCCTTTCAACATGGTCCATGGCTGGGTTGCTCGGAGAGTCTGGAGAGCGTGGGCCCGTTGCCGGATAGAAGGGGTTTCCCAAAGAAATCGGGGACCACTCAAAAGGGGTGATTTTCGTGCGTTGCACTTTAGAGGTGTTCCGGTATATTTGAGGGGTGAACCAGTACGTTTTACCATGATACTTGGCATCGGATGGGTTTAATTTTGGGTGCTGGGCCCATGGTAACATGCTAGGCTAAATCCAGATTGCGCAAACCTGGTTTAGGAAACTCTGGCGAGATTGCTTCGCACAGATCTCAATACTTTGAAGCATGTGTTCCACAGACGCTTTTCACATATTAACACAGACAGACCACTCACATACACCGAAAAATGGCGGGCGCGCACACACACACACACAAAAGCGGGGTCACACAAAAGCGGGGTCACACAGCACACACGGACGCGGAGACAGCCCTTGTTTCCATCTTTTTAAGTGAATTAGGAGGCCTTTTCAAGAGGACAGCAGTCTTCACTTTTTTGTCCGCTCAGACATGGTGGCATGTTTGCATGTCATGGCGCGAAGGGGCTTGAGAAAATGGTCGCTCGCTTCAGATCCGACTCGCCAGGTGGAAGTAGACTGCCGAGAGAAGCGGTCGCTGTAGTCAAGAGAGATCACCGTGCTTTCGACGCGCCCCAGCCATGTATCGGGGGGCTCTCAAATATATGGTGGTCCCCTGAAATGGTTGGTTTCCCATGTGTGGTGCGCGTAACTCAGAGCACGGTGTTTTGCTTGATGTAGGATAGGAAGAGATGCACGGGTGGTTTTTTTGAGCAGAACGTCGAAGTGCTTTTTGATTGACAGACCGCACTCCACTTGAGCCTTGAGGTCCGAGGCCTTTCCCAGCGGTGTTCAAGCTATGGACTTCTCGAAATGTTTGGTGTCTTGTTCTTTTCCCTTTTCAATTATGACAATCTGAGTCCCTTCTGGCACTCCAAATGGAGAAGCGATTTGGGAAGAAAAGCAGTTGCAGTTTGTTGCCTCAGGTTGACCCAGCAATGGGCAAAGTTTGTTTAGACAACCAGACCCACCACCTGAGAGGAGCAAAAGGAGGCTGTTCAATCAGTAGGTGTGTCCACATCTTAAAACATGGGTTAACATTTTGCTCCTCCGCATTGCATGGCACTGTTCGACGTTCTGCTCGGGAGTGACAAATTTCGAGCCCCCCAAGCCACCAGAAAGGTTCGATCAGAACCTTTTCTGGGTTGGGGGCGCCAGAAAGGTATCCTCCCCGAGATCTCGGCCGACGCGCCGACCAAATGATGTCAATGAATTGATGTTTCAGCAGGGGTTGCGCCAGAACCTGTTCTTCGGTATGTCCTTCCTCCCAAAATACCTTAGATTTGGGGGCAGACTAGATATGGAACAGAGTCAAACATTTTTATCTTCGGTGTACCAGAAATGTGGGCCAAGTTAGCTGCAGTCCAACATGGGCATGCGAGTGTGTTTTGAGAGTACCCCTTTAAGGGATGGTTTCGAAGGGACACCCATGGGTGTGCATGTGTGTGTGTGTGTGTCAGAACCCCCAATGGCATCGGCGTTCCTGTTGGTTTTCCTTAACCAACCTCGTGCCTTTTGACCTGTGAAGCGATACCATCCCTTGCCCCAACCACAGTAGCCTACACACTTGTGTGTTGAGAGCTTGTTTTGTGGAGCCAAATCGCTGGACTTCATGCGTCGAAAAGAGCAGACCTTTTGAGTGGTATTGACTTGGGATGAATTGTGCGAGCTCTCCGAAAAGGACTTGCTGCCAACTACGAGCACAAGGGGACCGCCCTTGAATGGTCCGGGCTAATCCCAATTTGACCTTCAAACAGTTCGCACCTCTGGGCCAATTCACTCAAGCGAGACCAATGCTTCAAGTTTTCTCACTCGCCAACCCCGTGCCGAAAGTTTACGAGACCATCGCTGCAGAAGCTGGCACTGATGGTCTCGAAGCCTGTGCAAAGCATGGACAGATCGAGCGTGAACCCTGACTTACCTCGCCTGTGTGCACGGTGTTGCTTTGTTGGCGATCCACAACTTACCCATTAACGCTCAACAAAAGTAGGCTTTCTCCAAGTGCTCAAGTCTTCCTGGGGTAATGTTTCCAAGTGAATGCCACCTGATTGAGAAGAGCCAACACACCACACCCCATAAGTAATAGAAGCCGGGTGTTGCTTCGAGCAATGTATTTGTTTGTTTTTTATCATTTCTTTGCGGGGATTCACATGGCAGACTCGGGAAACACGGAGTGCTGCGAGTGCGAAAAGAGCGGCGAGCCGAGTGGCAACCTTGCTCGCGTTTCGTTTGGCAAGGATTTCCCTGTAAAATCCTCCAGCTGATGGAGGTACGTGTCTTCCATGGCCACTGGACCTTTGTTTCATACTGTGGATGGACGCAGTCCTGCACCACCTAAAAATCCCTGGACTCATGAAATACCAACAAAGAATGGCAAGATTTCGTCCATCCACAGTAGGGGAACCAGGGAACCATGCAAAAGCTAAAGATGGAAATCCCTGGTAACGTCCTATAGTGATAGTGGCAACTGAGCAGCCTTCGGCCACCAACGCAGTTGCTCGCACGAGCTGTGCATCGACCGTGTATGCTCAAGCGCGGGTTTAGTCGGAAGCCATGTTCACAGGCAAGGCATTGCATGTCTCAAAAAAGAAAATCTTCAGACGAAAGCCGAAAGTTCCAGAGAGGTCCGTACCGCGCATGAAGGAACCTTGTGCCCTTCCTTGCGCGCCTTTGCCTTGAGTGCGGGCGCCGAGGTCGATTGAGCCGAGTACATTGGATGGACAAAATCCACAAAACACACTAAATGAGATGTGTGGTTTAGCAATGTGATACTGTGGGTGGACGAAATCCTGAACCACTTGGGATACAGGATTTTGTTTTACATCCACAGTATATTCTATGTATGTACATGTGTTTCTACAAGAGAGACACTTGAAGCTATTGCAATAGGCATGGCCTTGATTCCGTGCCTTCCATCGTCCCAAGAAGCCACCACCCGCCGCTGACGAGGTCGCAGTTGGAGTGACACTGTTTTACCGCCCACTAGTACGTGGCTACTCACCCTGACAAGCATTTGCAAGTCCCACAGGTTTCATCCCCTTGCAGGTGGCTCGAAAAATCACGAGACGCAGCCGCGAAGTTGGCGGAACATTCGAGTATCCCAGGCGTTTTTGGTAGGCACTTTTTGCTGCGGGATGAAGAGGTCAGTCATCTCTCGCAAGTGCATGCGTGGAGGCATGGTCACGTCTACATCAGCATGGGCGTGTGTCTTTAAGCCAACCTGAAAAGCGGGGGGGAAAAAAACAAGCACCTCGAATACGAGCTTCATCCCCTTCGAAGTTTTGAAGCAGAGCGTTGAACTCTGGGCAACGCATTGCTTGCCGCTGAAACACGGGAGTGTGACCCTCAAGCCTTGGGGATGGTCCAAATGGATTCTGCCAGTTCAGGATTTGAACGGGAACTGTTGAACGGGGTAAGCGAAACAAACGGGGCACCGGTTTCGTTTTCAGACGGAACCCCGGTTTCAGCTGAAACATGCAGCTTGGGAGTTCGGGTCCAACATGGGGGACGATGGTTGGAACCCTCTTGTGCCGCCTTTTACGGGGGTCCGTTCAACAAGCTCTGGTCGCCGAAAGCGGCAGGTGGGGAAAGGGCAACGGTTCCAACACTGACAGCACTGGCACCAATTTCGACTGCTGACATACGGTTCTGGGAAATGAGTGACCTGATTGAATGGCGCTAAAAAGAAAACCGGAAGGGAACCAAAAGGACGCCAAGCAATGTTGAATTAAACTTATGATCATAGGGGAATGATTCGTGTAAATTTAGCCCCAAACAATTGCCGAGCTCACCCAACCAGCCGCACTCTAAAGGGTGCAAGTAGATGACGCAATTCGCTTTCTGTCAATACGGAACTGGGTGTGTCTTGTTGCGGGTGCCTTTTTTTTTTCTCGCGGTCTTGCAGGGAAGCCAAAAAAGAAGACCCACCAATTTGTGAGGGGTCCCCTAAAAACAGACCCCCAACAAAATTACAGACACCCTGGCGCCCAAAATGCTGGCAAGTCCCAAAAAATCAGGCTTCAAGAAGCTGAAAATTAGGGACCTTCCATTTGGATTGGCTCAGAGTGCAGCCACCCGGCCGCTTCTCGGCCGCGGCCGCTGTGACGCGGCTACCGTGGTGATGGCGCCTGAGAAGCAAACCGCAGCTTGTCTGAAGCGCGATGTTTGGGAGCCTGGATTGACTGGTCAAGTTGGTGCCCTTGTTACCCTTTGCCTTTATATAAATCTTGTGTCGTGTTGTCTGATATGATTGAGGCAAATGTATTACTGTATGCGGTATTTGTATTGAATGTTTTGTCTGTGCTGTCTTCTCCTCCTCTCTTCTCAGGGTTGGGGTGTAGGTTTGGGGGCCGGGGTTGGGGGTGTCGGCAAGAGTGTCAAACACAAGGGTGCCCTTTGCCGGAAGTGTCCGCTGGCCCGTTGGTTTTCAGGGAGTTCATCAGCAATTTGCGTGCAAGTTCATGGGAACATGAGGTTTTCTGTAGGTTGTAATGGGGTTCCCTATTTGAGGGTTTTAATGGTTTACTGAGAGGGATGGTTCTCTATTTCACGGTTCCCTACATCCTACATGAGAGGGTTTAACGGTTTGGATGGTTGTTCTCTAGGAGGGGTTCCCTGTTTGAAACTACCTGATTAAGTGCCCAAAAGCCACCAGATTGGGAGGGATCTTGGAAGCAACGAACCCCTTTTCGGGTGCTGTGAGCAGTATTGTAATTCCTAGGTCCCCCAGCAGTGCCCTGAAAACCCTTTTTTGGGAGAGATGGTTCCCCTACTAAAATGGACTACAGAAGAAACAAAAGGTACCAACTTGTTCTACCCTCTCTACTGGAGGACCTAGAATCCCCGGATTTAGCAGGGTGTGTCTCAACATTGGGGCATTGGCTGGCTTCCTATGGGTTGTCTCAAAATAGGACTCGGAACCCCCAAAGTGGGTTTCTCCAAAGAGGGTAGCCTCGAAGACTATCTTCTTGAAGAGACCCTTTGGTGGGCTCCATGTTAATTAGTGGACCGGACCCTCAAAAATGATCCCATCTTGGTTTCCCTGAGAGACTCGTAGCTTCCCCTCCCCCGGCCCAAGGTTCGATCCGATCCACGCCTCAAAGCTTTTGAAGGGTCTCCTCCGGATTTGTTGGGCTATGGTTGACGGGGAACCTCAAAAGTGACGACATGAATCCAACCACCGAATCTTGATGTCCCAAGAATTCCCCTAATTATCCTAAAGCAAACTCATGCCCATATCATATCCTGTCGAAACGGAAGATCAGTTTTTCGGGCAACCCCAGGATTTGGGCGAAGTTGCCAACCAAGATGTTTCCGATGTCCTGTGGTGCTTCCTTTAAGGCCACAGGCTCCCACAAATCCAAAGCCCCACGGGGGTGTCCTCTTCGTGCTCCGGGATCGGCCGAGGAAGGTTTCGGCTTCTCGCCCGAGCAGCTGCAGAAGTTCAAGGACTCAGGGGTTGATTCCGATTCCATTCTTTCAACCATCGTTCTTTTCAAAAACCGATCGCTGTTACACCTGACAGGGGGTCCGAAAGTGATCTTCCAGGTACCCTGCCTCAGGTGCCATGCTAGTGGGAGGAAGCCTATCCTTCTCACCATGGTGTAGTGTTGTCCCCTGTATCATAAAAGGGAGTTGAAGGACACTGGGTGTTGCTCTTTTAGTTGGATATATGCTGGTTTAAAGGGAAACAGAGAGGGAGATCACAATTTTGCCGGGTCCCATCTTGGCACATAGCGGGAACCTTGCTCGGGATTGGACCAAGTTGTACAAGTGCTTCCCAATCGGCCTGGAGGGTTCCCTGGATTCGCGAAATGTGCAGAGATCTTGGCGTTTCCCAGCCGTCCGGTTCCTTAGGGTTTTGGTTGCTTTTAGTTGGTTTAGTGGTTGGGTTTTGATTTGATCCACAACTTATTCACTTTTGGCAAGGGTTCAGAAAATGGACAGGCTCTGTGGCTTGCCACCCGCAAAGCTTAAGGGAAGCCCCGATTCAGGTTTGCCCGGGATCCATTGGGTTTGAGGAAGAATTCACCCCAAGTGATCCATTAACCTTTTGCCAGGATCACTGAACATTACTCGGACCCTTTGGGCATTCCAGGGTTCCCATGAAACCCTCCCTTGTTTGAACCCTCCCTAAAACCTGCCCCAAACCTATCTGGTTGCAACGGCTTCCGATCGCCGAAATGACCCGCTTTTGTTGATGGAAATCAGCTTCTTTGTGGGTGACCGCGTTCTACAGTGAAATCCTACACCACCTAAGAAACCATGAAATGATTCGATTCCCCAACGCAAATACCAACAAACAATGGTTTCCCATGGTTTCAAAGTGGTGCAAGACTTCGTCTGTCCACAGTTCCAAGAGGCATGTCCTCTTTGGGCTTTTTAGCGTTCCACATGGAACCACGAGCCACACTCAGAAATCCAGAAAGGAGACAAGTTGTGCAAAAGGGCAGACACATGAAAGAAACTTCGACCACAAGCGTTTTCTGTGTTCCCATGTCTGTGGGCCAACTATTGAGACCTACCCCTGTTGAAGAATTCTTCGAAACCCAAACCAATCCAACCAACACCAAAACCAACCCAAGCTCTAACCAACTCTACCCTGAACATGTTCAGAAACCCAAACCAATCCAACCAACAACAAAACCAACCCAAGCTCTAACCAACTCTACCCTGAACATGTTCAGAAACCCAAACCAATCCAATCCAACCAGAACCAACCCAAACCCAATCCATGATTTACCCCAACCATTCACCATTTGAGGAACCGGGCTTGGGGGTTCAACCCAACGAAAAGCCATGGGTAACGTTTCCCATTTAGTGGTTGAAATACCCTCGTATTTTTTGGGTGGTTTTCCAACCAATCCATCATTACCCCAAGCATTTTGACCATTTCGGCCAAGTTTCGCTTGGTCGTGGCCCTTTCGCCCGAGGATGCCTTCGAGGTCTTCGACATCGACGGCAGCGGCGACATCGACACCGCGGAGATCTCCGCCTTGTTGCGGCTCCTAGGCCATGGGCTCCGAAAGACGCGCGAGCCAGTGAGAGACGCGGAAGAATTCTAGGGGTTGGGTCCGATTCCATTCTAGGGGTACCCCATATTTGGGGACCAGTTTTTTGAGGGTAGCTTGGGGGTCTGGTTGCACATGGTGCTTCTGTTGCGGCATTCTAGGGGTTGATTCCGGTTCCATTCTTTTCAACCATCGTTCTTTTTTGATATCCGATCGCTGTTTTCTCGGGTTTCTGGAGGTTTTCTAGAAAGACCCTGGAAAGAATGGGGGAGGTACCCCTAGAAGAATCGATAGCCTATATGACTCACTTCCTGAGTTCATGGCCTTTAACCTTTTTGAAACAAACAGTTTGGACTTTTTTGGGGCCATCCACTCAGGAAGTGGATTAATTAATAACAATTCCAGGTTTAGGCAGAATTGAGAATTGGTACTTGAGGGGTTTGGATATGAATTGAGCAAGAGGGAAAAGGTTCCCCTACCTTCAGTGGGTGTGTCTGTTTGTTCGGCTGTTTTCTGCGGCCATGGCACGGAATCTCAGGGCGCCGCAAAGAGTATGTAGTGGGAGCCCGTCACCACTGACTATTTCTTGAACTGTAGTACACTTGTTGGTTGGCCTTGTGGGTTCTGCGACAAAGCTTCCCACAGGGGTGCGTCGAGGCAATGCGCTATTTGGGTTCCCCATATTTCCCACGTTTGTGGTTCAGTCCTTCCTTGGGGATTCCTGATGTCCACTTTGTGAATTGTGGCAACTGGGCAGATGTTCCTGTTTGGGGGTTGATAAAAGGTCCTTTACATGGGATCACCATTACATGGGATCACCAGTGGTTGCATATCCGCACAAACAAAGACGACATGTCCCACATGAGAAAAGTTACCAATGGTCATTTGGGGTCTGAACAGAACATTGATCAACCCCCCAATTTGAGATGAGTCGCCTTATCGAGCGGCGATGTTTGAAGCCGATTTTTATGCGGAGCCATGAGTTGCTCAGTAGCTCGCGACCAGGTGACACCACCGACGCGCAACACTTGATCCAGGCGCGACTGCCGCCCTTGTTGCGTTTTGGGAGCAGGGCTTGTCTAATGAGGTGATGGACCTTAAACGTGGTACTGTTCCTTTTGCTGTTCCTTAGAGATGGTGGTTATTGCTTATCCTTTAAGCCTTTGGCCTCCCCGGTCTTGCCGGAATCAAACTGGAGGTTCTGGTACCTGTGAAAAACGGGCAACCCCCCAATTGGTTTCTTGGTCACTGTCCCTTTAAAGCCCAACCACCTATAGGTTCCCCCTCCACAAGAACAGACGCACCCAAATGAATGGCTGAAAACCAAGTGCCTCACTTACAAACAAGCGAAAGACCGCATCTGACCTAGTTGGTTTGGACCTTTGGTCCACTAGTCCTTCCGAAAGTTGATTCCCTGATAGTTTTCAGATAAGGGGCAGATGAGTTCAAACTGGGTTAGGTTCAACCCTCCGAGTTACCCTACCAAACCTCCCCGTCAGCTTTTTATATTTGTTGCAAGGTAACCAGCTTTTGCCCGTGTGCCTCGGCCATAATGCTTCCCCTGGCCAGCAAGGTGATGGCTGTTGCAAAAGGTCTACGTTTGGTAAAGCATTCAAGAAAGTACAAATCTGTGTGCCAGGGACACAACCCTTTTTTCGTAAATCCCTATTGGAATGAGGTCTACATTTGGTAAAGCATTCAAGCTGTGTGCCAGGGCATAACCCCAAACAAAACAAACAACACGTATTGGAATGGGAGCTAAAGCCGAAGAAAGTGGGTCTGTTTTTTGGCCCCGCTTTGTTGTGGTTTCAAGGGGAAGCCAACTGGAAAACCGTTTGGCCATCTTTGGGCTTCCAGCCTTAAACAGAAGAGCGCAAGATGGGAAAGGTACATCTCACGGTCCAAGACCCACCCTTGGGTCGGTTGCTTGGGAAGGTTGTCAAGCACTCACGCTCGAGGTAGTGGAGATGCAGAGCGGGGACGCCTAAAGCCACCCTTGAAAGGTAGACCTTAAGCTGACCAAACCAAGCCACCCTTGGGGTAAGGTTGGTGTGGCTCAAAATTAAACAGGAGGGGTTACGCAGGTTTTGGTCGTTTCCACTTATTCCACTTACCAGGGTTCTAGTTTGGTGCTGGTGTTTTGAGCGTTTTGGTCTCGGTCTCGAAAAAAGACCTGACGAAACCAAGCCACCCTTGGGGGATACGGCGCGTTTCGGTCTCGGAACAAAACAAAAATAACCGACGAAGATTCCGTGGAGGGCGCCGACACCCAGAAGCGCGGCACCATCCGCTTCGAGGACTTTCTGGCGCTGAGCCTTGGGTTTTAGGGGGCGGCGTTGGCATCCCAGTTGGAGTCGGGGGCCGGTTGGGTATGCCTGAAGTCTCTCATGGGGGCTGGGGGGGAGGGGAGGGGAGGGGGAGGGAGCCCAAAGCCTTAAATAAGGCCTTATTAAGGGCTTATTTGGGCTCCCCTCCCTCTCCCTCCCCCCCAGCCCCCATGAGTCTCCATGACCCCTTAGAAATGGGGTCAGTACCCAAAATAATGGGGTCATGACCCCACGGAGACTCCAGGTGAGTCTTTGATGAAACCATCCAGTGACTTCTCCATTTACATTTACCGGGCCGTTGGATGGGATGGGCAGAAGGTGACTTCGCACCAGTGGTAACCCACCACTTCCAACTGGTGCCTGCGAAGTGGAAATCGTCCATCCACAGATATTCAAGATGAAACAACCAAGGGACCGCAGGTTTTAGTCTATGTTTCCATGTACGGGGCTACCCCATTTTTGACCCACAGCCATTACCACGCGACTTCCATTTACATTTATCGGGGTCCGTTTTGGGGTTACCCTATTTTTGACCCACCGCCATTCAAGGAGTTGTTCCAAAGGGGTCCCAAAGGCAAGAAACACCCATTTTGGGAGTTCCCTAAAGAAAAGACATACCTATATACTGTGGATGGACGAAATCCATGTCGCACCAATTTTAGGGGTGTCTTTATTTCGAGAAACTGCTGTTTCGGGGGAGTGGCATTCGGACGCGGCGCATGTTCAGAAACCCTGGAATGATTCGATTCCCCAACGTATGTACCTACAACGGTTTCAATCATGATTTCATTTCGTGGGGCGACCGGATTTCGTCGTGGGGGTGTGAAACCCTTGAAAGTACGGGTGAGACATCGACCCTCGATATGTTTTGGCTCCAGGTTCATTTGCAGCAAAAAGCGAAACATGGGCGCATTGTGTTCTGTTCAGGATACCAATTCTTTGTGGTTTCCATACCAGGACCAAAAGGAAGAAACCACCCCATTTCAGGCTTTTTTTTTGGGGGGGTCCCCAAGAAAAGGACACGCAGGCCGCCCGCAAGTGGCGATCTTGTTTTTAGGGTCACCCAAAATCATGGTGCTGAAGTCTCCATGACCCCTGAAAAACGGATACCAAAATCATGACCTCTGAAGTCTCCATGAAGTCATACCTCCCATGAAGTCTCCATGACCCCTTAAAAATCGGTTGCTCATCGCCCAAAATGGGAGGTCATGACCCCATGTCACGGAGACTCCAATGAGTCGATCCGAGGATGAAGGACCTGAAGGCTTCGGAGCGGTGGAAGGCGGGGGCCAAAACGCGAAGAAAAAAAACGCGGCCGCGCGAAACGCGCGCGTCGCCTTTGAAGGGACCGGAGCCAAAAGACGAAGCCACGAAGGACAGGTGTCCTGAACAGAGAAAAGGGGCGGTGGAGGGTCAGAAACGGTTCAAAGTTTCAAAAGAAAAGGGTTGGTTGAAGGCTGTGGATGGACTAGGTCTTGCACCGTTCAGAAACGCTGGAAGGATCATTTGGGGGGGTGGGGCTGCTGGTACCCATGATGTTGACGGATGGTTGCGAAATCCATTTCGCACCGCGGAATGAAACCATGGTTGAAGTGAGAAAAGTGTGTTAGGTATTTACCTTGGGGAATCGAATCATTCCATGGATTCCGAACTGTGGTGCGAACTGGATTTAGTCCATCCACAGTAGGTCCCCGAAAGCATATGAATGAAAACGGCAGCACAAGGAGCTTGTTTCAACAGTTTAGGGTGAAAGTTAAACAGGGCTCCTTAAAAGATCTCCATTTTGCAACCATTTGAAACATGTTGCTTTTTCTTCACCAAAATAGAGTTGGACACCACCATTTCCAAGTTGCAATGTTCAGGTGTTTTTCATGCATCCGGATCCCTGTTAAAGCATGGGTTCAGCGGTTTGGGTTATCAAAATGGAAACCAACAGCAGCGCCGTTGCGCCATGTTGAGGGGGGGGGGAAATCTTAAGTCTCACGTATCCCTGGAGTCTCCTTCTGACTCTTGAAAAATGGGTCCATGACCTCCCTTTATTTTGGGCAATGACCAACCATTTTTAAAGGGTCATGAAAAACTCCAGGTCATAAGCTTGCGGCCCTTTGAAGACCCTAAAGTGGGAGCCTGGGAGCCCATTAGTAAAACTCATTTGGAGGCTTATGATGGATGTGTTTGTTGTTGGTAGGCCGACCAAGCCCATTTTGGGTGGTTAAAGATGAGAACTCTGATGGACAAAATCCACTTCGCACCAGTGGTGGACCGGATGAAAACATGTAAATACTGGTTGGTCACCCACCACTTCCCACTGGTGCCTGCCGTGGATTTCGTCCATCCACAGATGTTCAAGGAGTTGTTTTGAGGGGAAACCCAAAAGGCAAAAAAACATGTTTTGGGGAGTTCAGTTAAGACAAGAGATACCTATATGGCTGTGGATCAAAACCACTGGTACTATTTTTAGGGCAGGTGCACCACCCATTTTAGTCTATTTTAGCGGCTGGATTGGGATGTTCACTGGGGGGTACTATTTGGATTTTGACCCATGGCCTTCTTTTCAGCAAACCCTCAAAAACCCAGGGGAAACGGATCCGGTTGTTCAAAAAAAGAACGATGCTTGAAAAGAATGGAAAAGGAATCCACCCCTAGAAAAATGGTGCGTTGGTCTCCCTCCCCTTTTCAAAATCCCAGAAAATCAACTGCCATGGGCATCGGTGAATGGTTTGCTTCATCTCTTTTCGATTTGGTCCCAATTTTTGGGGTCCCAATTTTTGGGGTCCCAATTTTTGGGGTCCCATGTTTTTTTGAGTACCATTTTTTCGGAGCCCCCCGCCACGCCGCCGAACGCGGCGCGGCGGTCGCCACATGGACTCGCCTCGAGGCGCTGCTCTCCTTCTCCCAAGCGCAGATCGAAGACTACCGCGATGCGCGGCTCGGCTCGGGGGTGGTCGGCTTGGGTTTTTGGGTTCGTCCAGTTGCTTAAGTTTTTTGTTTTTCCTTGCTGGTTTCAAAGGAAATCTATCACGACTGGAAATATGTTTATGTACTTTTCCAGGGGTCTTAAGCAAATGGAAGGGTTGGGATTTGAGTTTGAAGGAGATCAAGAGGAAGCCAACCAGATTGGGGGATCCCGATTTGGCCCCACGCCCCATGCGGGGCGCCTTTACTACCATGGTTTATATGGGACTCGCTGTTTGGGGGGAGATGGACCACCGCGTTTATCGAAGTGCAGACCATACAACCGCCATAGAATGAGTCGATGATTTTATAGAGCCCCCGGTTGAGTCGGTCTACAACCACTGGTTATCTCCCTGGCAGGGGTGTAGACCGTCATAGATCCCATGCTTTGAGGGTTCAAAGCCCCATTGTTAGTGACCCTCTAGAAGTGGCCCTGGGGTCACTGGGCCCTAACAAACACTTTCAGCGCTATTTCTCCTGGAAAGCCAGGTTGTCCAAAAACAACATGAAGAAAGCGGGCACTGGGAGTAGGGGGACGTTTCAACGTTCACCACTTTTCAACTGTTCAACAAGTCTGAGTTTTTATGGGGCTGCTCAATCGATTGGTTCGGTGACCGATCAGCCGGTGAGCAAAGGTACCCTAGCCAAATCGCAAGGCATCGGATCAATTGATGATGCTTGGATTCATTGCTTTTCTACCGGTTCATATGATCCTCTTCTGAGATTTATGTTGCCTTCCAGCCCGATATCCAGAAGCCGGGTATCCACCAGTGGGTGGGATGTCCATGAGTTGCCTGTTCGCAGTCCTTGTTCGCAGTCCTTTCGGCGAGTTTCTGCCGAGGTTCGCCCTCTTCGACAAGGAAATCCTCCGATTCGCATCGGATCGGATCGGATGTGCCATCAGATTTGCTTGTTGGATCTGAGAGACCAAGCGGTGAGTGGTCTTGTGATGCTGTGGATGGACGAAATCCATGTCGCACCACCTTTCAAAAACCCTGGTTTCGGATTCGTTTTCCCTATACATAGCCACAAACTCCTGGGTTTCATGCCCATGGTTTCATTTCGTAGTGACGGATTTCGCGTCCACCCACTGTACGGTCATAGCGCTTGTTTTGCAGTTGTGCCTGTTTTGGGCATGGACCACGTGGTTTGCCTGGAGGGTTCCTTTAGACCAAGGAGCTACCCGTGGAGTTTTGTGGAAACAAGTGGTGTGCTAGTTGAAAGGCCAAGTTGGGTGTGTGTCTTTTTTCTTAGGGGACCCCCGCCCCCAGAAAAAAAAAAGGAAATCAAAACAGAAGACATGTGGTGGTCCTTTTGGTGTCCTTCAAACCCCACCAAAAACGGGGGGGGGGTAACTCCAAAAACAGAGGAGCCACCACGTGTAAAGCTTCATGGCACCGGCCCTAGCCCACCACAAGATGTCCAGGTGAAAAGTGCCTGCAGTTGGCAGTTGGCCAATCCCACGAGTCGTTTCCGTTTGGTGTCCCTTCAATTTCCACCCCAACAGGGGCAGCATAATTAATTCGGAACCTCCCTACAAGACTGGTGGTTTTCCTGCTGGGTGCTCTTTTCTTCCATCCTTAAAAAGCGAAGTCACAGGAAAACGGGTCAAAGTGTTGGAACCCCCCGCAAAAAAACCTAGTCTTTCCCGGTGGGTTTCCTTAAAAAGGGTACCCTCCTAGGTACTCTCAAGAAGCGCCCGTTTTCTGCGGAGCCACCAGGACCAGAGCGGAGGCATCGACCCCAGCGAGCTGCGGGCGCTGCTGAAGCTGGTGGGCCACAGCCCGTCACTCCGCAGCCTTCAGTGGAAGGTGTTGGCATGGTTCCCCCAGTGGTGTTTTTTTTTTTGGGGGGGGGGAGCTGGGAGCAACCGCCCACAAGTTACGTGAGCAACGGGAAACCAATACTAGGTCCCCCAGCTAGGTGCCAACTTGAACCGTTTTTTTTGGGAGGTTCCCCTACTAGAACGGACTACAGAAAAAAGTTGGTACCCTCATTCTAACCTCTCGACTGGATGACCTAGGTTGAGTTGGTGGCGTTCGGTGGTACCAAGTCCCTTTTGTGGCGTGCGAAATCGGTAGGGAATGAGGGAGTGGAAGGTCCTTGTGGCACGTCCCAACTGAGATGAGCCATCAAATTCCAGTTGCATGAAGGTTAGTAAGGGACTGTCCAGTAATACCAAGTCCTTTTTGTGGCAAACTGTGAGCCATCAAAGCCCAGTTAGAGGAAGGTTCGTAAGTAGCACCTGGCGCGCTTTTTGTGGCGTGCGAAATCGGAAAAGGAGAAATGGAATGAACCCAGGGTTCGGTCCCCTGAAAGGAAACCAGTTGGAGGGTTTACAGCGATTCCCCATTCCCTGCTGAGCACCAGCAAGGCACCAAGTCCTTTTTGTAAGGAGGGGTTGTAATTGACAGCGCCCAAAAACGAGTTGCAGTACCCAGTATCTGGGCAACAGCGACCAATATCATAGCCATGCAACAGCGATGTTTCGGTAATAGCGCCTGGCTTTGGGCAATTACAACACCCTCCCCCCTTTTTTGTGGCAAACCCCAACTCAGGTGTTACCCTCCCCCAGACTAACATGGAAGCTCCCGAACGGACCTTGGAAGACTTGGCTCCATGTACAGAGGCCTTCTGGGAGCTTCCATGTTAGTCTGAGGGAGTGTAAAATGGGTTTGATTGCTTGGGAGTGGTCAGTGGAACCAAGAGTTGCCCCCCTTTCCTGGCTCAACTCATGTCACTTGGTCACCGAAGGAACCAAAGCCCCGTAAAGACCTAGGTCCAACTTAAAAAGCCGGGAAACCCGGGAGTTTGGAGGAAAACCTGGGGGTTTTAGCTGGAACCTGTTTATGAAGTTTCTATCATAACTTGCTACAACTGTCCAATGAACTTGCCAACAAGCTCAATTAGTGCAAACATGCATTTGCAGGCTGTGTTCACAGACCATTGTCGCACCCCGCGTAATCTTCTCTTGCGCGCCGGAAAAGCTGTAGCCTTGAGGGCGCGAAGTGCTCCAAACTGAGCTGCGTCAAAGCAAAACCTGACCCTGGCTGATAGGAATGGATGAGGCGAGTGAAGGCTAAGTGATGGTTGAACACGGGCCACTCACTTTTCAGCAACTTGTCGAGCTCAGGGAGGCTTTGAAAGCCACAACGCCCTTATTCGGCGCCATTTCCACGACCGGGCTTTGTACGGGTTGGTACGGGTTTGGTACGGGTTATGTACGGGTTTTGTACGGGATGGGAAAAACCGGGTTTTGCCAAAACGCGGGGTTTTTAGGACGAATTACGGGCTTTACGGGTTTTGCACGGTTTTTTGTTTACCACCAAAAGTCACTTGACGAATGCCCAAAAGAGCTTGCCTTTTTCAAGCATTCCTCAACCCTGGAAACCAGCCAAGGGTGTCCAAATCCAGGCAAGTTTGCATGAACATCACACAGTAGTTCACCCCGAGAAACCTTCAACAGGATCCCGAAAGTGCCTTATAAGCCTGCGGGCAGAGCTCAATGGATTTCGAGTCCATCTCCTCTCACTGAGGTCGATAAGTCGGCCTTCGTAGTTTGTATTTTGTCACTCCTCTAGCATGCGACCCGTGCTGAAGCAGTGGCAACTGCAGTGGAGCTAGCGGTCCCTAGAAAAAAATGGCTGTACACTTCAAAAGCTCGGTATCATGTCTCTCGTACGGGGCAGGTGGCGGGTACAGAAGGTTTCGTGCAAATCACGTGAAACCCAAATCCAAATTCCAAATGTCAAAGCAAAGAACAAGAAGTCAAATCCCGTGTTTCGAACAATAGAGGTGATATGGCAATCGAAATAGTATCCCCTGATGTGGTTCCTCACATGACGCGCAAGTCCAGACTTTGAACCGCTTTGGGAATCCGGGGAATGCGACTGAGGAGATCCAAAAAGTTCGAGCTTGTCCTAGACGAATTCGGAGCAAGGGGATCCCAACACGGACTGCCTCAGCATGCAAAAGAGGGCCGCATGAATGGTTTGGCAAGGGGCGGGCCAGGCCCCTTCGATGTTTCTACAGGTGGAAAGGAACCAACCAAACCTGAACCCAAATTTTCCCTCACCCGCCCTAAGCCAAGCCTACCAGCCCTAACCAAACCTCATCCTAAGCCCACCCTGAACCAGCCCCAAGCCAATCTCTGAACCCTAACCCCAGGCCTCCTCCCCCCTCAACCCTAAACCAGCCCCAAACCAACCCTCAACCCACAAACCACCCTAAACCCCACCCTAAAGCTACACCCACCTTAAAACCAAACAACCTTACGCCAACCCTAAACCAGACTAAACCAACCCTAAACCGACCCTACACCCTACCCAAAACTTACCCTAAACCACCGTAAGCCCAGTCCCAACCATCCTTCCATCCAACCCGAAACCCACACCAAACCAAACGCAAACCTTCCTAAACCAACCAGGCCCAAACCAGAATAGCTCTGTGGCGTGCCGCGTCGGCGTCAATGTGGGCGAGACGTCCGGCGTGGCTCATTTCCGCATGCCGAGCTGCCCTCTGAAAGTTCGAGCTCATCCCGTCTTGAATACCCGAGGAATGTCCAATGCTGCGAGGCCTTTAGCTATTTTGCCCCACAGCGATAACTGTTGGGACTTTAGCCAGGCTTCGGGGCAAATTGGGGTAGACCAAACTTCGCTAGGAAATGCGTGAGTGATATAGCCTTGCACTTGACCAAAAAGATGAACAAAGAACAGGTTTTAAGCTGAGGTTTAGGGAGTCAATGTTGACCAAAGGCAACCGAAGTGCCGAGGGCACGCCTGGGGCTAAGGTCCAAAGATGAGCTGGATGCCATGATTCAGGAGTCGTAGCCGATCGCAGCGTGAATGAACAAACAAACCGGCTTGAACAGCGAAAAGCCAAAACAAGCTTGAGGTCTGCGGCTCACCAATCCAGGATTTGAGAACTGAGAGTCTTGGGACGGGGTTCATGTTGGGAAGGGTACCCTTTCTCCTTCGACCCCCCCCACACCAGAACCACCGAATTGACTGTGGTTCAAAACGGCAAAAACATGTGTGTGTGTGTGTGTCATGGTCCAAACAAATTACCATTTGGGCACTGGCTTGGTCATGCACCCTTAAGAACTGAACCATTCCAGCGGTCCAAAACTCGCCACCTCGCCAGGAGCTCGACAAGAATGAGAGCGGCGCCATCGAGTTCAACGAGTTCCCAAGCTGCAACCGCTTCGGTTTCGCCTTTGTACATGGTTGTTGTTGGGAAGCATTTTACATTTTGTTTATTGTGGTTTAGCTGGAAATCCCCACTTGACCGCTAAGATTTAAACTTTTGCTCCCCTTCCAACGTCAACCAAGTGTATCCCGTAGCCGTCCAACATGGAAAGCTGCCCTGGGTGTGGGGGTCTGAGTTTGGGCCATTGTTTTGGCATGTCTGATTTCATGTCGGCAGGAGGCAACTGGGAACCAAAGAAAAGATGACGCCGGTCTTGATCATTAGGAACCAGTTGTGGGGTCCTGGACACGCTCATTTTGGTGGTGTTTTCTTTGGCAGCTGTTTAACACAATCCGCCGGTCTCAGGTTGAGACGTACCAAGGTTCTCATGACAAGACCTCCGGTGCCGCTTGTCGTTGTGGGAGAAGGGTTCCTTGAAAGCCCTGGTACCAGGAGAAGGGTAATTAATCACCTTTTCCCAACAATTCCACTTGAGGCCTGCAGTTTTTAGGTTCTCTTTTGGTCAGGTTCCTGTATCTGATGACCAAGCGCGAGCGTGGCAGCGCTGCAGCTGATGTCGCGGAAGCCTTCAGAATCTACGTGCCCTGGCGAAATGTTCAGCGAGCGCGACGCACGGCGCGTTGATCGCGCGGGCTGCGATTTGGCAAATTCGTTTCAAGCAACTTCGGGGTGGGCGCGTAGATGGGGGGCATGTTTCGACAACATGGTTTAAACAGAACCGGGCCGCTGTGTGTGTGTGTGTGTGAGTTTTGTCCAAAGGACAACCCGCCGAAGGAGGTTACTTGAGCATAGTGGATGAAACATTGAAAGAAGAGGTTGGATGAAATAGATCCTGCACCACTTGAAAACTATGGGCAACCATTGTTCGTTGGTATTTACAGGGTAATCGTCATTCCAGGGTTCCCTAGGAGGTGCATGAAGTCGTCCATCCACTGTAAAGCCATTCCGGGGAGGGCCCTTTATACCATTCTCAAGGTTTCCTTTGTTCCAATTGAAAATCATGTAACCTGGGGGGCGCTATTCTTAGTTACGGTGCAGGGTCACCATCTTGCTTTGCCAATAGGAGTGGCCCGAGCGATCAAAGGGCACTTACCCCAATCAGGTCACTCGAATGACTTTATCCTGCTTGGGGTTTCCAACCTGTCCTAAGCGAAGTGACAACAGCCATGAACACGGGTACATGAAACACACAGGGCTTGCCGTTGGTTCTTGCTTGGCCACAAAAAAAGCAACAAACAATTGGCTTCCTATGGTTTCAATGTGGTGCAGGATCTCGTCCATCCACAGTATGACATCCTCTTTCCTGTTCAAGCCTTAGTCCTTCCATCGGGCTGGGAAGCAATGTCCCTTTGTAAAGGGCACCCTTGTCATCAGCCAACGTCTGTCCAATTGAGATGTTTTTTTTGAGTGTACTGCATACATGAACATAACCTTGCCACTATGTCCTCTATTTAGACCTCTTCTAAAAAGCAGAGTGCGATTCGCAATTCAGTTGCAGGAAGCTGGTGTCACCAGCCAACGAAGCTCGCGTGGCTGAAACTTTTCGCAACTGGTCATGTTGCCTAGGACCGCGATCGGACAGGACCGGGCGCGCACATTTTCACGGGCTCATTGGAGCTGGGACATCTAGATGAACGGCTCGTTTTCCTTTGGGGAACCTTCCTTGGGTTGGCAAGGGGAAACCATTTGGGACCCGGCCCCTGAAAGAAGAAATGCTCAAGTTGCCAAAATTCTGAGCCATGTTGAGTGGGTATGAGTTTGGAATGGTGGCAAATTGTGGCCAATGCATTTTTCTGAGGACTGTTGTCCCTTTTTTTTCACCAGTGCTGTTTGTTCACATCAGCCATTTTTTTTGAAGAGGGGGATTCGTGCAGAGAATCAGGAGGGTACAGCGAGCAAGAATTCTCTTCCGGAGCGCAGATATGTCGCATTCGATGCGATTTCACGCCGGCACCCAGATCTCAAATTATATCAGTCTTGGAATCGATTCTCAGTTGTTCAGTGGCACCAATTCTTTTTATTTTTCCCTTTTTTTTTGTGGCTGCCCCACTAAAATGGTCCAAGCCCTTAAACAAGGGTTCCCTTTCTTTTCCAGGGTCACTGAACAACTGAGAATCAGCTACACCCCCTCTTTTGAAACCTTAAAACTAGGGGTCGAAGCTTATGATTTTCCAGGCTCACAAAGAAACGGGCTCACTCCAGCCAGGAGATCAGCATTCAGGTCTTCGCATCGATGGGTTGCTTTGCTGTAGGGTCCGCGGTCACCCGTTGTGGGCAACAAAAGCAATCAGCTCGGCGGCTCTCTCATAGCACGAAACCCCAACCTGTTCTGTTTGGGTGTTGTTTTTCCAGTTTCATGAGGGCAAGGGCTATGTAACCTGCATGACGCCACGCTGGTATCAAAAATCGATGAATTTTTGGCACAGCTCATTTTGTGAAATCCGAACAACGAGCCGAAAGCAGGATATATCTCTGTGGAGAACCTCCAGTTCATGCTCACGCGACTAGGCAGGCGCTGAAAGCAGAAAGAGACATGGCGTATGGTCAAGCCAGAGATTCCTCGAAACTGGTGAATCATGTTGGTTTGTGTTTTGAACCCATGCCCAAAAGGGTCCTGGGTTTAACAGGGCCGAATCTGTGATGTGGCAAGTGCCGCTCACTGTTGTGATTGTCGGACTCCTCCCCATGATAACCACGACAAACATAGGGATTCTTGCGCAAACCTGTACGACTTGACAGGACCAAAATGGGGTGTGGCTTCCACAAACCTGTACAACCGCCTTGGTAGAACCAAAATGTCCATGGGTAAAATTCCTGTACCCCCAGTGAACATCCCAATCCCCACTAAAATAGACTAAAATGGGTGGCGCACCTACCCAAAAATGGTACCATTGGTTTTGACCCACAGCCAAATGAGACACAATCAAGACGCGGGTAATTGGAGGGTAAGGGACGATCCCAGCCATGGGTGCGGAATTCCGCCTTTGGAATTCTTTACATACTGTGGGTGGACGAAATCCTGCACCACTTTGAAACCATGGGAAACCATTGCTTGCTGGTATTTACAGGGAAATCGTAATTCCAGGGCTTCTTGAGTGGTGCGAATTGGATTTCGTCCATCCACAGTAGGGATCGACCACATCTTAGTACCGATCGGTTTTGCTTTTGACTCAACTGAGTTTTTGGGTGCTGCTGTCCCGCCAGGCGAGAACTTCACAGATGAGGAGGCCGGCTGGCCGCCTCAGAAGTCAAAAACGCGCTTATCCACCTCCCCCCTCGTGGGGTTTGATTTGTTTTGGGGGGAGGGTAAGTGTCAACAAACTGTGGGAATCAAGTCGAACCGTCTAAGCATTTGTCCATTTAAATGCTGTTTGGCCGAAGGACGTGTAGGTTGTTTGGGTAGTATGTGATTTGGCACTGCGTCTAAGCTCCAATTGAGCGGTTTTTTGAACCATGCAAGCCTGTCTGGCAAGGGGCTTTTGGCCTGGGTGTCTTGTTTGATGTAAACAAACCCTTCATAAGCCTCCGGTTTGCCAAACTCATTCAACAAGGGACGGGGTCTTCCATGGGTTTCAACATGTTGAAGCTATGGATTGAGATAAAGCACCCGAAACAAGCAAAGACGTGCCTTGAAAGAGTATGTTTAAACATGATGATGACTCCAGCAACAAACTGGGATGCAGCAGCAAGGATCAACCTCCCATGTCTCCCCTCTGATTCAACTGGGACCGAGTGGGTGGTCTGGAACATTGCCCCAAGCGTCCTATCGTAAGCTTCATACTGTGGCTGGACGAAATCCTGCACCACTTTGAATCCATGAGAAAGCAGTGTTGATAGGTAGTTAGAGGGGAATCATCATTCCAAGGTTTCTTACCCTCCCACCAACTAACATGGGTTTGTGCAAAAAGGCCCTTTCCAAGAGGAAAGTCGTCTTTCTACAGTCTGTGCACAAACCCATGTTAGCTGGGAGGGTACGTGGTGCAGGACTTTGTCCATGACCGGGTCCCGAGCAATTCCCGGGGTGTCTACTGCAGTCGGGTCTTCCAAAGCCGAAGCCGATCGGAGCGTCTGGGTAAGATAGAGTCCACCCGCAGGGGTTGATGAGTGCCACATGGGTTCTAGAACATTAAGGCCAGGGTTGTGGGATCAAGGGGTTTATCCCCACTTCTGTGATACAAGGGAATCCCCTTTTTATATGGGGGGTTAGTCTTTGGGAGGCTCTTTTTGTTGTATCACAGAAGTGGTCATTTCCCACAGCCCTGATTAAGGCTAGCCCTGCACGGGGGACTAAGCGGGTAGCCTAGGTGAAAGGAAGCACGGCAGCCGATCGGAGCCTCTGGGTCCACAGTATCTCGAGCCGCCGAAGCCCCGGAAGCTTCGGAGGTGTCGGAGATGCTGCAAGAGGCGGACAAAGACCGCGACGGGAAGGTCACGTTCAAGGAACGCGGCAAGAAAGATCGGCGGGGCGCGTTTGGCCCTAAAACACGCAAAAAGAACGAAAGAAAGAAGGAAAGAAAGAAAGTAAGAAGGGGTGACACAACCACGTGTCCTTCTCGGAGTCTCCTTTTGATCCTTTGAACATGCTTGGTGTTCCATTGGGCTTGAACCACCCCCCATCTCCTTTTGGGCCGTTTCTATTCTCAGATCCTTGGCACCCCCCACAGCTCCCAACCTGGGCCCAGGGACCCGAAGGGAATGAGCACGCCTCAAGCGCAGACCGAAGGGCTCTTATGGCGGGTCAAAAATATGGTGACCCCAAAACGGGCTGCCCGGGCAAATGGACACTTGGGCTACAACCAGCGGTCCAGGTGGTTTGATTTTGACCCACGCCCTGATTTGGGCACGCCTTCAAAATGGGGAAGCCTCTCTGGGATAAAGCGCTGAGATGCATGATGTGCGTCTTGGTTTGTTGCGTCGAATCAGGTTCGTGGTTTTGCTTTATTTTGGCTTCCCTGCAAAGCCAACCAAAAAGGATCAACACTGTATTCCTTTTGGGACAGAACCATGTGTTGAAACCCAGGTATGGCAAGCAATGTGAACTTCCCGTGTGTGGGGAGAGAATCGACATGCGGGGTTGCCTGGGAAGCTGTGTGCTTCTACTACAGGTTGGTATGTGTGCCAACACGAGGAAATCAATATGCATTTGGAATGGAACGATATCTGGTGCTCAGCAGGGAATGAAGGAATCCCCCCTATAAGCCATCCCTTGTGGCTTCCTTAAAAACAGCCCCCAGGTTCATTCCCTCATTCCCTACCTATCGCACCAGCAAGTCGGCTCTAACCTGCTTGTGAAAAAGACGGAGATCCTTTGCAAGGGGGCGCCTGTATCTTGCTTCGATGGGCAGGGAATGAGGAAATGACCCTTACAAAAGCCATCCAACTGGTAGGATCGATCCGCTTCCACGTTCTGGAAATCGCCTTCCCTGAGAACCAGCCAGTTTGCCACGCCGTCACATGAAGGCAATTCACAGACCAGACACGTCGCTCGGATTTGCGACATGAGCCGCAGGATTTCGAGCAAATGATGACCTTCGCCTAGGGCGCTGTCTGACCACAGTCGTGGGTTCGGTCCCGTGAGAGAAAGGTTCTCAGGAACCTTCTGGGAGCTCCTTCTGATGTTCCAAGAACCTTTGGTGGGGGACACCTTTTGTTTCTTCCTCTTTTTTCGCAGCCTAGTGGAAGTCAAGCAACAAGACAAGCGTTTGCATCCACGAGAAGCCGCCAGAATCGTGCGGGCCAAAACCATGCTGAGTTCCTCAACACGAGGAGCTGACAAGCCGACAAGCCCTGGGCTGTCATTCCTTGAGTAGACACCAGGGCTGAGCATTTCATAGGACACCTTGCTCGTTAAACTTGGCTTTGACCACAGATTTTAATTAGCGACCCCCGAAGAAAGTGGTTGCTTTTGGCTGGTTTTGTGGCGCTGGTTTGTCTTTCCACTGTCCTTTTTGTTTCCCTTCAAAGCCATAAGGAGTCATATAGCAGCGTCCACAAAGTTCAAAAACCATGTCTTTGGCACTTCTGCTGCCTTGCCTTTGTAAATATGGGGTTCTCAAAATGTGAATGGGTATACAGTTGGGTTCCTTGTGGTTTCGTTGCAATGCCAACCAAAGGGTCCGAATCCAATTTTGCGAGACCCGCACATTTCTTTTGGATGAAACTCAAGTCCGTCTCCTATGGGGTTGAACCAGAAATGCTGAGGGCACCCGGACTTGTCTGAAGCGTTTTTCGGGGTGATGGTTGACAGGGTGTTTCTCAACATGAGGGGCAACCCGCTCAAGGCACGGATTTTTTGGTGTCTCTTAATGATCCAAAGTAGGGGTGTCCTATGTTGACTGGGGCGTTCAAGACCAATCTTTAATCCTTATCTCGGATGGTCGGATGGTAGTGGTTTCCCGCTGTTGAAGTAGTGTCCACCACGGATTGCGCATTAAGATCAGCCCCCCCCCCCATTTTTTTTGACAACCCAGTTTGAGATAGACCCAAAACATCAAATACGCACCCGACGCTTCCACCAGAGAAGCGAGCCGAGGGGAATGGCAAGTACCCGATGCTTCCACCAGAGAAGCGGCGAGTGGCCAAAGACCTGCCACCGAGCAGTGGATCAGAACAACAAGGGCTGTCGGGGTTGCTTTGGGCCTCGCTTGAGAACGAGCAGTTCTTTGACTATTTGATAGCAAGCTGAAGTTAGCGCTCTCTCTATGATGTAGGCCCTTTGCTTGGGGACTTGGGGAATCCCTATTTCAGGTTTGGAATGCAAATGCTTGCGTAAGTTGTGTGTACGACAAAAGTAGCAAAAGGGTGTTCCTGACAAGCAGCCAACGGGTATTGTCGCACAGCGAACAGCGCCTGCAGGTTGTTGTTTGTTCAAAGCTTGTCACAGGCCGCGCGTTCGCTGAACAGCCTTCTCTTGATGTCACCCTGGAACATGATTGCAAACAGTTGTTCGGGCCAACGATGGTGAGGTTCCCTCGCGTTGGGGTGTTCTTCAAGGAAAGAATAACACGTGTTTGTGTCGTAGATCTTCTTTTGCTGCACCTTGTACCCCTACTCGTTTGCAAGTTACCATGGATCCCAAGAAACATGTGCAGGCTCACCCACTAAAAAACGTCTCCCCCACCATGGAATCTTGAGTGGAGCAGATGCGCTACATCTCGCGCTCGGAATCCAGGTCACGTCATGCCGGAGCCTCGCACTCAGCTTTGCAGCACCACTTTGAACCATGGGACACCGTAACGTGTTGTTGGTATTTACAGGGAATCATAATTCCAGGGCTTTTTGGGTGGTGCAAAATGGATTTCGTCCATCCACAGTATTCGTCCTCTTTTGGTGATATTGGTTGGGCTTTTGTTTCAGTGAGTTTTATGCGCATAAGATGTTTAAAGTGTAAAAAAAAGACCTGACGAAGTAAACAGGGAAACCACCATCCTGAGGGAAACCACCCTTGGGTTGGCTTTTGCTTAACCAGTCAGTCCTCTCCAGTGGGTCCCTAGTCGGAAGGCATGGCTTGCAGATATCAGCTAGGGCGTCGTTCTTTTGTTTAAACCCATGGGAAAGCCATGTTTCGAGCCCACATGACCACTTGTTTCACAGTTGCAGGGGTGTCTTTGGAGTCCCTATAGTTTTCTTAGTTGCGGCTTCAAACATCATCATTGGTGTTAATTCAAACTGAAGTTCCCTTTTGCACCCCCCAAAAGAGTTCAACAGCTCAAAAGGACAAGACGATCCTTGCCCGTTTCCTCCAAGGAGGACACGCCAACCGCAAAAAGGACCAACTGCAGGCGAATCATCTACCCCTAACAAGGGACTACCCGCAGGCACTGTAAACCAATCCCAACAAGTATGTCTAGGTTTGCCTCAAAATAAGACCACCCAAAACATGCTTGGCGTCCTTTGGCTTCCCTGCAAAGCCAAGCAAAAAGAGGGGTGGCCAAAAGCAGACACCTGCAACTCCAACTGGGTGTGTCTATTTTTGTTCAGGGGCCTTCCAAACTGCCCAAAGTTTCATGTTGCTTTCCCTTGAAACACCACAGAACAGAGGTACCAACTCCAAAAAAGACTCCCAAACGGTTTTCCTGTTGGTTGCCCTTCAAAAACCACAAAGCCGAGGTAGAAAGACGAGCCCCGACGGCTCGATGTTTTTCCTCGTGTCCCCTCCGTGCACGGCTCAGGTCTGCACTGTCCCGGTCCGCCTCGGAGGGCCGAGTGCTGGGGGCCCGGGTTTGAAAGGCGGCTGGTGGGTGTGGGTGTTGGGTTAGGTGGATCTATTTTCGGGTACGCCCACGTAAAACATGTTTTTTTTTTGTTTATCTTTTTGTTTTCTTTTCCCTAGGCTTCCAAAGGCCATTAACAGAATGGTCGAGGTCGCTAGACTGTTTTTTGCCGAATGACTGTTTTTTGCGCCTGGCCCTGAATATCCAAAAAATCATGTTTTTGTAGCCCAAGAATTGCTTAGGGTCAGGTCACTGAAAGTCACGGCGCCCTCATCCTCCCAGCTGCAAATGACTCACCCAAGCCACTCATTCCCCGGCTTGCCAAATGTATGGTCGCATCATTTTTCAAAATCGCCAGGTGTCCCGCCTACTGTAGAGGCGTGCATAGATTCTTCGCATGTTGGTACTGACGTCCGGCCTTTTTGAAAAATGCTGCAAACTTAGTGGCTTCGGGGCATCGCTGCCGATCAAACATGCGTTGTGGGCTCCTGCGGGTATGGTTGTCCACGCTTTTAAATGTACTTTCCACGCTTTTAAATGTACTTTCCACGCTAAAAAACGTACTTTCCACGGTTTGTCCATGGTTTGTCCACGCCTCATTTTCTTTCGAAATCGATTAAACAATCAACAAACAACACGCGATCAGACTCTGTGGAGCTGTAGACAAGAAGTGGAAAAACATGCACGGCCATGTGAGGAACAAGCCAAATTGACACAGCATGGTGACGGCGTGTGATTACAACGGGATGAAGCGACTGTAAAACATACTTAGCTTATTTCATAAAAGGCAGCAATATAGTTCTTCAACCCCTCACTGCACAGAAGCGCGTGGGGATGTCAGGAGCCGGCCGTCTCGAGTTAACCAAGTTTGTCTAGACCTACTTTTAATAGTCGAGGGACATTACTTTTATAGCCTTTCGTTTTTTAAATGGTCGAGGCTATTTAAAGAATAGTCGAGGAAGCACAGGGTTTTCTTTCTTTGACGTAAACTAATGCAGAGTAGGTTGCTGTGGGGTATGTTGTTCTTGTACGTTTTTGTCCTCCACTTGAATTCAGGTTGCCCCCAATTGGTTTGGATTAGTGCGATCGAACCCCTGGCAAGCCACCGCTTCGGCTCCGAGTCCACCCCTTCCGGAACAAAGCGGAGTGTTTTTTTGGCGGTGGCCAAGAAAGCCACCGCGAGCCACTTCAAACCGCCCGGCTCCAAACCATCAAAAGAAAAGAAACGATGTTTTTTGTTGGTCTCCGTCCCTTTGCGCGAAGCAAAACCGGCTCCAAACCGTCAAAAAACACGAGGGAAACACAAATTATTTTGGTCTCCAAACAAAACCAGCGCCGAGTGATTCCTTTCCGAGGTCCGAGGACCGCGCAGCCAGGAAGCTGGACCTGCGAAGGCCGAGGACTTTTCTAGTTGCTTCAGATGGCTATGTCAAGGGATGTGGAGCTTTTGGTGTTCCTGGCTTCCCTTGTCAACCTCAAAAAGATGTATATACCCAAAAAGATCTAGACGCAAAGTGGAAATCGCCTTTTTCTTGGCTGGGTGTTCCCCATTTGACACACGTGCGGGAGGTTGTTGTGAGCACTTGCCCACAACCAACTGGTGGTTGTCGAAAGTCTAGGTGACGAGGTTTTTTCTTGCATGTTCTATTGTCAGTTGGTTTTCAACATGCCCGTCGAAAGTATGGGGGTGGCTCAAAGTAGGACAATTCGGTCCGCTTGAACAACTTCCAAGAAAGGGACACCCATACAGGCCCCACAAATGGTTGCTTTCCTTGTGGTGGTCTTTTTCGACCAACCAACAGCGAGTTCTCTCACAAAAACAACACCAAAAAACACGCAGGCAAAGGATCTACCAACTTGTCACGATCGATTCGGTCGACTGAGAGCGTTTTTGTTTTTTTCTGCAGATAACCATTCATCAAACATAATGCTAAGTGGAATCTCCTTTTTGAGGGGATTCGGTTTGTGGCATCTTGTCCAAAACGATTTACTAGGTGAGACAATGAAATCGAAACGAAAGGTCTGATTTTCACTGTTCCGTGCAATGTCCAAGTTCTCGTCGGGTTTCTATCCCCGCATGGCTTCGAAGCGCGGGGAGGAGGTGCCTCCACGGCGGTCGCGCGCGCGTTTCGAGCGAGCCACGTGTCGAACCGTGTCTCGAGGCGCGCCAAGGAGATCGTGGCCTTGAACTCCCTCTACGCGCAGTCGAGCTCGGGGCGCGGGCCTCGGGGTTTTGGGGTTGGGTTCCTAGGTATTCGAGTGCCAACTTTTGCCGTTTCTTTTTTGGTTGGGAGGGCTCCCCTACTAAAATAGACAAAAAAGGAAGAAGCTCAGGCGAGATCCCCAGCATGCGGTGCTCTTTGTAGTGCTCGGACCGACCCGCAGCCCTCGCAGAACCTCGTGGAACCCTCGTGGAACCCTGGTGGAACCCTCGTGGAACCTTGCCTCAGGGCCGCCTCGGACCACCCAGGAGCCTATCTGGGCTGAGACCAGCCGTTAAGAAAAAAAGGTACCCTTATTCTAACCTCTCTACTGGAGGACCTAGGCTTGAATCTCCCTGGAGGTCAAGGACTTTGCACCTGCGATCAAAGTTTGGACTTTCTTCTGGGCAATGGATGTGAGTGGAGACCTTGGCAGACCTTTGCAGACACCAGCGATTTCAGTTTCTTGGATGGATATGTTGCCTTGCTAGGAAGTAGATGGCCCTTACTTCAGTTTGGTTTGGCAGGGAAAGCGACATCATGATCATTCTGTTGGGTCCGAACCCTTGTTTTGATGCAGAACCCAGCTTTCCATTTGGTGGTTTGGATGGGCTGGTGTCCCACGTCCCCCCCGACATGCAAAAAGGTGACACCCCAAGCAACACACAAGTCCTAAAATAAGGTCATTTTGAGGGTCAAGAATTCTAGGGCAGATATATTTTTTGACACACAAGGCACTAGGGCAGAGAAGAAGGGAGCCAAACAATTGTTAGCCGATAGTAAATGCCCAGCATGGGGCTTGTTTGAATCACCTGTGGGTGTCCAACAAACCTGATAAGGCATAGAACGCATTCGGAGCAATGTGCTTTTGGTGTTTTGTTTGTTGTTTGTTGTTTTGTGAGTAGGAACTTGCAGTGGCTTTTTGGTGGCAAGGCATATCCTAGGTGTCCTTTTAGGCAGGCGTATGGCCTACAAGTTTTACTCGTACGGGCTACCCTAAAAGTCTAACCCCCCAAAAAGGAAGCACCAAAACGGAGAGGCTTGTTCCTTGTTCGCGTGGGGCTGTTCCTTTTGTTTTTCTCCGCGGCTTCTGTCGGGCGTCAGGAGCCTGCAACATGCAGCCCTCCCACGGATCCGGCGGGTGCTGGAGGCGGATCGGTTTGTCGCTGCACGGGTTGGCGTCCAATTTTTTGCTTCGATCCAGCCGGCTGACAGGAAATCCTCCATCTCCCCCAGCAGCGCCAACTTTTACCGTTTCTTTTTCTGTTGGGAGGGTTCCCCTACTAACATAGATGTGGGCCAGACGTTGAAAAGTCAGCCTGTTAACCTCACTGCGGCTCAAATAAACAAAGCTTGATGTGGGTTTGACCTCGAAGCTCGATTCCACGAAAGTAGGTTGTCCCAAAGGACCGGCCGGTCGTTGCGGGTGTCCTGAATCAGCCGGTGAGCCTGGAAAACGGGTCCGCAATGCAGTGGTAGCGCACTCCAGACGAGTCGATTCCAGGGCTAAGAAGCATGGTTGCAAATGGGACAGGTTGGAGGACTTATGAGTTTTTACGTTCCCAACTTACAACCATGGTTATACATACATGGGGCAAGGGTCCAGACACCCGGTGCGGTGTGCCCTTTTTTCCCATGGCCACCGGACATTTGGTGGACTCATAACCATGGTCATAGCCAGCTACTTACAAACAAGTACACTTACTTCGCAACTAGGTCATTCCGAAGCCATGATTACAAATGGAGAAGCCGGGGTTGGTGGGCATACATGTCAGGGCACCAGGTTGTGATGAACGGCTTCCAGCTTGCACCACAGGACAATCATGCGTGTAGCATGCAAAAGGAAGCCATTTATTAGAACCCATTCAGGATCACCCAGATATAACCATGGCCGTAGCCAATTTCTCAAGGGGGTTGGCCATATTGCCAATCGCATTTGGCAGGCTCAAGAGGAACTCCTGGCTGAGCAGGCAGACCAGAACTTAGGCGGGTCTCAGGAGGTTCTCAGAAACCTCAGAAGGGGGGCGGCTTGAATCAGAGGTCCCTCCCAAACAAGAAGATACACCGGGTAAGTGAAGGTTAAGGGGCAGTCCCAGCCTCCCACCATCAAATCGGTGTGGCCATCTGTGGAGGCCCTTTCATTCCCACTTGTATCTTTGGGTGGCAACACGTTTAGGACCTGAGATTAAAATGCCCATTGGGGTCCTTGTCCACCAGCTAAGATGCGCTTCGCTTTGGCCTTTCGATCATCTTCAATGTGCTCAAGGTGATTTGTATGTTCTCTTGGTTCCAATTTGGGTATGGGTCAAAATAAACCCACCAGGGGACCGCAGGTTTTAGTCTATGTTTCCATTTGCCAGGGTTCGTTTTGGGTACGCATTTTCGACCCACAGCCACTTGCTTTTAGAGGGGAATGCTCGCGACCGGTAAGTATTTTATGGTTAGAAGCGTCTCATCAACAGCCAAGTTTCATGACAGGTGTTTGTTGTCTTTGTGTTTTATGTTTAGACTCAGCAATCATGGCATGTGTTGCTCTGCCGAATGCAGGGGCCCTCCTTGAAAGGGCGCATGCACGCCGACGCTGGCAAACGCTGGGGCCTACTTGGATTCTGTGTAAGTACCTCAGATGTGGACCAAACCCACATGCCCTATGACTTTTCTACAAGCCCTAGTTTCACCCCGTAAATGGGTTGCAATCCCAAGTCAAAATCGGTAACACTGGGCTGAGGAGGGTTGACTTGACATAGATATGGAACGATCATACACTCATACAGATTAACATGGCACCATTTTTAGAGGAACCTCCTTTCGGTCCCACCCTGTTTGGGTCCATAGCTCAGTTGCAACTGGCCCTGCAACCAATCTGAACTGGCTGGGGAGCACCGGGATGGTGGCCGCCTGCTTGTCTTCTTGATTCTGCCTGTGTTTTGCCGGGCGCATGAGCCAAAAATACAAAGGGGGTCAAATCAACAGCACGCGGGCTTGCTTATGCTACCCTATGGCAAAGCCAAGGTAGATGAAATCAGGCACAGACCCGCGTAGAAGAATCAGTGCAGATATCTGCAGAAACCATCAGTAGATTTTGCTATGAGGGAATGAAGGCACCTGCAAGAGGGATTCCAAGGTTTAAGAACTTGGGTTTGTCTTTGTATGGGACCCCCCGCGTCCAAAAAACAAGGACAAACACAACAAGGTGTGCCTTTTGGCTTCCCTTCAAAACTGCGAAAGAGAGGTGCCAACTCCAAAAAACATGACACCCCCATGTCAGTAGCACTCATGTCCAACTCTTTTGGAAAGTGACTTAGGGGGACAAAAAATGGATCCCTCCTTGGGTCACGGGCCAAAACCACCCGGCCTTGCCTCACGATGCACATCTTGAGCCATGCCCCTCAAACGTTCGCGCAATCGTGTACATTTAAACCAAGAATCAAATGGGTGAATCTCTTAAAATGTGGACCTCAAAATGGTTGGGTTCTTTTTCGTGTCTTTTTTTGAATCGAACAAACCAAATTTGAGACATCCAAATGAACAGTCTTCCAGATTTGTTTCGCAGCAACTGGCTAAGTAGAGGGCACAAATCAGCAGGTTTACGGCAGCGCTTGTGCTCCAACCTGGTTGAATCGGAGATGAATCAAATTTTCCTGGCATCCCAAAACCTCTCCAAGACCTGTATTTCCTCATTTAAGAAACCAGGTTTAAATTTACAACAATTAAAACAAAACAACAACAAATTGAACAACATATACAAACTTTTAGCAATCATGTATTATACAATTATAATATATCCGGTTTTTTAGGGTCATGGGCCCTCAAAGTTTGGCATCCTCGCGGGCGCGAGGCAACATCCGCGACAAGCACTGGGCCCGAGACCGCTTGCGCCGCGAGAAGGCGGCTTGACTGGTCTTTTTCCGATTGCCTTGCTACTGGGTTGGATCTTTAGACTTTAACTTTTTGGTTGAAATCAAGTTGGGGTTTCCACCTAAACCCCCAAAAAGTGATCAACTTTTTGCAGGGGGTCAACAGCAACCAAGTTAAAGGTGGTCCTTGCCACACCCGGAAAAAGCAAAAGCAGAGAAAAAGCGCCAGGTGTTGAGGGTTTGGTTTTGAGGCTTGGGGTGATTTTTTACGGTGGATCGCGCCATGTTCAGGGTTTTGACTTGGCCATTGGGGCATTTCAGGGGGCCTTTGCCATTTTGAGGGAAGGGCTGTCGTGCAAGGGTCGATTCTTTTCTGGAAGTGCTGTTGAAGTTGCGCCAAACACATGCAACAAGGCATACCGAGGTTGACCCCAGTTAGGGGAGTATCATTGGGGCACGGGAGTCTGTTCTGGGAAAAGCACTGAGTTCTTGCCCTTGACTTTGGTGTATCAAGGAACGTCTGCTGGGTGTTGCACACGGTGAAGTATGAACCGATTCCTGTTGCAGTGTCTTTCCAACTGGAATTGTGGATTTGCATTGGCCACCCTCCATTTTGAACAGCAAATGATTCAAGCAATCCACAGGGTTCGCAGGGTTGCTCCGACACTCACAAGGTGCTTAGACGCAGTTGCCCAAAGCCGACCTTTTGACCTTTTGGTCTCTCCTTTTTGATAGTCATGGCCCCAAACGGTAAACCTTTTAGTTCTGGGCTGTTTGGGCAACAGAGTGGAACATTGGTACTGCTTCCTTCTGTCTTTCGTGGGACGGTTTGGGTGTGTCTGCTTAGTGGAAATTGCCCCCCAATTTCCCGTTGGTTTCCCCGAAAAAAAGGACAGATCCTTTTTAAGTGGGGGCCTGGTCGGACCAGCTCCGGAAGAGACAGACCGGTGACCCATATGGTGGGAGTCCCACGTTGCAAGTGAGCCAGGGCTCCTTAAGAGATCTCCATCTTGCAACCATTTGAAACATGTGGCTTTTTCAACACCAAAATACCGGGAAACCAACACTTACAAGGCAATGTTCAGGTGTATAATATAAGGATCCCTGAGAGCACAAGTAGAGCACAATGACGGGGACTTGACTTGTATTTGACTTGGAAGGTACGCTTGAAATGCCCCAACATGACGGTTTTCCTGTTGGTTTCCCTTTGACACCACCCCAAGAACAGGTACCCACAGCATGGAAGTGCACAAAGCCCCTTTCCAAGAGGAGAATCGTCTTTACACAGGGGGTTTGTGTCTAAAGTGGGGAACCAACCCCTAGAACCTTCCAAAAACATGTGTGTGTGTGTATACCAGGTTAGTCTTACGGGCCTGTATACCAGGTCCTCTAACAGTTGGTCCTTGGAAAAATCCAGAGAGTTGGTCGTTTCTTTGGTACCCTCTAACATGGGTGTTCAGCCATCGTTATTTTCAAAAACCAGCCATTTCCCCAGGGGTTTTGGTGGTTCTCTAGAAAGATTCGGATCCCTGAAAAGAATGGACATGGAAGTTATCCCTAGAAAGCAAGGTTGTTTCCAAGGGGCGCTCCCTATATTGACACAGACCCAGGTAAACACAGCCCTAGAATTTCCCACGGCCAAGCGCTCCAAAACAATTCGCAAGGCGTATGCCGCGCAGCTGCCAGCCCCGGAGGCTCACGGCGCCGGAGTTTTTTTCGATCCGAGCTTGCGGCGCCGGAAAAACGGGCGGAAGGTTGACCCCCTGATTAACCGGGGCTCCTTAAAAGATCTCCATGTTGCAACCAATTGAAACATTGTTTTTTTCCACCAAAACAAAGGGAAACCACCATTTACAAGGCACTGTTCAGTATAATGTAAGGATCCCTGTTAACTAGGTCCCAGCTCGGTGCCCTTTGACCGTTTCTTTTTTGGTTGGGAGGGTTCTGGGTTCCGCTACTAAAATAGACTACAGAGGAAAGTTGGTACCCTTATTCTAAACTCTCTACTGGAGGACGTAGTTAATATAACCTTCCCTTATGAATCGGGGGGTGAGAGGGAGGTCGCGCTGGAAGAAAGGAGTCGGATTTTTCTGGAATCTCCTCTTATGAATGAATGGGGGGGGATTGAAATTCGCCCTGGAAGAAAGGAGTCCCCACCAAAAAGGGAGCTTTTGCTCAAGAAGTGGGGGTGGTATAAATCAGGAGTCAGCATTATTTGAGCTTGTGGCAGATCCTTGGCCCATTGGGTCTGCCTGATTTTGATGCACTTCTCCAACCAAAGAATACCCTCCCGTCAACCAATATGGAGTCTGACTACAACCGGGGTATGGCTCAGTGGCTCACGAGGCCTTTAAAGACCCAAACCTTGGGTTTGGGGGTTCGACCGTTTCCATTGCTCAGTCTGAAAGGTTCTTTGGGCCTTGAGTCTACTCAGGCGCCAGGGCCCTGAAGAAGAGAAAGGCCTTCATACTGTGGATGGACGAAATCCATTTCGCACCACTTTGAAACCATGGGAAACCATTGTTTGTTGGTATTTACAGGGGAATGATCAGAAACCAGGGTTTCGTAGGTGGTGCAGGATTTCGTACATCCACAGTATATCTGGGCTATGATCAGGGTAAGGGCGGACTGCCCTTGAAGGGGTGCGCTTTATGTTTCTTGGTTTCTGGCGGTGTGCTTGTTGACCAAGCTCGCAGTCTTCGCAAAAAGACAGGGATGTCTTGAATAGGGTGTCGACACGAGCGGTGGTGGCCGTACTCCTGTTTCCTTTCGCCTGGGCAAAGGGGTCCTCCCAAGAGAAGTTCCCTCTAAAAAGTGCTTGTGTTCTTGATTCCACGCGAATCTGCAGGGTAATTTTGGTTCCGATCCTTTCCCTTGAGCGCCATCCATTTCGGGGGCGAGGCCTGGTTTTCCATTGAGCAGAAAATAGCAGCTCCGAGATATGCGTCAAACGATGCAAGCAAATCACTGTTGGCTGTGTGAAGCCCATGAAGAGCAGGGACAAGCTACTCGGCCAGTTCACATACCAAAACTAGGAAACGCCGGGGGAATACCAGTTTGTTTGGGGGGTCAGTCCCAAAGAATGAGCACAATTCTTTACAGAATGTTGGATAGACCCCCTTTTATGTTAATACCTGCACTGGGGTGTGCGTGGCTTCCCTGTATGGAGTTCTTGTTGAATCCCCTTCAATGTTCAGGCGAATCACTGGGTACAGCAGGGATCAGCTCGGGCATCCCCCGCAAAGAAAGCATGGCTTTCCTTCAAGCAGCCCAACAAAGGCTTGCTTCAATGTGTGCTTTCCTTTTCAAGCATCCCAAAAAGAGCTCCCTCGCCAAAATGTGTTTTTTCTGTGTGTTTCCTTTGAATCTCCAAGAAATCGGGGGTTTCCCTCGAAGCCTCCGGCCAGGTTGGGAAGAAATGGGTCCTACGGCGCGGCACGTGGCCTGGCGCAAGTCTAGTTCGCCACTCTGAAACCGTGGTTGAAGCCATTGTTGGTTGGTATATACAGCGGAATGATCAGAAACCAGGGTTTCTTAGGTGGTGCGAAATGACTTTCGGTAGTTTTGAGGGACACCCCCAAGCAGAATCAGACTTAGCTCCCCTGCAAAAAGTTAACTGTTGCTGGCAAGGGAAGATGAAGGGCAGACAGTTTCCCTCTACCAACGTGGCAGACGATTTCCCTCAACAGGGCCTGGTGGGTTCCATCCTACCCTCAAAACCGCAGGGGCACCCTTCTGTGAAGGAAACTAGGGTGGCGCTATTAATTTGCCCTTCTCCCACCCAGTCCGGAAGAAAGGTAGCCCAAGCAACACTGGATTTGGGTGCTGCATATGCCTTCAATACCTCAAAAACCTCTCTCAATTCCCCCACGTCGAAATAAAATTGTCCCACGAAGGGCGAACAAAGGCACTCTGATCTGATTCTTGTTCATGCTTCCCCTAATGACATAGGTTTCGATAGGTCCGCAAAAAGGAGATCCTCCTATTCTAGGGGTAACTTCCATTTCCATTCTTAACCCAGGGATCCGTCTTAGAAAACCTCCGGAAACCCAGGGGGAAATAGCGGTTTGTTTGTTTTTTTTTTTGAAAAGAAGGATGGTTGGAAAAGAATGGGGAATCAACCCCTAGAATGATACTGTGGGTGTCCTTCCCCTTGACCACTGAGCCTCCCGTGACAAGTCCGGCCTCCCAGGTTTGTTGTTACATACTGTGGATGGTTGCGAAATCCATTTCGAACCACCTAAGAAACCATGGTTGAAACCATTGTTTGTTGGTATTTACAAGGAATCATCATTCCAGGATTTCTGAGCTGGTGCGAAATTGATTTCGTCCATCCATGGACAAGAATAAATTTCAATACTGCGCATGTTGCTTATGTTCGCTGAAACCAGCAAAGCATGGATTTGGGAGTGGGTAACGTGCATGTAGATGAAGGTGTTAGGTCTTGTTGATATTGTCGTCTCATGGCAGTTCCCAGTTGCCATGTTCGTGGATGCACTCCTTTTGCTTAGAGGTTTCTTGGTTTGCCATTCGGGATTCCAATGGATTATATAATGGATGCCCCGGCAAGCCCCAAAAGCAGGTCATGCTGACCCAGATTCATGAAACCCCTCGAACTAGTAGGGGGGTGTCACCCACAAAAATGCTGGATTCCCAGCTAAAAGGGGATGCGTTCATCTCTCAAAATCAGAACTCAACCCGGTACTTCTACTTAGATCCGGGCTCCCCAGTTTCACCCAAACCAATGCCCACGCCCCAGTAGGTAACCAGCCACACGCGCCACAGGTGGTTCTACGAGGGCGGCCCGGAGCCTGAAAAGCTGCCAGCAGACGAGGCGGGGACCGGGGGTGTTTTTTTCTTTGTTCCTTTTTCGGGAAAACATACGGGGATGGGCCGTTTCTTCTTTGTTCTCTTTGTTCTTTGTCTTTCTTTGTTCCTTTTGCGGGGGGGGGGGGGGACATAGGGAAGACCCCACCGCGGAAAAATCGGAGGGCCCAGGTTGTCCGTTCCATTCAAAAAGCCGCAAGAATGTGCTTTGGGGTTTAGGGGAAAACCGTGGGTTTTGGCGTTAGAACGGGCAAGAAGGAGGGCTCTGTAGGGGAAAGCCTCTGGTTTCTTTCCTTTAAACACCCCAACAAAAATCAACACAGGGCAACCCTGTTTCCACATGTTTGTAGGTTGCACGGGCCCCCTGGTGGCCCTTGGTGAACCACCAAAGCGGCAAGACACGATGTAAATTAGTCTAGCACCGTTGCAGGTTTTTCAAGATGTCTTGATGTTAGCATGGTAAGCCTAAGCTTTCCCTATTGGACATCTCCGTTCCGTTCACCTGATGCTTCTTCCAGGATCCACGACAAAAACAAAAAAACGGAGCGCGGGTCGTTCGGTCATCCGGCCCAAAAGAAACACAGCGTGCCATTTGCCGTTCGGGTTTATCACGTTTTCAACGGCCTGCCATTGGAGTTGGGGTTTGGACAGCTTTAAAATTTTGGGCAACCCCCCAAAAAGTAGGACCCCCCCCCCAATCGGTGCAGGTCTTCTCCGGCATTTGCGGGTAATGAAAGCGTGGATGAAATTGCCGCCTTTGGCTTTACTTTTTAGGGGAAAATGGAACAGAGAGGGCATTTGAATCACTTCTGGAGGATACCCCTACCTTTCCACGGTTTGTTCATTCGGGATTGCTGCTACCCATTATGTTTTTTGAGAGGCCATTTGGCTTGTGTGTTTGTGGCCAAACGAGAGAGACTTCAGGTATTCCTTGCAAGTCACGCAAATTCGTAGGAATGGCACTTTGGAAAGATTCGATTGACTTGTCCAAACGGCTTTGAAGCACAGTTGAAGCCCCTGGTTTCATTGTGATTTCCCCAACTTTTAGAATTGGTGATTTGGTGGTTAAGGAGAGGTTTCCCATGTACCCTCTACAAGAACCCCAGGTTCAAATCCCAACCCACTAATCCAAACGACCAATTAACGGAAATTAACATAATTATCATAATTATGATAGAAACAATATTGGTCTAGGATATACCACGATGATGAAAGAGTTCTCGCGCCGGAAACCTCGGAACCTATCCAATGGTCTACCTTGGAAGGACTAAAGGTCTACATCCTTGATTCTGAGGTATGCTGTAGAAGTTAGAATCCCTGACATGCCTCCGTCCTCTCTTAGGCACAGCTGTAGGACGGAGAGAATCCTAAAGGTAACAAATAATCCTGGAAATCGAGGGAGATGTCGTAAGTGGTCTTTATGATAATGCTTCCATCTCCCGTCTATCGCTTTCTCTTTCTCATGCTATTCCTCTCATCTTCATCTTGGATTTTACTGCTACAGAACGTCCCAAAGAAGAATCCAAGATGAGGAATAGCATCTCATATCAATTCGATTTTATTATCCTCTCCTTACCATATCATGCCCTTTCTTCTTATAATGAGATTCCTTTCATGTCAACCCTTTTAAAATTAATGAAATTATGGAAATTCAAATAGAAAGATAGGTAAGGAGTGAATATAGCCGCTCCGGAAGCTCTTGAAGATAGAATGGAAAGGTAACAAAGATAAAGTATTTTATAGATGAGCGGCTTGCCTCTTTCTTATTTCTTACCTATCTGATGACCACCAATTTTCACCTAATTCTTTGTGCTGAGGTGGTCATGTCCCTCCACAATGAAGGAAGGAACAGGATAGGAAGAAGAGAATAGAAAGGACAATACGAGAAAGACCCACCGGATATTAAAGCACCAGATAATAGACATGATGTTAGGTGAGCCCAAGATATCACATGTAATTTATTTTCGCAGGAATTGGCCGCCAATCTCATTATGCGTGTGTTTTCTTCTCATGCACTCGTTTGATTGCGTTGTATTTGTGATTGTGCGTCCTCATCCAGGTAATAGTTGTTTGCCGCTGGTATAGTTGCGGTTACATTGTTATGCGTCGTTTGCTGTTTCTTCTCCTCTGTTTGTTCATTGTTTGTTCATTTTTGTTCATCTTCTTCTGATTGTCGTGCCTCTTCCAAGTGCATGGACATATTTGTTGAAAGTCTTTCCATGCGTTCTTCAGCATGGTCTCGCGAGAAAACGCCAACGCAGGCCATGGACAAGTTTGTGAAGGAGGAAGAAGCCAGAGGCGTCGAAAAGCCACATGGGTAGTCCGTCCTTTGGGTGGTACCGGCTTTTGCTGGTTTTGAAGGGAACCAACAGCAAAACCGAAAACCATTTTGGGGGTCCCAAAAAGAAACATACCCACACGTGCCACGGTGGTTTATACCAGTTTCTTTGCGGTGCGTTGGGATGTTCCCACAAGGGTGCCCCATCTCATCCTTTTCCCACCGATGACAGCAATAAGCTGGTGAACCCGATTTGTTAGGGTGACCCAATAAGGTTCAGAACACGATGCCAAAGCGTGGACCCTCAAAAGCTCTATTTTTGGCAGGCTTTAACAATCACCGGTTGGAGTGTGTGTGTGTGTGTTGGTTGGACTGATTCTTGGGTGACGGTATTTGTGCATAGATTGTAGATTGCCTTGAACAATGATCTTAGTTCCTTAGTGTCAACCACTTTGAACTTGTTGAAGATGGGCCAGTTGAAATGATTTGCTTTGCGGGGTTAATGCTATGTTTAAGTGGAAGGTTGCTTCCCCACAAAAAGGGGGATGCGTTAGTTGGAAATCCCTTTTGGTTTTCCCTATGTTTGAGCATGGGTACGTCTCAAAATGAGGAGGGACCCCCACAATGGTTGGTGTCCGCATTCGGTTTCCCTAGAGCACGACACAGCACACAGCAGGCTTTGTCAAAGCAAGACAAACCCATGTTGAATTATAGGGTGGTTTCAGGGCAAGGGATGGAGGATGGAAAGATATTGTCGAATATCGTCAGTTGCCTAGATCCCACCTACAGTATTGGCCGCAAAAGATACAAGGTTCCATTTATGGATACAAGGGATTGAAGGACCCTCAGCCTTTGTTCGTCGATGTGGGGGGGGACTCCAAGTAAACCTGTTCAGGGGTGTCTTTTTGCGACCTTTTGTGAGAAAATTGCGACCCCCGTCCAAAAGGAATCCTTCACACGAGGGGGTCGATCATTTTTCCACCGGCAAAAAGACCCCCCTGAACCTGTTGTTTTTTTTACCCCCTAAAACGTGGAATGTTGGGTGTGTGTTTTGCAAGTAAACCTGTTGTTTTGTTTTGTGGGTGCCGTGAAAACCCACGGCATTGGGAGAGGGAAGCTTCCCCGCCAGGGCGAGGGCCTCGCTGGGAGAACGGGATCGCGAAAGCAGGCGCGACATGTCTCAGGCTGCGGTCGCTTGGGGAAGGGAATGAACCTGGTGCCCTCAAAGGAGACCACCAGTTGGATGGTTTATAGGGGTCATTCCATTTCTCATTCCCTGCTCAATTCCCCAAAGGATCAATTTTTTAGTAGGTGCTACTACTTGGTAGGGTGAGAGTCAGGCTTGGGTGGGTATGGGTCAAAATGAAACCACCAGGGACCACAGGTTATTGTCCTGGGTTTCATCTACCCATTTTGGGGGGGGATTACCCTGTTTTTGACCCACAACCAGGTGACCTTTATTAGCATCTTACCAGACGTCGATGGGTTTTGGTCGCTCGGTGAAAACCCAGAGCTTGGTACCTCTGGATGCTAGGTTTACCCCAAAGGAGGCTTTGGGTCGAATGCAAAACGCCGGGGCAGCGACCAATTTGACGAAATCATCTTGTTACTCCACATCTCAAAGTCATCATAGAGGAAAGCGGTTTCCCTTTGAGGTTCCATGAAAATTTGCTTGGTTGAAAGTTTGCTGTGGCTTTCTAGCTTGAACCAATTTTTGGGCACACTGTTTGGCCCTTTGGGTACACAGTTTGGCTCTTTGTGTTGAGGGTTCCTAAAGGTCCAATACGTTGTTGTGAGAAAAGAACATTCTAAAGGTTTGCCCGGCCCTTTGGTTCCAACATGAAAGTGCACAAACGAACCCTTTCCAGAAGGTCATCTTGCAAAGGGAGGTTCTGCGGAAGATACGAATGTCCACACGAAAACTGCGAGCCCACTAGGTAGCACGAGCCATGGTATGATACTGATTCTGTGATTCGGACGCCTGATGTCCAACTCGCAAATACTAGTAAATGTTCGTGACAGTAGTCCTGGGCATAGCCCGCTGTTGTATCACAAAAATTATTCAATGGTGAACTTTCACAACCGTGACACAATATGGGTGTGTTGTTTTTTTTCTTTTTTTTTCTAGGGGGGCCGAATGGTGGTTTCTAAGCGGGGCAACACCAAAACAGACCCCATATGTGTCTCGGACAAAGTGCTGGCAGTCTATGGTCTGTTTGGAAGGGACATGAGGGAAATCATTGAACCCCTCCGCAAAAAGAGGACTTACTTTGTTTCCCATGTCCTCTTGGGGAACAAGTAGTTCTGACACAACACGGATACTGACCTGTTTCAAAACTGTTCGGCAAATCTCGGAAGAACCTGGCTGTGTCAGCCACAGTCTCGTTCACTCTGTCGCCCCGTGGATTCTGCTCGGTTTCCAACTTTTTTTGGGGAAGAAGATTTCACCTTAAAATTAAACCACCCCCCCCAAAAAAAAAAAGAGTTTCACCTTTAAATTCAACCACCCCCCCCCCCCCCAAAAAAAAAAAAAGGAAGAATAAAGAATCGGATGCCGTTTTTTTTGTTCCCCCCCATGGAAATCCACTGGGCATGTTAGACTCAGTCATCTGATTTGGAGCCATAGCAGCGAATATAATTAGCCGATGGTGACTACTTGGGTGTCTAATACTGTGGACGGAATCCGGTCGCACCACGAAATGAAACCATGGTTGAAGCCATGTTTCATTGGTATTTACAGGGGGAATGACCATTCCAGGGTATCTGAATGTTTCTTAGGTGGTGCAAGATTTCGCCCATGCACTGTGACTACTTGGGGCCATTCAGGACCATGTGTCATAAGGTTCACGGCTCTTTCAGACTCAAGATTTGCTCGGAGCTGTTCCTCTTGACACCGAGCGGGTGTTGGCCAATGGTTTTTTTCGCCACACCAAGCGCTTGCTTTGGTTCCCCCGTTCAGTTGGCCAGAAAAAGAATCCAAGTTCATTGGCCCCTGAACCAAATGGCTCACGCTCGTGTCAGTTTTTTTACGAGCAAATGGTTCAGTAGGGGTCAGTGGGTTCAAGCTGAACACTATACAAAAACAAGGCCAGAGGATTTTCTGCTGAATTAGCTGGTGGTTAAATGAGTAATTCACTTGATTGACATAGGGGACATGTACAGATGATGTTTCCTTTTGGTTTGAGGGGATTGCCAGGACTGATGAGGAGATGGAACCAGCGGAATCCCTTCGGCGGCTTCTTCGACGAGTGTCCTGTCATGACAAGACAATTAAGTGGATGCGTAGCTACCTGGTACCACCATTGGAGAACAAGTTATGACCAACTTTGTGGATCCCTTCGGGCTCTTTGGGATGTTTGGGGGTATTGGCAACCCAAGAAAGAAGTCTTGTTCTCAGAGTCGCAAGGATCTAATCCCATAAGCATTGGTGCCCTTTGCCCTTAACGCGTAAACCGTGCTTTTGTTTTGCCCTGGAATTGTTTCAAGCTGCCAAATCAACCGGTTTGACTGGTATTTCATGGTACCCTCGGTGTCAATCCGAAAGACAGTCTACTCCCTCGAGGTGTTGGTTTAGTGTTGGTTTGCTGCGCTCTTGTCACGGAGCCCATTTATCATGTGCAATTGACGTGGCTATCAACGTGTCGTCCTTTGGCCACACTCACTTGATTCTTTCTGGGCAACTGCTAGAACACTTGTCTGCATGGGTCAAGAGGAATGGGCCAAGTGGTGGTTTACCCCCCCGTAGCAAACATGCTGCAAACAAGCCTTAACCAGTTTGCCGACCAAGCCCAGACCAGGCGTCAAGCTTGCGCAATTCGGTGCCCTTCCTTTGGAGTGATGTGGTTTTGCTTTGAATTTGGTGGCTAAGTCTCGCCCGTGTTGAGTTCCACATCGGTGGCTTCTTTCCAATCAGCGATCCTTTCATCACTGTCTTAATTTAGTCATGAAAGGATGACCATTGCTTCCACGTCCATTCGAAGCCTGTCTCAACCCTTATTTTGGAGTCGGGATGAGAAAGTACAAGCTCGCTGCGGGGGTGAATTGCGAGCCCATGAGGTCTAATGGCTAAAGACTTAAGCGATCCGGGTTTCTTCCTTCACCAGAGCCCACCAGAGCCCTACGTCGAAAGTTGTGTTTTGGTTTTTTTGGGGGCGTCATGTGTGCGCTTGTCTTTGGGATCCTTGCAAAAGAAGTTCGCTGGCAATAAAAGTGAGATCTGCCCACACCAGGCTGACCGTTTGTTTCCCGGTGCTTTGGACAGGTAACTGAAGCCAGGAAGAAAGAAACTCACGCCATTCTCCATGTGATGTTGGTAAGCCATGGATGGGTATTCTTTTTGGCTTCAAAGGGAACTAGTCACCAGAAAGACCAAAACGAAGACCAGAACCAGAAACTAGTCACCAGAAACTCAGCAACTCGCACCAGAAACTAGTCACCTAGAGTGTCTCAAAACCTGTCGAGCGACACCCGTCTAAGGGTCTGATGCATGCGGAACCAGTCGCCATTTCACCGGACTGTAATTATATCTCTGCTAAGCAGGAAAGAATGATCCAAATGTAGCCAGATAATTAATTGTTGAGTTAAATTAATACCTATATAAAAATTTAGATTAAATTATAATTGAATGAATTGAGATATATATATATATACTTATCCTGGGGTTTATATTTCTACTTCATAATTTATAGTATATTCTTATTTTAAAGATAGGGGATGTGAGTTTTGGTATGTAAGAAGTGTGTTGTTATTGTGTATTTTTGTATGGGTGAAACAAATATTGAGTAATAATAGCGAAGAATTTGTGTATTTGTTAGGTATATTGGTTTTATTATAGTAAGGCAATATTTTGGTAAAGAGAAATGTTTAATATAATATAATTGATATATATATATATATATATTTCGTTATTGAGGTTGTTAGTGTTTTTTGTTTTTAAGGATATTATGATTATGAATATTTTTCAGGTTGTTGTTGATTTATATTTATTGGAATTGTTTATTTTATATATTAGATTCGAATTATAACATTGATTATCTAATTATAATTAAAATATTGTATTTTATATTTTAAAATTATGATTTTAAAATTTATATTGCAAAATTATGATTTTTTAGTTAGGATATATTAGGAATGATACTTGTTAAATTAAATTTATATTACAATATTATGATATATTAATTGGAAATTTATATTAGGATATATTTTATTGTTGGTATTATTGAGGATATTATTTTGATAATTTAGTGTTCCTCCTTGAGTAAAACGATTTAGAACCCTTGTGGAATTTGCCTTAAATTACTTTAAATTATCCTGCCTTTAAAGAAATTGGTGGAAATGTGGGTAACTTTGGTAGAATCTTCGCGGAATCCTTGTGGAATCTCTTAAACTATCCCGGACCATTGTGTAGACTTTTAAAGAAATTTGCGGAAATCTGGTGGAATTTTAATAGAACCCTTATAAAAATGTTCCTGGAACCTTACTTCAAACCATTCCGTTCGCAGCCCTTGCCAACATTATACTACTTCCCTCTAGGGCAAATTGCAGAACTTCGCAGAATAATTTCTGGAACGTTAGTAGAACCTTGGTGGATGTTTGTGGAATCCTCGGGGAATTTTACCTTAGGCTGCCCCGGAGCCTATACCCTATAAGGTTGTGATTTTGTAAAAGCTGGATTTTACATCTTATAAGATTGTGTTTTTTTTTGTTTTTGTTTTTTTTTCTAAAGCTAGAATTGGAATTTATGTTTTATATACTAGATTTATATTACAAAATCGCAAAATTCTAATTAGAATTGGAAATTTATATTTTATATATTAGATTTGTATTACAATATTGTAATTGTCTAGCTGGAGCTGCTTCGCATATTAGATTTATATATTTGTTTTTCGTTAAAATTGGAAATTTATATTTTGCTTACTAGATTTATATTATAGAATTGCGATTTGTTTGGCTAGAATTGGAAATTTGTTATGATCTTTTAACACATATTAGATTTCTGAGCGTTTTTTCTGATGAATATGTCTAAACCACATTTTGTTTGATTAATATTTCTATTATTTTTGAACGATATTTTTTTTGATTAATAGTTTTGGAACGATATGTTTTTTTAATTAACATTTTCTAAGTAATATGTTTAATATTTCTGAGCAATATATATAATTCGTTTTTCTAATCACTATTTCTGATTAACAATTATAAGAAATATTTATAAACCATATTTCTAATTAATATGTTTAATCTATCGACAATATTAAATAATATGTCTAACCAATATTTTTATTCTATATTGTTTATCGACACTTCTAAACGACATATCTGAGTAATACTATTTCTAATTAATATGTTTAATATTATTTACCGAATTATTTAAACGATACTTCTAAATAATATGGTTGAATTGACATTTTTGAGTGATATTTTTAATCGATGTTTTTACACGATATTTTCGAGTAATATTTCTAATCGATATATATATATAATCGATATTTCTGACCAATATTGTTGCTTGATATTTTTAATATACATTTTAGAATAATATTGTTCTTCGATATTGTCGATACTTTTGACCGATACCGACAATTTTGAAAAGCACTTTTGATCGATACTTTTAATTAGCCTTTCCGAACAATATTATTAAACAAATATATATATATATATATATAAGTATTAGTTATGTATGATATTTTTAATTCTACCTTTAAATAACATTTGAGCAATACTTTTAAAAACATTATTTAATGATATATTTAAATCATTATATATATATATATGTGCAATCCCCCCCCCCTCCCCCATGGACCCTGGTTTTACTGCCTTTTAGGGATGGCAAATCTAGAATTTCTAAATTTATATTCTCGAAATTTTCAATATTGGGTTCCTAAAACCCGGAATCCTCCACAATATCCTAGTATGATATCCTTTCCAAATAAGATGTTACTTCAACTAGAATTGGAATTTTGAATATAGTTTAGGATGGATATATTTTTAAAAAAACATGTATTTATGTTAAATTACAGCTTAAATAAGCAAATCCTTTCCAAATAGCAACTATATGAAAATGTAAATAAATATATATATATATACCTGGAGCACCCGTCGTTACCTAAATTTCTGCCCTTAGCCCAAACGTATTGCAAAACCAGGGGTCGTCACCAAAATATGGTAAACGTACACTTTTTCCTACTTCGAGTGTTTTTCCCAAAATCGGGCTGGTCGGTCCTCCAAGATAATGGGTCGCTGAATTGTTTGAAAGGAGCGAGCAGAAATCGAAGTGCAAAACGAGCGCAAATATCCGCAAAACGAGCGCAAATATCCGCAAACGAGTGCAAATTTAAAAAACGTAACAATGCCCGCCTTCCTCTGGATGGAAGAAAAGGATTTGGTCGAGCGTTTTTCGGGGGGCGAGCGTTTTTTTCGGGGTCGAGCAGAAATCGGTAATTCGAGCGTTTTTTTCTCGTACCTAAAAAAAAGGGCACGTTGGGTGCCTCAGGTATATATATATATTCGGTTAAATTCAAACTAATTAATAATATAAAAAGTTAGATGGAAGTTGTTTATCCCAAATATAATCCAAGTGGTAAATATAATCTAAGACAAACATAATTCAATTTGTTTTTGATAATATTAAGCAAATACAGACTACATCTCAAATATAATTTATATTAAATATAATTAAATATTTGGAAATTCAATAGAGGATTTGTGTTATTTACATTCTGATCCTTTTGTAGCATAAAAAAGGTCCGACATTGAACTGTTAACATCAATGTTAAATTTCAAGGGAAGAGAGGTTCAAAATCTAAAATTATCTCGAAGCAGGAATTCTAGCTAAACCGTTGTATTTAAAGTTCTATTATGCAGGAAAATTAATTCAATCTCAAAAGGTGGAGGTAGTAGATGAACAAATGTGAACAAATAGTTCAAAAGGATGGGGTATACATATATACACACATGTATAGTACCCCTAATGATCCTGCGCCTCCTCATAAAATACTGGAAAATATGATATTTTTGAGCGTTACACTTGCCTTTGTTTACCTCCTGGAAAGGGGTCAACATAAGCATAGCTGACATGAAGCTCACCAAAAGCACTTGAACATTTGTTTAACCAATAACTTGAAAATATGTCTATTGGATCGCTAAGCACTTGAAAATTTATTATTATTGGATGGAAGATTCAAGATTAAAGATTATTTAAAACATTTTCCGGAGAATTGTTACTCCCAAATAGCATTCAAATTCTTCTAAC